TTTTATATTTTATTATAATGTTTTGTTTGTTTTTTTATTTCTTTTAAAATTTAGAGATGCTTATATGTATTAATCATCCTTTAATATCAATTTTTTGACAAGAAATTGGTATATAAATTTCACAGATACTTCTATCTAAAATCTATCTATATTCATTCTTAATATTACACTATTTATTTATAGTTAAAGAAAAATATTAAATCCACTTAAAAGTAGTTCGTATTCAATAACCCAACATAAAATCCAAATTTACCATCCCAACTTTACTAATTTTATCTTCATTCTACAAAAAAAATTCAGCTGCAGTGCAGTAGCAAAGTCAAAAATACCTTAAATTTTCCCCGTTTAGTTTTCCCCTCCCCCCTTTGGGTGGGTTTTCGCTCCCATCTTAGCAGCAGCATAAGCAGACAGTTGTCGGTTGACTCACCTTTTTGCCAGGCGGCGGAGACTCCTTCTCGTTTCGCTCGCTCAATTCGGCAGCCAATTGGGCACACACATCAATCAAGCACTTCAACAAGTTTTTCTCTATTTTGTTTGGTCTCTGGCTTAGTTTAGTTTGCAGTTGGTTCGATTTAGTTTCGTTTCGTTTCGGTTTAGTTTAGTTTAGTTTAGAGCGACCGGGGAGTAGCAAGGCACCGATGCAGTTATGGGGCATAGTTATTATGTATATATTGTTGGAGTTGGAATTTATTGATATTACTGCGGTTCACTCACGCGGAGACCGAAGGAATTTTAGCACTTTTGCCAGCCAATTAATGGGTTAACTTTCGAGCTGAAATTAACACAGGAATTTTGCTCAGAAGGGCTCTCAGTCAAAGGAATTTCCAAGGCAGGATAAAATGCCTCTGCACGGGCACACACATACACGAAATACAGGCACATGTGGCAAGTTATCCTGCGACTGCGACTGCGAGTGCGTGTGTGTGTGTCTGTGTGGGCGAGAGACAGACGGATAAATGTCAGAGGTTATGGTGTTAATGTCGCTTTTATTTAAAACGGAAATCGGACAAAGAACAAAGGCGGGCATTGTAATAAAAAATAAATTAAATGGAAAATGCAAAAGGTCCTGCCAGTGGCAGAGACAGAGAGAGTGAGAGCGAGACAGACAGCGAGAGCGACAGAGAGGCGAGAGGCGGAGAGAAGGCGCGAATGTGTCACGGATTTCATTGCTCATTGAATACGCATTCATTTCACAAAGGAAAAAGCGGAGCACAGGACCTGCCAGCCATTCAGGCAGCCGCCTCAATCGAGTCACTCAGTCTGCGTACGTAAGCAGCGAAGGACATTCACACACACACACAAAGTCGGGGAGAGCCACACAGACACACACACACACACAAAGGCAGCGACAGAGACAGAGGCAAAAGGAGAGTAAGCCACAGAGAAAATCAAAACTACGCGCACACACAGTCGAAATTTCTGACAAATTTCCATGTGTATGTGCGCGCGTGGCGAGTTTGTTGTAATTTTTGGCCATTTTGGCAATTGCAATCCCTCGCATTTTATTGCATTTTTATCCTGCAATCGACAAAAACACAACTCGAAAAGGGATACGCACGCACACGCTCATACCGAGTCGCACACACACACACACACTCGAACAATAACAACACACTCTTCTCTTCTTTTTTCTTTTTTGTCATAATATTTTCCCGAATCCTCCTCTGACCAATTCACAACTTTCATTTATCCCCCCACGATTTTCACGCTTTTATTTTTGCCGCAAAATCTGCACACACACGCCTTGATGTTGTTTTATTTGGTGGAATGCTTGTGTGTTTTCATTTTCCGTTTGATTTTATATTACTTTTCGGTTTTCCCGAATTTTCATACGCGCTCGAGGTGAGTGTGTGGTTGAATCGCAGGAGTCGCTGCTGCTTGCGGAACCGCCCTAAAACAGTCGGGAGAAAAACTGAAAATGAAAATTGCTGAAAAATTCACCCAAGGCAGGCAGCGGGAAAATCAAAGCCAAGTTGAAGCTTTTCCGCCGCCAAACGAAAAGTACCAGTATTTTTTTGGGGGGCGGTATGGCGAGCTCCCAGCGAGAGAAAGCTCAATCAATAAGTTTGCTCACACTCTCTCTCTCTCTGTCTCTTTTGGTTTTCGGAAAGGACACCACCACCATCAACTCCACCCACCCACATCCACCCCCTGGGGCCATAGCACATGCTGGGTCCTGAACAGAGCTTGCTGTGTGTGTGGTTTCCCTTTATTTTAGCGAATTAACAACTTGATTCTATTTAGCTTTTGTTTAATGAGAAATCGCACTCACTAATCGCGGCTTGAAAGATCTTCAATCGTTAGCGTTAACCGTGTACCGTTCGCGGACGCAACTCCTCTGGGGAGAATCCTGGCGAGACTCCACTACCTTCACTCTGCACTCGGGCTTTCGGACTCGAGGACTCTCGGTTTTCTCGGTTTCTCGGATTCTCGGGCTCTAAGCTCCACACGTCTGACTGCCAGCCTGGCCACAACATGAATGTCTGGATGTCAGGTGTGCGATGCTCCGCTATGCCCCATCCGATGCGATGCGTTCCGGCTCCCTTTGCCGAAGTCGGGACGAGTGTTCGTGCCACGGCGTAGGCGTCTCTCCGGGAGATTTGCCACTCGCAGAGCGAGAGAGAAAGAGAACGAGAGATAAAACCGGAGAATATATCCCGATAACCGTTATTTTCTGCGACAGTCGGTGCTGCCCACTTGCTGCAGGGTTGCTCCTTGACAGCTGCCAGGATATCGGACAGGACTTGAGACACCGCAGGGTTGCATGACAAAGCTACTGAAGAGCTTTTAAGGACTACTAAGTTGTTATTTGATTTCAAAAATAGGAATTCTTCAAGATGTCTAAGAAAATTATAAATATAATTATAAAGAAATTGTTTTAAAATTGATAATAGAAAAAAAAATACTACATAATTTTAAAAAATTTCTTGTACAATTATTTTTGTTTTCAATTAATTTCACTCATTGATTTATTTTCTTCCATTTCAATTTACTTTATGTAATTTCTTGCAATTAAAATAGTGTAATACATTTTAAATTACCCAAAATATATTTTCATTTATCTTTAATCTTGCTTAACCCGTACAATATTTTTTCTCCCATGAAAAAGCTTTTCTTGCCCAAGTTTTAAAATTACACAATTACAATTTGCATTTTGAATAAGCCCTCGAGGCTACCCATGATGATGGTAATCAAATGGGTTACTCGAGTGGCCGGCACTCCCAGTCTAGCCACTCCAGATCTCCCAATCAGGCTCATCAATCTGTCAACTCCTTCGAGGAGGCCTCATAGAACATACGGCCACTTGGGCGAGGACAAAGGACCTGCATAAGGTGGCGGCACAAAATGTTCGAGAGCCTGCTGCCTCTCAAGGTGCAAATTAGCAGAGCAGCAGGATAACCTCTGGGTTCTAATAAAGGTATTTCCCGATCCTGAATCCTGAAGGCAGCTGCCTTTGGCCCGCAGAAATCGAGACTTGTTGGATGTATCCTTATGCGGGTTCCTCTGCGAAGGAATGTCTCGTGCCAAGGTGCCAAATGCAACATATCGGTTTCCGAGATCATTTTATTATTATGCGTTCTTTTTTTATTAGGTTGTTGTGTATATATTTTGGACACAGATGTTAGCGAACACAACGGATGGGCTGCTGCTCCTGCTGCTGCTGCATCACACCCTTAAAAACGGGGTAGTTTTTGTCGGCATGATTTTACAGAATTTCGGGCAATGGATGCGATGGGTTGGGCTGCAACAGGACATCTCCTTAAATGCTATACGGCTCTTTTGACGCTTTAAATTGATTCACACCGCGCACGCAACTTAGACACCCCCGATTTTCATGCTGCTGCACCCTCCTGCGTCCTCGCATCCCGGCATATATCCTGGCATATCCTGTTCACTCGCTTTTTTCCGTGCTGTCATGCATTTGTATTTGATTAAACATTTTTTACGCGTTTCCGTTTTGAGGCCATCATTAGTTTGCCCCGTTTAGGGTTTCACTCTGGACCAGCTTCGGTTCACCCACACCCAGGGTGAGTCCACCCCCATCATCAAGTTTCCTTCTCGTTCGTGGCAGCTTGTGTGCTTAGGCGCAACTTGCATCTGTCCAATTCCGTGTCCCGAGTCCACTTCCGCTTTTCCGCTTTTCCCACTAAAAGTGCCACGGTATTTGTTTTAGTCTCTCACAGATCGATAGGCCATGTCAATGGCCTTTTATGGCATTTCATTACCGGACTGCAGCGTTATTTCGAAATAATTGTGAAGAATCACCCAAGAAGCAATCATCATTATTGTTTTAGCAGACGTGCAACCCCCGCGTAGATGATGTATTCGTTTCTTTCACAATTATAAAGCCATTATTTGATGGCTCACAGGGTTTGTTTGCACTCAACTCAAGGAGGAATTAAAGTTTTTCATGTCAGTTTATCTATTTCAATTTTTATTCAAGTGTTTTTTAAATATTTAAAAATTTTAGAGGGTTTTTTAGGTATTTATTTATTTGCTTCTTAGGTTAACTCTTCCAAAATGTAAAATAAACCTCCATAAATAAGGGTTTCTAAAGAAATAAAATAAAATAATATAAAAATAAAATAAAAGTAAGAATTATTTTCCCATTTTCTTGTTCCCAAATAAATAAATATTTCTATTTGCAGTTTTTCGTTTTTATTCAAGTGTTTTTTACATTCTTTACAATTTTTAAGTAATTTTTAAGGATTTTTTTTACAAAAATATGTATTTTCTATGTGAATATATTCCAAAGAAAAATATATATCAATAAGAAAATAATCATTCTGTTTTACAATATTTTTAAATATTAAAATATATATATGTCTTTGTATAAAAATATTATACTTTCTTTATATTTCCATTTTTATTATTTCTTTCGTTTTTAGTTTTCCCAAAGATTTTTTATTTATAAAAATATATTTCCCAAAGATAAAGATTTCTTTTTCAGTTTTCCTTTTTTATTCAAGACTTTTTCTTATTAATTTACAATTTTTATGGGTTTTCCAAATGTAGTTTTTGTATAAAAATATTTGTTTTCAAGTGTATATTACGCATAAAAATATTTGGTCAAAAAATCTATATTCCTTGCTTATTGTTTATGCACTCGAGCACAACGATCCTTGTAAACTTTAGGCTTAGAGTTTAGTATCACAAAATCTCAACCGATATGGTTCCGTATGATATAGCTTACAATTAGAGTTAATGACTAGATTGAGCGAAAGTTTCCCATTTCGTTGTACTCTGCGGTTACAACCAATTTACAATTATGACAAGTGCTAAGGAACAATAGCGCTGTGATATTGCCCCGATTATTGGGATTGCTTAGATTATTGCTTTAAGTACACAACCGCCGGTTCAGAGATGCCTGTGGCCCTTATAGCTAGGTTGTACTGTTCAATACTTTGACTGGTAGTGAGACGCTGGTCCAATGTCCGTTTCTATGCCTAACTAAACTAAACGGGGGGCATTTATTATCCCCCCATCTTAAGTTCCTAAAAAATGACTAGAGCTCACACTCGTTTTTTGGTTTACCAAAGCACTGGGTTTGGATTTTTGTTTAAACTTAGGTTTGGGTTTGGTTTTTGCTTTTTGGTTTGGTTTGTAACTTAATACCTATTACTGCACAATTTCGCCTGAATTTTGTTTTCGGTATATAACCTATATAGAACTAAAGCTGTATCCGAAATATGAAGAATGATGTACGTACTATCAAAGTACAAACTTAGAAAAATCGAAATGAAGGAGTACTAACGTATCTAAAGTGACTAGAAGGAATGCAAGAACTTATGACTAGAATGACATGAGAATGGTTAAAGGGTGGATATTTATGATATATGTAATGTATATGATATGTGTGTGAAAGAAGAGCTTGAGATATGAGTAGATGGATTTATGGTAGATGAAGAAGAAAGGTGACTATGAGCATGAGTCATGAAAAAAGAGTTATGAAAGTGTGAAGTATGGAATGTTGAAGGATGAGTGATGAATGAGTCATGAATGAAAGAGTTGTAAAGTTAAGGGATAGTTTGAAATATGATATATAGGCTGGTTAGTATCAGATGAAGTTAGAAAATACGAAAGTTGTTAGTTTGGTTTTTAGACTATTTTCAATACCTAGTTCATTGCACTCCCAACTACTAATTTATAATTACTGACTAGATGAAATGCTTTTCTGGTACAAGTACTAGTACTCAAAAGACTATTTCGAGATCGTATTGAAGCTGACTAGTTGCAACACTGACTAGTTGTTACACACTGACTATGATGTATGACTAGAAATACCTTTGGAATGTCTGACCGAAGTACGGATTACAAATCAGAGCCTGACTAGAACTGAACTCATCTTGAACTGGAACTCAACTAAATCGAATTAATAACTAAACTTTACCAGCTAACTAATAGTAAAATATGGAAAATTAAATTCCCTTTTGGATAAAATTAATGTCTTTGGTCTGCTTCAGCTGCATTAACCCCTTGAGGTCAGGGTTATTTCTCAACTAATAACTAAACTTAACAGTAACTCGCGTGAGATCTCACTCGCTTTCAGTGCGCCATGGTGGTGTGCTGGATGACGGAGGCGCAGTTTCTCAGATTGGTCAAGGCCGCCGCCGCTATGCTCTCCTCCTCGGTCAGGCCATGCTCCACGATCTGGAGCCGCCCATAGCCCACGGAGGAGGCCGAAGAGCTGCTGTCCGAGAGGTAGTCGTTGTCGTACTCGTAGTTGCTCCTGGCGGCATAGACACCCTCATCGGAGTGCAAACTACTGGCCGAGGAAGTGGAGGCCGCCTGGTTGAAATGGAAACTACCTGTGATGGTGGTGGTGGTGCTTGGTGCCTGCATTTCCAGTGGCTTCTCCTCCGGCTTCCCCAGCGGCTTCTTCTGGTGCGTCAGCTGGTGTTTTCTCAGATAAGCCGCCCGCTTGAACTTCTTGCCGCACTCCCCGCAATCGAAGGCCAACTCCTCGGCTCCTTTTTTCTCCGCCGGCGACTGCTGCTGCTCTAACTGGTTTATGGTGTTGCGATTCTCCTTCTTCGAGGAGGTGGTGGCCTCCTTGCGGGGTTTGTGCCAACGGCGATGTGAGGCTAGGTTGGCCGGACAATTGAACTGTTTGCCGCACTCAGGACACCGGTACTCCAGGAGCACTATGCAGGCACAGCGATGACGGGCCAGGCCAAAGGCATCCTCGAACTTGATCTTGCACAGCCGACACACATAGTCACCAATCACATTCTTGATGGCAGCCAACTCGGCCTTGGTTTCCTCGGTGATCTCAACGATGTTGTATTTGGGATCAATGTCACCATTGCTGTACTGCATCGAGCCATCGGTGATGTCCTCCAAGGGGCGGATAATGGTGCCTGAGACCGGAGAGCTGGTCTCCTCGTCGAACTTCAGTTTGCGCGTGGCCTTGTTCCGTGAGGATTTCGAGGAGGAGGCACTGGCCTTGCTGGTCCTTGGCGCTGAATCGAGTGCTTTAATGGGTTTCGCTGGCGTGGCTTCTACAGTTTCTGTTGGGGATTCAAGCTTGGCCATTTTAGCCGGCTGCCCATCATCGTCGCAGCTCAATTTACGCTTAATGAGCAGCTCTGGACTCTGAGGCGGTGTGGGGTCGGATTTTGGTGTTAGCTGTGCAGCCTCCTGTTCGTGCTTCTCCTGCTGCTGCTCCGGCGCAGTTTCCACTACTGCCTCGGTCACATTTTCACTGTACACCTCGGTAAATGTGGTGGCCATCGGCACATCGCTGCTGGGCAGCGGCGAGGGCAGCTTCACCGACAGATCCAACGGAATTTCGCACCTGGTCTTCAGGTTCAGATACCGGCTGCGGTACTTGGGCGGCAGAGAGGCCACCGTGGTCAGCAGCCCCAGGCCATGGGGCATGCCCTTGTGCTGCAGCTGGATGCCGATGCTGTGCGGATGGCGGAGGGTCTCGGTTCCCTGGCATTGGGTTTGTGTCTGCGTCTGCGTCTGGGCCATGGCATCGATAGCGTTTAAACGTAAAAAAACTTGAACGCGTTGAAGGGGAAACGGAAACGAACGAGAGAACGGGAACGGGAACTAAGCAAACTTAACAACAAACTGATAACGCTGATCCTTGCGGACTGGAAAATGGAAACAAGGACCTCCAGTCGGCTCGACGTTTGTGCTGCGAATGACGTTCAGGGTATACGGCGGCGGCTATTTATGTATGCCGCCAGGGGCCAAAGGAAAGCGAAACTGAAACCGAAATCATTGTTTGTGCCGGCGTCGCTCCTGGAAATTACATTTCAACCCCCTTTTCTCGGCCAAGTCGTTGTCCTTTTTCGACGCCAACTGAGGCCGTGGCAGCGGCAGCGACGCCAGCAGAGCAGCAAAAGCCGGAATCTTTTGTTAGCAATTACACACACACATTAGTCACCCTTTTTTCCAACTCACAAACACACACACACCTAGGCCGATCTCTGTTAGTGAAAGTCCTACGCACACAAACAAACGGAAAGCAAGGACAATGCACTCGGCGAAATCAATGTGCGACAGCTGTTATCCTGGCCACGCACCAAAAACTCTGCAGCACGTTCCTCGTTCTATTTTTGTTTTTGGCAAATATTCAGCGGAAATCGGAGCCTCACATTGTCCTGATTTTTGGCGAAAAACAGCTGACAACCATGAAACCGTTAATTGAGCGTGTAACCATAAGGTCAGAGTGCAGACAAATCTTCAATGGGTCGGACGGGGTTCCTGTGGATCCTTGAAAGAAAAGAAGAGCTAGCTGGTTGTTGCCATTTGGACCAAAAAAAAACAGCTGTTGGCAATTGGAAGAAATAAGATATTTTATGAGCCATAAAGTGACTTGTGTTGTAGGTAAACAATGTAACAAGTAAGGACTCTAGGTAGCAAGGACTCTAGGGAGAATTTTGCATCTGGTTAAGGAGATCTTTGTGGTTAGGTTTTATAAAATATGCAGATATATAACTAAGGGGATCTATAAAGAATATTAGAAACTAGTTTGTAGATTTTATTTATGGTTTCTAATCCAATAAAATATAAAATAAATAATTTATATGATTATTTTATTATAAAACCAAAAGATACTGCCTTTATATTCCCATTCCTAGCTAAAGTTACTATTGAAACATAAACTCATAATTTTAAAAGTATTAATAATATGTCCCCCATTTTTCTCTGTGTACTTTTAGCCACTGCATTTATCAGGTTTTTGCGGCCACCTCAGACGACGGGCTAAGCTCGTCAAGTTTTTGGTGGGGTAGGTATCAGACGCAGGAGCAAAAGCCGGAGCAGACACAGACCGGAGAGTTCGAACTTCGAACTCCACCACCACCACCATCACCGACCCAGGCACGGGACACAGTCTCGGCTGTATCTGTATCTTTAGCCCTATCTGTGTGTTTGGATACACAAAGCTGTGTGTGTGTGTTTGTGTTTGTGTGTGCTTTGCATTAATATAATCGAAATGCGACGCCGGCAGTGGTTGCCATGAAAGGGAATGCACTTTCGATTCCAATTGAGGGCTTTCGTCGCAGGACTCTCGGTCCTGGAAATATGGCATATTATGTTGAACACGACGCCGCCATTGTTGTTGTTCTTGTATTACGGTAGGCACGTGCATGGCAACGATTGCCACCCCAAAAAATATATCGCCCCGACAAAGTGTGTGTGCACGGGGAGAAAATGAGCAGAGAAATTTTGATGTGAATTTAATACATAGTTCCTTAAAAATAGTTCCTATAGTTTCTATCTATTAGAAGCTTTTAATAGCAGATAAAACATATTTTTCATGAAAATAAAAAATAAAGCGTGTAAATACAAATTATATTGGAGTTAAATACCTTTTAGGAAGTTATTCCTCTTAGAACTTGTATTTATCATCTTATTTTTCATATTTTTAGTATCAGAAAGAATTCTGAAGGGCACTCGATCACTAATAACCGTAAACTTAGCGGGTTTTTGCGCGTCGCGATTGGGATCAACTTATTATGTTCACATGAAAATCAGTACTAATGACATGTTATCTAAACGTAAGCTTGGGAGAGCGTCTTGGAAAGCTCTACTAGACTGGAAGTGCTAAGCGAAAACAAATGAGAGAGAGAGAGAGCGTGCAAGAGCGCGTAAAACGGGACTATTCGAGGCTGCTGGCGGGATCACGTTGCCTCTTGGTGCTCTCATAGCATGTATTTAATTTTTTTTATTATTATTATTTATAACGTTATTTTAAAATCTTGCCTTATATCAAATATGTATAAATCATTTTAGCTTCAATATAATATAACTCCTTACACAAAAATATTTTAAATACTTTTAAAATAATCTATTTACTTTAAATCCAAAATATATACATTTTCACTAAAAATTTCTCTCAGTGTGCCGTGCCAAAGTGCAGAGAGTATTCCCTAGGCGACCCAATCGCAGCAGGGTGGCCACGACAGGCAGGGGAATCGATGTTTGCCATGCAGCTTAGAATTAAAATAGCGCACGCATCCCGAAGCCGAAGCTGAAGCCAAATCCAAGTCCAAACTTCGCATTGAATGAATCGGAGAACCCGGGAGAAGGCAACAAAAGTCTCAGAAGTGCGCCAGCCACGCGAGCATTGTCCTATTCGCTCCTGCCACCATCGTCCCATCGTCTGTCATCCTTGCGTCCTCTCGTCCTGAAATCCTGAAAGCCCAAGCCAGATAGCTCCGGCACAGAGCGAATTCCAACCCTAGCAGAGAGTCTCCTTCTTCTTCCCTTCCTGCAAAGCGTTTGCCAACTTATCCTTGTCACTCACAAATGCCGCCTTATTTGGTTTGCGATAAAGTGAGAGAAAAGCGAGACGCGAAAATCAAGCCATCAAAAAGATGAAGTTTGATTAATCCGAGGACAAGCCTATTCCAGAGGATTAGTGCCTTGTTGGTTATAGATTTCTTTCCGGATATTATCATCCATCAATTCGGAGAGCACTTTTATTAATATCTTATGACAATGACCTCTGAACTTTGGGACAATACTACATTAGGTTTTTGCTCTTTGTTTGAATTTGAGAGTCAGCATTAAGTTTGCTGAAGGAAAAGCTTAGGAAGCATGATTAACATTAATAGAATATATATTTAGTAAAGCTTCAATTTGTTTAAGATATAATTTACATCATATTATTTGCTCGCTTTTACAGTATTATAATGGATCTTGGGAGTTTTCACGATTTTTAGCTTAGTTATAATGAAAATCCAATTCGATCCTATCAAAAAGGATAAACAAACTAAGGTTTCAACATAATAAACTTAGTTTCTTGTTTATTTATAATTTCTTTATTTCTTTATTTCCTTATTTCCATATTTCTTTATTTATTTCTTTCTTATTTAATGTTAAAATATATCCAACTATAAATATCCCTTTAAAATATCCTCGCATTTTCTCTGCGTGTGCCAATCGTAATCTCCTTTGACTGCTCTGATTTTCTGCGCTCCAAGGCGTTCTTGGCACAAATTTGCACTCGACAAACACCCACGACATCCCGGGGATACGCCTCCCACCTCCCCCAGCTGTGAGGGCTGAGGACACCCCTCACACACAAATCGCCCACAAACCCCCACAGAGATCTACGCATTTTGTTTGTTGTTTGTTCCAATGCTAACCCTTAAGTGCATCTTTTTATGGTAATTTCAAGAGCACTCCCCAGTCCCCACCTCGAATCTGTCTGCATGTCCTGCCCGTCATCTGCATCCTCGTGCCCTGCGAGGCTCCTTGGCAATAATTAATGTTCGAAAATGCATCGTTTATGCGGCATAATGCATTTTCGTTTTCATTCTCGTTTTCATCTGCCTCGAGTGTGTGTGTGTGTGTTTGTGTGTCTCAAAAGGCTTTTGAGCCGCGTGCACTTTTGCTTGGGCAGCTCCTCAAGGATCCACTCCACACTTGTAGCACATGTTGCCCATTGTCGGGGCCGCCAGATGGGAGCCGTTCCTTTGCCTTTTTGGGGGTTCAGACTGCCGCCACTGAGCTGTAATTAAATTTTTCGCTTTCATAATTTCATGCAATTTCAGCAGCTCGAGCAGGAAACTGATTTGGTTTGCAGGGCGTCAAGGTTTTTTTTTAATTGCATTTCAGTCGACTGTGAGTGAGATGTGGGCAGGAATAAAGCTACCAATTTGCATTACTCCATTGGATATTACAATTACAAAGCTCGAAATTTGCTGTAACTCTGGGAGATTGAGCTGCCAATAAGCCAATCTCAGCATGTGTGTGGTTCAATAAAAATCTATCCCACTGGGTTAAAGGAATTTGGGAGATGAACCAATTTAAGGCTTGAGAAAATAACAGGAAAAAAAGGGTTAATTTAAGCTAGAATTTTATAAATTTAAATATTAAATAAAGCTTCGCAAAAACACAAATGTGCAAGGTGCTAATGCAATAATAAACATTTTTCAGCACTTACCCAGCCAGAAATCATTTAAATAAACACAATTATTTAACATTTCTCTTTAGCATTTCGCTTGAAATAATTATGCAGCCTGAGCTTAAAAGAGTGTGAATATTTTTTAATTGCATTTCAGAGGCCTGAGGCCTTAAATGAAAACTAATTAACATTTAAATTTGCAATATTTATTTAGCTTAAATTAATATTTACTTTGCTTAAATAAAAGTAATTTTACTTGAGGCTGGTCCTCAGGATAACTTTAATTTTAAATTCAGAGATTCACCCTATGAAATTCATTTTAAAATCAAGAAAATTCTCTTTGCTGCACAAATTAAAATCAAATTTATAAATCAAATGCTAGCTTTTCATTAATTATTATGCAATTTCTGCAGCCTTGGGCTTCAGGGGTGCGTATAATTTTCAATTAAATTCAAGCAGAAATCTAAGGGATCCCCGGATATAACCAATTTATAAAATTTTATTTGATCTCAAACAGTCTTGCCGGCCAATAAGCCAATCGCAGCATGTGTGTGTGTGTGGTCTAAGGAAGGACTATCCACCGAGCTTAAGGAATTTGCTAGCAAATCCTCGCAAAGTAAACAAAACCCCCTCTGAAATAGAAATTGCTCATGACTAACCCCCAAAAATAACTGAACCCAAAGGAGATGGGAAAACCTGGCATAATTATGGTCGTATTCCGCCAGTTGTGCAGCATGCACAAAAATATAAATACATACAATAAATGAGCGCCGCAGGACACAGGAGCCCGCGGAGCAACTGAGATAGAGAGCAACATTTTATAGAAAAAAAAAAACAATCACAATTCACAATTCTGTAGGGTGTCGAAGTGCTCCAGGCACGCGACCGGCGACCAACGTTCATTTGTGTGTGTGTGTGTGTGTAGCTGTGCTAATGTCCCTTGGAAAGGACTGCGCGAATTGGTCTGGTGCACATTCGGTGCCTTGTCATACAGCGGCATGTGCGGTGTGGAAATCACAATGCAACCACCGAAGTCCACAATCCGATCCCGAATCGCAGTCCGAACCCCCGGCAGAAGTCGAAGTACGAGCACACACTACCAGGAGCAGCCAGCGAAGCCCAAAATTTAGCCAGGTGCATTTTGAAACACCAAAACACAAAACACGAGCCTCATAGCGCAGCACCACTATGCGAGTGAGGGGTGGCAGGGGTCTACAGTAGAAACTGGGTATAGGAAACGGAAATAATTGAGAAATTTTGTATATAAAAACTAAAAAGATTGGATTTGATAAAAATAATCAAGAGAAAATAATATTAACACTATAATATCATGATATTGCATTATAATCTTTTTTTTTTGTTTATGAATCTTTTAAATACGAAAACCATAAAAAGGGAATATATAAATATGTGTATATTAATATAGTTCCATTTAAAATATTTTCTACATTATTTATTATATTAAAAAAACATTTAAAAAATACTATTTTTAACAAGAAATTACATAGCTTTCCAACTGATCATCATTTCAGTTCTCCCTGAGAGTTTCCACTGTCCTCGACTATAAAGCAGAGCTCAAGCGTGGCGCGATTTCGATCCTGTTCGGGTCTGAGGCTGTTGCTGATTTCGAATAGGGTTTTTATTTTTTTTTTTTGTAAAACGTTGCGCCCTTAGGGGTGGCAAAGTGCACCCAAAAATGGGAATGGGTAGAGGCTTGGGCTCGGGGTTCGGAGCTCGGAACTCGGAGTTTCTCCGCTCGCATATCCGCATGTCAGTCACAGTGCATGAATGTCTAGGGAGGGTTCGCTTATAGCGGCGGCGAAATATAAAATATTTCCTTTTTTACCCCTTGGCTCACTTATCAGACTATATATGCATATAAAATTCCAATTGGACGCGTTCACCGCAAAAGGACGAAAGCGACAGGAGATGGAGGTGGTGGCGGAATTCTCCCTTTTTTTTCGCGTTTTTATGCCTAAGCCATGCCAAGATCCTGTGCAGGATTCTCCCTCAAGCTGCTATTAGATGCAGAGGGAGAAAATTTAAGCATTGTGGAATAATATTAATTTAAATAAGAGGATAATTTAAGGTAAATATATAACTGGTAAGTTTATAATTACTAGAAAATTAATATCACAAAAATTAGCGGACTCTAACGTAAATATTAAATCAGAACCTTCTCTTCTCTCCCAGAACCTTCTCTCTACTTTTCCAGCACCCTAAAAATACCCCTCAAAATTATTAAACAATTATATTCCTTTTTTCTCCCAGTGTCCCCGCTTTGCTGCTGTGTGAAAATTGCACGACTTGCGCTTCTGCTTTTGACAATGGCCTCACATTAACTAGTTTCCGTTGCACTCCCATTGCCAGTGCCAATCCCAATCCCAGTCCAAGGCCCACTTTTAATGAGTAACTGTGCACGAAGCACTGCGAAACTGGGGAACTTCATTACAAAAGCACCCCATTCGCAGGACTGGCAGGACTGCAGCCACCTCTGCTGGGCCGCTTCCTGTTTGGTTTGTTTCAATTAAATCGCATGTGCGAGCGACAACGAAGAGGCGCAGGCAGGATATACCGGGGCCCAGGACACATTGCAGGACACATGGCTCATCTGTTACTTAATCATGGCATTGCCATGGATACGCGTACCTCGAATTGCGAGGGTGTTGTATTTGTGCTCGACCTTTTGAGCACAGCGAACCCACTGATATTTATTGTTATTGCCCCGGGGGAGGAATGGGATTCAAGGCAGAAAATTCCCCATCTTTTAAAGCCTTCGTGGGACTCTGACTTAGTGGTATTTCTCAGGTTCCGCCCAATCTCAAAGCTTTGTCCTTCATTCATGTGGAAATGCATTTCATGATTGATTTATAGTTGCTTATGGCATAATAATTGGGGTATTCATAGGGCAGAAAATATTCTGTTTTGATTAATGCTGATATTCTTGATGTACATGAGCGATAAATAATTATTAATCAATTTAATAAAGGTTGTATGTCAGCTGGATGTGTATATGATGGGCTGAAAGATGTCTAGTTTATAATATAATATTTACAGGAATTTATAAACCTTGTAAAACCTTTCGAGTTAAATTTAAACAATTTTTAAATGTTCTGTATTGCTTTTACTGATATGTATTGATATTGTATTGTATATATTTATGTTCGTTCTTTTCGAGTTTCGTAGTCCTTCTAGTAATCCTTTTCCCCGACTTCACCTATATCCTTTCTAGTAATACAGGTAATCCGAATAGTCATACGAGGGCGCACCCCAAGTGGCATTGCTCCAGCCGAATTGATAGCGTATGAGCGCATCCAAACCGTTCACATCCAGGCCCAATCTCTGTAGTTCCCCAGTGATGGTCTTTCCCGGCGGCGAGGCTATGACCCTCTCATAAACCGGACGCAAGGCCACCAGACGACGCCAAAGTTCAGACAAAAGAGGACTCGTCTGGGTGGAACTTGGTTCCAGAAGAGAACGTATCAGTTGCACGGGATAGATAGCCACAAACTCCTGCTGGAATCCCTGGATGCCATTGACTATCTGCGACCAGTAGGGATACTTGTTGAAGATTTTAATCTCCAGCTCCAGGTACTCGAAGATCTTGGGGGAACCGCCAGACAGAACCAACTGCTGGGTGACCCACTGCTGCAGCTGACGCACCTCCGGCTGGTTGCCGAATTGCCGGATGAATCGATAGGCTGGCATGGAGTTAACAACTCTAATCAAGCCCTGGAACTGAACATCGTTCAGCAAATAAGTCTGGACCAGCTTCTCGAGCTGACCCACTGGCACCTGGCGGATGACTCCTCTCAGCTCCAAGGCAAAGTTACTGGGCGCAGCTTGGGTTCCATTCGAGGCGAAATTCCGAATCGGCGCCAATAGGGCTGGTGTGGAGGCCGAAAAAGCCACGAGACAGCTGAGAGCCAATAGAGTATAACCGTAGAACCGCATCCTGATCTGTGATCACTTGGAGAACTAGTTGGTAATACCCAACCACTCGCCGCTTTTATAGGGAACAGAGGTATCGCTGTTATCTGGATTCTGTTTGTGGCTTAGTCCGATAAGAGATTCTTTGCTTTACAAAATCTGACGTGATCCAGGTGGGAACAGAGAAGATCCAGCGACAGATCTGTGTACCGGCGCCAAGTGCCAAGATAAAAGGGAGTCTATTTACGGCCCTTAGTCATTCCTTTCCGCCAGTTGAGACTTGGTTTACTTAGCCGGCAGTCGTTTATGGCAACACGTCTAAGTTTAAAGCCTAGAAAGTTGGGGAAAAGTAATGGGAACTAATAGGCAGGTAGTTCATATTAAAAAAATTTAATACCTGTTTATAATTAACCCAAAAATCCCCTTGTGATGAACTCATCAAGATGATGCCTCATTTTTAAGTACAAATACTTATAAAGAAAATAAAAACAGTCCAAGAAAAAATAAGATAAGTATAAACAAATTTCATTCATATTTCCGTAGATGCAATTCTCTATTTAACTTGGGTAAATTAATTCTCCACAAAAACAACAACATTTGCCACAGATTTAAGCGCACGTACTTAAGATAATAGTGTCATAATACAAATATTTTAACTAGTTCTCTCCTAACTATCCGAGGCTGACTTCACAGTCAATAAATCGCGTTGTGCTCACATGGAAATGTCGTGAAGTTTAAGGAACTATTTACATTTAATTTGGAAAAGGTAGTAAAGTGACAGTTCCCTAAAAAATGACACATATAATTTAAGGGGAATTACGGTTGCCATAAAACTCTTGCAAAAAACATAAAAAAAATTTTATAAAATTGTATTTTAAATGAAGATAATATCTATTTCTCTGGAAAAGGTTTTGTATTAAACAAAAAAATTCTACCTAAAAAAATGATGATGTGATGAATAAATAAAACATTTAAAAACCATTTCAAAAGATACTTATCTTCATTTATCAAAAGAAATCTCTATAATATTTTTTTCTTTGATAAAAAAGCAAACTATGACAATGGAAACCAGGAATGTAAATTTAGACAATGAACCCAAATGAATGTGAAGAGCACATTATTAACCATGTTCTCCAAGAATCATATCTGCAATCATCAAAAGGAAAATCAAAACGAACAAATCTCCTTCAGAGATCTCTATTGTAAACTTTGCCGGACTCCATTTGGTCAAGTGCACAGCCTGCGCATGTAAATGAACAGATGGGCTTTGGTAATTAGGTAGTTGCTAGTTTATATGTTTATATATTCCTACACCCGATCGCATATCCGGTCCAGGCTACATTAGTTCCACTCGAAGAGAGTTCCATTGGAATGTCGAATGCACACGCAGATGCGAAGCTAATTAGGATTGGCCTGGGACACGCCTCTCCTGCGAGCTGTTCCCTAAAAACAAAAGGTGGAAATTCCAATTGAGCAGGAAACCGACAGATTTGCTATATAATTTGGAAAATATCAAACTTCTAGGGAGTCTGTGTGCTCTAGAGAATCCGAAAAGAGATGCAGGGCGAAGCCACCCCAAAAAGTATAGAAACTGGGAGGTTATAGGGGGAGATTTAGGGTGATTCTCGCTTCAGGGGGTTGATTTTTAGTTTAGTTTGCCAGAGCATAAGCATTTTTGTTGGCCAGGGTCGATCGCATGTTTGGTTATCGGAATGAGGAGGGGAGTTGGGTTGCTATTTTCAATGACCAAAGGCAGCTGCAAAAAAAGTGTATATCGTAGGTATAGCAAACAAACCCCCTTTGGCAGAGCTTGATAAATCATGTGTAAAGGTATTTTGAAGCCCGATTTTTGCTAGATTTTTATTTTATATCTCTCATATTGGCAGCTGCAGCTGCTGAATATCCTGATGCCTGATGCTGCTGAAAAAGCGGAGTGAAAAACCTAAACAGAAAATGTTGCCATGCAACGTTACAAAAAAAAACAACTCTGCAAGACGACAGGACGAAAGAAAATATTTCGTTTTTAATTGATTTGGCATGCTTCAATTTAACGCTTCGCTGCCACTTCCTCTTTTGCATGCGAGTCCTGCACGTGTCCTTTCGGTTCCTTGCGTATTGCACCTCTTTATTCTTTAGTTTTTCTATAATTTTTGAATATATTTTGTTCCTGTCCACGTATGTAAAACTCCAGAGCAGGCACTTCCGCTCCGTGACATGCCAATGAGTCAGAGTCCTGAGTAGGCAAGTCCAAAGGGAATCCGATTCGGAGTCTTGTACTGTAGCTACAGGTATGTCTTGGGGTTATATTCCTTGCCATTTACATTTATTTTTCCCCTTCCCACAATTGGCACGCGTCAAAACAAGAAGGGCGAGAAGTCAGTGAGTATTTTTTAGGGGTTGTTGGTTGGGTTTTTTTCCTTATTTTTTTTTCTTTCTTATAAGAAGCATTCCTCCGCCGGAAGAAGCAAAGCAACACGTTCAAGACATTGTTGAGTCACCACTAAAATTATTATTGCTCTTTTTCCCCCTTTGTCCCTGTGCCGGCATTTATTTCATTTTATTCGAAGGACAAGGACCTTCCCCTTGCTCTTGGCAGGAGGATCTTATCGTTCTTATCGGAGGCGCCTTCTTCTATCGCTTGTCCTTTTCGGGGTTCCCTTCATTCATTCAGGGTTTTCTTTCATTCATTCGTCGTCACTTAATTGAGATGCGAAGGAGGGTGACGAGAGAGAGAGAGGAAGTGGAAAAAGGACTCCTCGCCAAGGAGGCGACTGAAAGAAGAGGGGGAGAAGAGAAACCAGAATGAGCCCATAAAAGGGGCAATTCCTTTTGGGCTGGTAAGTGCCAATTGTAGGTTTCACTTTAGGCTACAAATTGAAACGCCCCTCTTGCCAGGACCTCTTCCCCTCTTTCTTGGTCCTTTGTTTACCTTTTCTCGGTCTGCCTCGTTTCCTTTTTTTTTTTTTCCTGCTCTCCGGGGGAAGCCATTAAATTGATTATAAGACATTGTTGAAATGTGTGTAAACTGCTCGGTGTCTCAGACATTCTGTCGCCGAGGGAAGTCCCCTTATTGTCTCCGTTGCTGTCTCGGTTTCTCGGTTTCTCGGTTTCTCGGTTTCCCTGTTTCTCTGCTCACAAGGATATGTGCATTTCCTAGGGCGTGGCATAATTGAGTCAAGTCGAAACTGAGAAATTCAACTAATTAGAGGGGCAAGACGAGAAAAATATAGGTGTTAAGGGGACCATTTGAAATGGTAATGGGTTCACCTCGAGGGGTTAATGAAGCTAACGACGGAGTCTCAGAAGAAAAAGGTGTGTGTTTGAGGTGGTTACCAGGGAGTTAACCCTGCTTGAAGTCAGCTGAAACCACAGCTTATAACGGTATTGTTCTTGGGGTTAATGGTCGCAAAAGGAATCAAGGTGTCAATAAAAAGATCTTTGTGAGGGATTTGTTATTAGGGAAAACATTGAAGGGTTAATGTTTTTGTAAAGGAAGCAGGGAAGTTTCTTTGAAAGGAAGGTAAGTCCTTAATAATTTACCAAGCTGTTAAGAGATTAATGAACCACAAGGGATTTTAAAATTACGGATTATTTGTTAAAAAGCGAACAAAGGTAAATATTTTAAATTATTTTAAAGGTTTGAGGAATTTTTTAGGAGGGAAATTATCTTATAGATAATTTTTATATAAAAGAAAGCTGCAATTTTATTGTAATATTTGTTTATTCTGGATTTTCTTTTCCTAGTAAAAATAGAAGTAAAGTAAAAACACATTAAACTCAAGCTGAAAAGGCACTGAACTTAATTCTGGTTACCAAGGCATACTTCACCCCATAATTATGTTTCGAAATTAAACAAATTGCTATTTCCACAATTCATTGAACAGAAAATCAAAATGCAAAGGGTCTATGTTTATAACTATGACTTTTCCCCTCTCCACACACATCCTGTTTAGTCCTAAAAAGTCAGCAGCTGCTCTGTTCGAACCTTTATCGCAATCACTGATAAATAGTGGTTACAGCCCAGAAATCTGTCGAGAGCCGCCTGTTCACGGCTCGTTGGCCAGGACACACGTGTGTGCATGGCTACATTAGCATATAGAATATATAAAAATGCATAAAATAAATGTATGAATAGGGAAAAGCTCCCTCTGCCATTAGGCAACACAAAGCAAACAGCGCAGGCGCAACTGGGGTTCGAATTTTTAGACACAGAAACTGGGTTGGGCACGTTCCAACCCGGGAATAGAGGAACAAACCCCTCTGGCTTAGATAACTGCACACACACGCATAGCAGAGGACCAGCTGCCTTGCCAAAAACGAGTTTATCCTTATCCGAATATATGCAGGACTCGCGTGCCGTCAGTCCGGTTCCCTCCCCCTTTTTTGAGCTCATTTCGTTGCTCATAAATAACAATGCAATGATCCCCAGGTATTTTTCACGTGTTTGGCACGTTTCACTCGATTTTCCGGTTCTCGATTCTCCGGCTCTCCCCCTCCTCCTTCCCGCTAATCCCCTTGCCGGAGAGAAGGTCGAAGGCTAAGGCACGCGTCCCCTTTGATAAATTGTGCTTTAAAGCGATGGGGTACTAGTGTTCCTCCTGGGTTCTGTTTTCTAGAGCAAAAGCCTTGACAAATGGCCAAAACAACTCTGGCGGACAGCCCACTACGACTGCGATGAAGAAGACGAACAATTGTCTGCCTTATTGCTCGAATAAATCTTCATCGTCTGGCTCTCTCCCTTGGTTTATTTATCAAGGTGGAGCAATTACATTAAGTCAGCCATGGTTATCCAACCGAACAGGGGACCAATATCGCAGCTGAGCATGCATCTCCAGGAGGAAGTCCAGACATTTGTGGGGTAACTTCAATGGGGGGCAAAGACACTTATGAGATGCCGGAAGAACTCCCAAAGGTCGAAGCTGATCAGGAAACTGGAGCAGCAGTCACGAAGGTGCAAATTAAGCAAGCTTACATACATTAATATTTAATAAAACATTATTATTGGAATAGCAGGAAAATGCTTTAAGATGTAAGAGAGATTTTACCTTTTCTTTTCGAAGAGTGCTTCAATTCAGGCACACACAGGCTGACTTTAAAAGTTCTTGAACAAACAAAAAATAAATCGCCAGATTTTTATAAGATATTCTTTTAATGTTTGATTTATAATAAATGTATAGAAATGTATAATTAAAGCTTTCCCTTTTATAAAATTAAATCATTTAAGACTTTAAAATCTCTTTTTTTGATGTTTGATTCTTCCAAGCAGTTTGATAATCACTGTTTAAGTATGTCCTCAATGTCGGGTTAAGATCTGTTTGGTTTCCCAAAGCCCAGAGCGTCATCAGTTTCTCCATTTGCTCTAATTCTAGTTTAGGTGGCAGCAATCTAGACATTGGAGGAGCTCCAAACACTATTAGTCTATACAAAAGAAACTCCATCACATCGTGGCTCTTCACTTGATGAATGCTTATTCCAAATTTCGAACCAAAACCTTCGACCTGATAAGAAAAAGTAAGTTATACTAGTTTTCTATAAAATTTCAAGTCCTAAATCTTTTAAAATTACATTGTTATAGGATAACATATCCTTTATTTTAGGCATCTTATCAGGTAGAGCCAAGGACAGAAATCGATCATGACCTTCCTCATCGCGAGAGTGACCTGCCACAGCACCCACTTGCCGCATGCAGAAGGCCAACTGTTCCTCTTCGGGTAATAAACTTGGGAAATATAATTTATATATATTCCGGGGTAAGCGATGAAGCCGCCGTAATGCCTCTCGACTCATAACATAGCTAGCTCCTTCGCATTTTTTACCTTGCCAAGAGGAGGAGTGGCATCGGTGGCCAAAGTAAAGAGCAAACTCAGGATTGTAGGGATAAAGCAAAAGATGCAGATTCTCCATTATAACAAAACTAAAAATTAAATAAAATTTTAATAAATATAGTTGTAAATAGTAATTTAAATTAATTAACGCCTTACCTGTCATCATCTGCTCTGAGAAACCAGTCGTAATCCTCTACAAAGTTCTGGTACACGTACTTTATGGCCTTTCTTACTTTCCTAAAAACATATCTTCGTTTTTCGAGAATGTGCACATTAATGGCACCTAGTTCCTTGTCCTCCTGGCTGCTGATGAAGATAAGCTTATTGCAGCGCCTGCCCCAGGTCCTTTTCACTGCGGCAGCCTTGGTTTCGTGGTTTTCCGGTATCGTTAGCACCATGCATAGTATCCTGGTCTCATTGTGAAGCCTATTGGCTAGGACATCCTCCATGGGGTTTTGAGGAGTAGTATCGCCTTGGTTTTGCCTTTCTAAATCCACATTGGAAGTCTCGAAAAACTCGAAGATCAATGCCAGTCCAATGCCCATGATGAGGCCCAGAGCCAAGCAAAGGAAATTCCAATATATTCCAGACATTTTCACCATTAGAGACTTTTTAAGATCTCTAACTTGTTTTTAAAATTAAAAACTATAGTGGGAAGCTTTTGACTTGTAAATCATAGATATCTGTGTTTATAACAAAAAGTTATTTTTAATTGCTTGCTTTAAAGTAAGATTAAACGGAAACCTGCCGTTGTATTGTATAAAAACTTAAACTTCTACTTTAAAATAAACTACTTCTACTACTAAAATACTACTTCTACTTCTAAAATAAAATAAACAATCTGAAGGATATTATTTCATATGAATATCTTATTGACTTGTATATTATCCAGGCTGAATTTCGGGATCATATAGAACAGGATTTGGGTTATTACTCTTTGCCTCTGACCAAACCTGCAGCTGGTTTTGCAACTGCCTGGGCTCCAGCTTGAGTGGCAGTCTTCTCGGAGCCGCAGGAACTCCAAAGACTCGTAGTTTATATAGTAGATACTCGTACCTATCGAACTCGTGACTCTTGACATAATGAAAACTAATACCCGAACTTGAGCCAGTTTCTTTAACCTGAAAATTAAGAAAATAATTAAATTAAAGTTTAAAAATTTACAATCTACTCAACTTACAGGCTCAAAGAAGGTAAGTTTGTGCAACCAGGTGTTATTGGGGAATGTAGGCAACATGGAATGGGGAGACAAGGGCCAGAAACGATCCCTTCCTTTCTCATCTCGCGATTCGCCGGCCACCACGCCCACATTCTGCAGGCAGAAGCCAATGCCTTTGTCCTCCGATGACTGATTATGCGGACAGAAACGAGTATTATTCAATGCAAACAAGTTGAGCCGTCTCAGAGCATCCCGACTCATCACATAGCCTGCTCCTCCGGACATATAGCCCTGCGGAAAGGTGGTTCGAAATCGGTGGCCAAAGTAAAGAGCAGCCTCAGGATCATAGGGATACAGCAGCAGACGCAGGTTCTCCATTATCACAAAGCTAAAATTGATTACAAAATGTAATAAATATTTTTTTTAATTAATTTAAAACTCACGTGTCATCATCCGCCTTGAGAAACCAGTCGTAATCCTCTACAAAGTTTTTGTACACATATTTCATGCCCGCTCGCACCTTTAAGTATAGATTTTCTCGTTCCTCGGGTATGCCCACATCAATGGCACCCAGCTCCTTGTCCTCCTGGCTGCTGATGAAGATCAGCTTGTTGCAGCGTTTGCCCCACGTTCGTTTCACCTTGGCGGCCTTCGTTATGTGATTTTTCGGCATCGTTAGCACCATACACAGCACCCGGGTCTCGTTGTAAAGCTGCCTGGCCAGCTCTTCCTCCGTCGGCAGCTGGGGCGTGGCCTCCTCCGCGATTCGTGTCATCACCGTACTGCCAAGACCCGCTTCGGTCAGCTGGAAGAACTCAAAGATATCCGTCACCCGGATGCCAATGATCAGGCCCAGAGCCAGGCAGAGTATGTTGCGATACATTGCAATTGGGTTCCACACAAAGACTAAGTAGCAGTTCCAGCTGGCATTTGGCGCTTCTCCGGCGGGGTGGAATGGTGGTGGTGATGAGTGGCTGCCAGTGAGCGTGGAGCGAAGCTCTTACAAAACGAGCCGGGGGCACAGCGAGTGCATTTCGCAGTGTCGCTCATCGCCGCCAGCTGTTCGACGACTGCTCGATGTTTCCACTTTGCTTCCACCAACAAGGTAACAAGTGAAAGAGTCTCCTCTTACACAGGGAGAAATTTCGACTACTTAATTAAAATAATTAATATAATAAATATATTTATAAAATGAGAAAAGAGAAGTAATAGGTGAATTTAAAATAATACAAATACAAATTATACTAAATTAAATTATAAATTTTAAATATTTTTATTAAAAAAAAATTGTATTTAAACAAAATTGACATTTTTTCATTCTTTCATAATTTTAAGCCAAAATTTATGCTATATTTTTATACCCTTTCAGGGTATTATAATTTCAGTCAGAAGTTTGCAACGCAGTGAAGGAGACGTTTCCGACCCTATAAACCATATATATTCTGGATCAGCATCAACAGGGGAATCTTTCTAGATATGTCAGGAAGAAATCTATTTTTTGGCCATTTTTGCAAAATTTTATAAGGGGTTACATCATTAAAATTTTTGATTTTGATAAAAAATTTAATTTTCAAAATTTTTAAATGAAGTATGCAGATTTATTAACTGTAGAAAATCTTGCACAGAACAGTTTTCCGATTTAAAATGAATGCTCTTTTGGCCGAGTTATGATATTTTTAATTTAAAAAAAAATCAAGAAGTTTTTTAATATAAAAAATCCGATTTTATAATACAAAATAATATTTTTCTAAGTCAAGGAATCAATTCCGACCCCATAAACCATATATATTCTTGATCAGCATCAACAGGGGAATCTTTCTAGACATGTCCGGAAGAAATCGATTTTTTGGCCACTTTTGCAAAATTTTATAAGGGGTTACATCATTAAAATTAGCAAAAATGGCCAAAAATGTTGATTTCTTTAAATTTTAAATTTGGTATGCAGTTTTTTTAAATTAATAAAAACTAACACAAAACTGCTTTCCGAATCGAAATTAATGCATGTTTGGCTTAGTTATGATATATTTTGATTGTTACCTGCAAGGGTATACAAACTTTGGCTGGCCAAAGTTAGCTTCCTTTCTTGTTATTTTTAGTGTTTACTCTTGCTTCCTTGGTTTATTATGAACATAAAAAACAACCATTAAGCATGCCAATCCAAGGCATTTATGGCCTCTAAAAACTTATACGGAACAAAACGCTTATTTCAAGGTTAATCATATTAATTAAAAAAATTTAAAAATGCTATAAAAAAGTGATAAAATAAGCACAGCTAAATTATGAGAGCTTTTTAAAAAATATAAATTTAAAAGCAACTATTTGTTAAACAATAAATTATCCGCAGTGCACTCTCTCAGCCTGGCTGAAACAAGTTTTTTGAGTTTCGGCTGTGATTGGCATTTGTAATGAGTCACACGTGTGTCTCCGCTCTTGTGTCGTCGTCGTTTGTCGCATTCAGCAAATATTTTAAAGAGCTCAACAATGCCGTTCCTTTCGCTTTCCTGAGCATCCAAAGAGATCATCCAGAGCACCAAACAACAATTTGGAGCTATTTTCGGGGCAACCGGTTTCCAGCTGCCTCTTCTTGACCCATTTTGGCATAAATTAGCGCCTCTTTGCCCGCTGTAATCACAGCCAAATTCCATTTAACCAAACCGAAACGCTTTGCTTGTGGCAATGAAATCACTCGATTTATTTTTATAGCTATATAATGTTTCATTTCATTTCATTTCGTTTATGTTTTTAGCTTGCTTCCACGTTACAATGTTAGTTTTACTTAGTACAAATGAATTCGTTTTAGTTTGTAGATTTACTTTAGCTTGGTTTTATTTTCCTTTTTAGACTAAATGTGGACTAATTAATTCGCGTTTTGCTTTGCTTTGTTTTGTTTTTAGTTTTGTTTTTCAGTTTCTTTTTTAGTTTCAGTTTCAGTTTGTTGTTTAACTTATCATTTCGCGCTGCTAACCATCTAGTGTCTTGTTATTTGTTAGTTTCTCTCTTTGTTTTTATATCACCGCACACTGACCCCTTCTTGAAAACTTGATTACAAAACGTTTAATATTTAATATTAGTTTGTCTGCTGGCTAAACGCACTTAGAACTGATGCTCCTCATTTCGATTCCATTCTCTCCCGGATTTTACGCGCTATTACGCGCTCGTTATACGTTTAGTAAGTGCACTTGCCAATTTCTGTTTATCAGAGAGCCTCTCGCCAGAGGCCTCAATCAATCGTCACCACCGAACGCAAAGGGGGGAAAAAAATAGCGAAAATTAACAAAAACTGTCTGGCAAAACCTATCGGACACCTTCTAACCAAAAGCAATAAGTGTTAGTACATATTTTATGGTTAGTTACACAGCCTTAGAAACTACTTAAGAACTAAAACATACATAATTCGGGGACAACACAGGGCCAAAGAGGGCTACAAAAAAATAGTATTAAAATAAAAGCCGAAAATTACGTTTGTTTTTTTGTTTATACAAAAAACAGAGGACATAGGAACAGTGCGTTTCAAGACTATTAGGCAGTAAGAGGTTTAAAAAATCATTAATGTTAATAATAAATTCAGTTATCAATTCATTGTTTTTTTTCATAATAGCTTTAAAACACACTCTTCGCATGGAACATAACAATTGGGGCCTGATGTTAATTTTTAAATTAATTTTAAAATCCGAATGAACAATTCTTTTTTTGGAGTATTCCATAAATTATATAACAACTATGATTAAAAAAAAATAGAAGATTACATGCGAAGAAAAGTTTACAAAGTTTACGTCTTTAGTTGTGGTTTTATAATTAATCCTATATATGCTTCCTTTGTTTATGTTTCACATTCTAATTTCGCTTGCAAAAATATATATAAATGGTAATTCAACTTGTTCAATCTCTGCCTTTCTCCTTGCTTTTGCTTTGCTTGGGTCTTGTATAAATTGAATTTATAAATTTATATGTATTGTATGTTTGTTTTGTGGTTTCTCATCAGTTTAATATTAAGGTTTATATGATTTTAGCTTGGCTTTAGACTATATATATAATATATATGTGTATATCAGTATTAATATTATTGTTTTTGTAATATTCCTTTGCTTCAACATTTCGTTACGTTTTGTGGTTGTTTTTTTTTTTTAATTTTCGTAGTTTTTAGGAACCTATTTTGTAACTAGCAAAACGCAGACGCGCCCAAGTGTCTATATAAAAAATGTTTTCCTATAATTTGGCTTACAATTAGTTCATATTTGTATAACATCAAAATATATATATATTATTTAGATTTATATTTATGGTTTCGCTTAATATACGTCGTAGATGTCAATGCATTCTAGCCTAAGAATATTTCAAGATTTTCGCTTACTTTTCTTTGTGGGCTCAGCATACATATCAAGGATCTAAAATTTCAAACATAAAACTATAATTTTAAGGTCGCCAAAGAATGCATAGATTTTTGATACAGGACTAAGTTTAGCAAAATCATCTTAATTGCTTAATTGTTTATATTCTTTCCTCGTTTAGCCGCTGACTATACAAAGCTTTGACAAGTTATTTGCTTTTTATGTATATATATATTTTTTTTAAACCATTTTTGATGTTTTAACATTGGCACGATATCTATATATAATATATATATGCGTTTATATAGCTTAAGAAAATATATATATATATGGGTGTATACGCTTTTTATATAGCTATCAACTAGTATGATTGATTAGTTTTAGTTCTGACCCGATTACACATATAAATCTATATTTTTTCGTTACATTTTCTGCTTCAATTCTCTCTAAGGTGATATATATATAAACTAAATGCCGTAGACCTAGGAAAAATATGTTGCAAATAATGCCAACTTCAAATATCATGATTCCCGCACACAAAAAATGTTTCACTAACTATGAATAACAAGTTGCGTATGTATACATTATATAGAGTTTATAATTATATTTATAGAGATGTGTGGATCTGCCGTGTAAAACTAAACAACATACAAAATAAATTACAAAATGAACGCGAGCTGGTATTGACTTATTTAATTGCTTATTAAGCAAGAACAAGCACGGTTGTGATCGAAATAGAGGCCAACTTATTAGATTAATATTTTCTGCTCACTTTGAAAAATACATAATATTTGAGGCTTACGATTTTATAACAAAATACAAGATTAATATTATCTGGTTCCTTTTAAAAAAAATTAATTACATAATATTTGAGGCTTACGATTTTATAACAACGATTTTGCAATGTAGAAAAAAATATAAAAGGACTTAATATCGTAAAATAATTTGATTTTGAGACTTTTTGAATTAACATCTTTCGTAACTCTCCAACTTTTTGTAGAGTTTGGATCTTTACAAAGGTTTGGCTACTATTTAGACCACAACCGATGACTGTAATGTATATATTTAAAGCATATTCAAAGCATTCCATATATATTGTTGCTGCGGTTGGGTTCCTTCTTTAAATGCCTGCATGCATCAACTACAATATATATATATATATATATATATATATATATATATATATTGATATTTGTGTATATATTTACAGCTCTAAGCGTTTGTCATAACATCGTATCGAGAAAGATTCTAGGGGGCCTTCCTAACACCTACTACGAATAATGGTTTTTGTGCCACATGGAAAAGTTAGGGGTTTTTTTTTGTAGATTTAGCACTAGGTTATAATGATAATTTGCTCGCTGTTTCTGCTTCTGCTTCTACACTTTGTACAAAGTTTTCGTTTCTACCAATTTTTGTTGCTGCATTTATGGTTCGTTTTCTGTTACTTAAATCTAGTTTCTAGCTTAGAGCTAAGTTCTTCGCTCACACACACACACACACTGACATGCGCTTTGGACTTTGGGCTTAGATATATGTATACCGCTCGATTATATATCAAACTGTTATATATTGTATAATGCATATAAAACCAAGACTCACACACTCGCTCACACACACGCACTGACACAAAAATATATGATATATATATATATCCTAACATGTATTTTTACAACGCTGCTTGTTGCCTGCTTCACTTGCTGTCCCCGGCATTCGACGACGAGGAGCTGCTGCCCACTCCTGCTCCTCCATTGGAAGCGGAGCTCTGCTGTGGTGCCTGCTGCTGCTGCTGCTGGGGCAAAGTGTCAGAGCGGCGGTAGTACAAAAGGTAAGGCACCCGCGGCGTGTGCGGCTGGAGGACATTCTTCTCGCCGATCGGCTTCACCGAGCTGTCGTCGTAGCGCAGCCAGCTGCTGTAGCCCGTATGGAACACGTCCGTGATGTAATGGCCCTTGGAGGCCTCCTTGCCGTCGTGATAGACCACTGCAAACAGTCGGTAGGCCCGCTGCTTCTGCGAGGTCTTCTTCGAGCCGAGGATTTCTACAAAGATTAATTAAATTAATTTATATATATATATTTAACTCGGTTAGGATTTCCTCCTCCAACATACTGGCATCGATCTTGAGCTCCACGGGGAACTCCACTTTCTTCAGGATCTTTGTGCAACCATCTGAGCGATAGTCAAAGTATTTTAAATGCAATATCAGGACAACGGGCAGCTTCTCCAGCGTCATTTGCTGCCAGGCCACCACCTCCTGCTTGGTCTTGCTGCCGGTGACGCCCTCCAGCTGATCGCGACCCACTAGGATTTCCAAAGCTTCCTTAACTGAGGCAGCTTTCTGTGGGAGAGAAAGAAAATAATATTAATAAAATATCTTAAGGAATTTTTAGAATTATATATTGTTTGTGCCCACTGTTAAAGCAAGAATCCTAGAAGCAGGAAACTCTGTAAGAAAGTGGAGCACTTGCACCAATCCCAACGTTTTTAGTGACTGCCGCCAGAACGGAGACAGCCACAAAACGCAGGCGGGTTTGGTGTCGTTTTATTTGCCACGAACGTAACACAGACGCCGGCTGGTTAATGGTGCCGCTGTGTCTGTTGACTTGTCTGTGGCTTCATAATAACGATTACACCATCATCATAACTCACCTCAATGTTCAATTGCAGCGTGAAGAAGGGCTGAATCACGTCTGTGGAGTGCTCTCCCTCCCGCTGCAAACGGGAACGTAGTTCGCCGCGAAAGATGTCGCTGATGGGAGTGCGTCCAAAGTCGGTTTGCCGGGTGACACTGCCCTTGTTGCGGTTGTTGCATATCATCTAGAGCGAGGGGAAAATCTTTAAACAACTAACTTTCTTTTGGCTAAAGAAAGCTATCAATTTACCTGCCAGACATCGCCGCCATCCTCGGGCTCCGACTGCTCATTCTGGCCATTCTGCTGAGAGCTGGGCTTGTCAATAAGTTTAATCACCTGAAAAATGGTCGGAATTAATATTGCATTTCTGATAATTTATAAAAAAAAAACTCACCTCCAGCATCTCGTCGTTAAGTTTGTTGAGCACATAGCCCAAGAACTCCTCTGCATCCTCTTGGCGACCCTCGACATGCTCCTCGCGACTGTCATTCCACAGCTTATAGATTTCTGTCGGCTCAAAGGCCATGTCACACTGCAGATCTGAGCCTATAAACTCATCCTTGCCCTTGTTCTGAGCTCCTCCCTTGTTCAGGTTGTTGTTCAAACGCAAACGCAGACCGTTGGGCAGCGACGAAAAGTTGGTCATAAACGACATCCTAAGGGAAATTGGGGAAATTATTAATAGAAATTAACAAGTAACTTAAACTGAGTTGTTAAAATGTTATATCTAATTGTTTGTGCCCGCTTTGGCTGAGAAAGTTCAAGCTGATACCTCTTCCGCTTGAAGGCGGAGCACGTGGACCGACCATAACGTAAGCCCTGGTCACCGCCAGAACGGAGGTAACCGGAGAACGTCAGGCAGGGCCGGTGGCTATTCATCTGCCACGAACGTAACACAGACACCAGCTGGTTATGGCTGCCGAGATGTCTGTTGACTGGTCTGTGGCCTAGCTTTCGATTGAATTTTAGGGCATAGCGACATGTCTCCGCCTGGAACATTTTTCAAGAGGAGATAAATCGTAGCTCCGCGCGGAGTTATGACATTTTTAGTTCGGCGGAGATATGTTACGGCGAAATGACGTCGCTATCCCTGAATTCTGATAGTTGATGTAGTACAAGTTCAGTCTCCACTTACGAACATGGGATTTAAATTAAATAGGTAATTTTAGTAACTGTTTTAGGTCTCCTTTTCTTATAATCTCTCTCTCTTTCTCTCTCAATCCCTCTTTCTCTCTCTGCAACGCTTCCTGTTGTTTGACAGGATTCAACTAACTTACATGGCATTTACTGTGGGTGTTTTCACCTCACTCAAGACCGCCGTCTGCTTGGGTATGGTGCGCAGCAGATTGTAGAAGGGCGAACAGCCTAGCAGAGCCTGCAATATCGAGTTGATGTAGCAGTAGTTGGACCTATTAGTCAGACCTCGGGGACGCAGGCTGATCGGTGACAAGTTGGTCTTGTGGCGGGTCAAAAACTCGGCGTACTTATTGGTCCACTCATCGAGTTGATGACGCACAGGCTCCGGCTTAAGGGGCTTAACAGATGCAGATGCAGGACTTGGCGCAGAAGCGGGCACAGCTTGAGCAGATGCCGCCGAGTAGGACAGCGTTCCGGGTGTTATCAGCGGTGCTGTGGGCACTGGCACTGGAGCTGGCAACTGCGATTGCTGATGAGCAGTTGGCAGGGGCTGACTCTGCTGTGGTGCCAGTTGAGGATTTTCTGGAGGAGCAGCTGCCACCGCAGCAGTGACTGCCACTTGAGCTGGCTGAGGTGGAGCTAGCTGGAGCACTGGATGAGGCTGCTGCTGCTGCTGCTGTACAGTTTTGCTCGCATCATAGGGTGCCACCTTGGCCACGGGTTTATTGCTGGCAAACAGACTGGCCCACGAGAACTGCGCACTGTCGCCGCTATTCTGCGATGCTGGTGGCGCCGGTGGGGCAAGATTCAGAGGTGGTTGCGGGTTGCTGGATGAACTGGTACCGGAGCTGGCCACCACGGAGCTCAGGGCAGTCGGTTCATGTGCCTGATGCTTCTTGGCCGCATAGCTGCTGTAGGATTTGGTTGTTGGTGCTGCTGCTGGTGGTGCTACTGCAGGTTGTGGTGCTGCTGCTGGCTGTATAGTCACCGGGACAGCCTGCTGAGGAGGCTGAGGCACAGCTACTGGTGCAGCGGTATTATTGTTGCTCGTCTCCGGCAGGAATTGATTCGGGTTAGCCGTGATACTGGCCGTTGAGGTAGTTGCTGTAGGAGTTGCTGCTGCTGCTGGTGCTGGCCCCTGCTGGCTGTTCTTCCGCTCCAGCGTTGGGGCTGTGCTGGCCACCGGCGAGGAGGGCACTTTCATGGTGCCATAGGTGCGCACCTGAGGCTGATTGCCGCTGCTGTTGCTGGAGGTGCTGCTGTTATTGCTGCTACTGCCGCCGCTGTTGTAGTTGTTCTGGTTCTGATAGTGCTGCTGTTGATGCTGCTGGTGCTGATGCTGCTGCTGCTGCTGGTAGTGTTGCTGATTGGTGAACGTCTTGGTGGTGTGACTATAGTTGTTAATCTTTGGGTTATTTCCCACTCCCACTCCTGGACCATTGTTTACATTGTTGGGGGAGGCTGTGACCGAAACCGATTGCGTCGACTTCTTGTGCTGGGCAGAATTCGTCCAGGACATCGTCTTGGTGGTCTGGATGCCGGTATCACTGCTGCCGTGCTGATGATGATGGTGATTGTACTCCGAGGAGTACTTGCGACGCACCTGTTGCTGCTGCGATTGATTATATTGCTGAGGCGGCTTGCGCTGTGGCTGCGTTTGCTGTTGCTGTTGGGGTGCCTGATGCGGCTGGTGCTGCTCATGGTAGCTGGTCTGCTGCTGCTGAGGCGGCACCACCACAGGCGATGTCTGCTGCTGCTGGTGTTGCTGCGGTGCAGGCTGCTGTTGCTGCTGGTGATGATGATGCTGTGGTGGTTGCTGAAGTTGAGGAGCCACTGTTGCTACTACCAGGTTTGGCACTTTGGTTAACTGTGGCTCAATTTGCTGCGGCGGTAATTGATGATGATGTTGCTGCTGCTGCTGCTGTTCTTGCTGTTGCTGCTGCTGCAGTTTCTGCTGATGTTCTTGCTGTTGCTGCTGCAGTTGCTGCTGCTGTTGCTGTTGATGAAACTCCAAGTCAAGTTGCTGCTGCTTCTCGCTGGCCAATTTCTCATCCAAGGCCACCACCTCGTTGTTGTTATTTATCAAATTCTTGTCCACTGCAAAAAAAAAGAGCCAGAAATAAACAAACAATCAATAAAAGCTTTTATTCCAGACCTTAAATGAGCAAAGCCCCTTGAATATATAAGTAAAAATTCAATTGCCGCTTGCAAACTAATTTACAATATCATAATTGATGCCAATTGAAATGCTAAATGATAATAACTTCAACAAGCTGCCTCGGAATGTTGCGGCTTCTGATGAGAGCAGGCGAACGCAGCAGCACAAGGGAATTTTTGGAAGCCGCAGACAATTAAGGCTTCTTAATCAAAAATAGAAGCAAAAGCCACAACTAATTTGCTATTATTTAGAAGAGCAAAGATAGGAAAATACGACTAAACTCGGCTCTAATCAAAGCAAAGAGAGAACCATATATATGACCCCCTTTTCGATCAGGGTTATGTATGGTTAGATAGATAGTCCAATAACTGCCGCCAGCATTGTTCTCATGTCCGCTTCTCTCTGGCTATATTTGCCCTGATAAGCGGGCCATCGATTGGCGGCGGCGGCGGCTATCAGTGCAAATAGAAAACATAACTAATCCATGTCAAAACTCAAGTACTCCACGGGGCACACGGGAGAGTGAGAGAGAGTGCATTAGTAGTAGACTTTATTTACGGGGCAAATTGTTATTAAATCACAATTCGATTGGCCTGTTGTTGCTAGGTGTTTGAACTTCGCACTCCAGACCCTGATATGGGGCACGAGATAAAAACGAATCGATAAGAGGAGCTCCATGTGGAGCTGCCGGAACAGGGTTAACCCAACAAAGCGCATGTGATCCCACGATACGATGCAAACAGATCGCTCCTTTTAATTAATTATACAAAGAGCTTGGGAAGTTATTTGAATCTGATAGGGGGATAAATATTGCAATTGCATCTGGATACAAATATTTAAAATGGAATTACTTCATTCGAAATAAAAGGTGAGGTAAATAAACACCTTTCGATGGTTGACAAATCACAATATTATTTGCTCAAGTTGAATGGGAAATATTCAATTTTTAATGCAAAAATTAAGAAATATAACTCCCAAATTAAATACACATAAAAATTAAATATAATTCTAAACACTACCCCTTAAAATATACAAAATATTATACAAGAACATCCTCTTCCAAATCAAGGTCTACCTAAACTATATTCCACATTACATACCTTTCTTGGCTTCTCTTCAACGATCTCAAATTTCACCCCAGGAAAAGTATTCCTTAAAACATAAAAAAAAACACTAGGAATTTTTCTAAACCAAATCCCACAGCTGGGAGACAGCTTTCCCAGGGCTGCCTGTACTCTATCATAATTATTAATATCTATTCGAGATTTTAAATGTGCTAAAACTGGAGGCATATCGAATATATTTAAACAATTTCATTGGGACCCCTCACAAGGGTTTAGTGTTTGGCGGCGAATTAGCGGGAAAGCACTAACTAAGTGCTCTCGAAGCGGGGCGTGCAATGTTTTTTTTTTTTCTGCGTCTCTCGGCAAATTGGGAGGCGGTGCTAAACGCCCATTTATCGGGTTGGGTATATCATCCATCTATAGTCCCCGCCGCAGGCACAAATCCCCGCTTAAACTCATCATATGACAATGAGAGCAGCAGCTCCCCTTACCAAACTCCCCTCAGGAATTCCGAGCATGCTAATTAATTTCAATTAGCGACTAACAAGCCGAGAACTAAGTGTGTGGTGTGCTGTGTATTATTCAATAAATATATACGAGAGTATAGTTGAAATCGAGCAGATCGAGTGCAAATGTTGTATGGAAATTTGTCGAAGTAGAGATATTAATGCATTAAAAATAGTTGCAAATAACAAAAATAAAGGGGGTAATGCGAATCTGTGCCAGGGTGTCAGTTTGGGTGCAATAACAACAGCTTTTCGAACGTGTTGCCATAACGATTCGACAGAGAGAGACGGCAGTGTCACAAGGTTGGATGGATAATTACAGACATGAGTGCACAGGTAAATTGCAATAAGTTGACTGCAGCAGCAGCAGCAACAGCAAGAGCGGCAACAACAAAGCCAACAAGGAAATTGTCAGGCACGAACACGGTAACAATAATAGCTAAACGAAGCGGACGACGGGACTGTACTTAATTTCCATTTGTTATTCTGCGTTCCATGTGATAAATGAAAAACCAACGAGAGGGGGGAGCGGTAACAGCAATGTCTATCCATTAGAATAGACTCAATTTCAATGTCCCCTTAACCCCTTGTTTCCCAAACCAAAAAACCCACTCAACTTGATAATTCCGCTTTCGGTTTCATCTGTTATACGACTAGACTGGGTATAACAATTCTCCGCCAAGCTTCATTAATTCAAATGAATTTGTTTTCCATTCTCAAATTGCACTTCATTAAACCATATATATACACATTTGTTTGTTTATATATAGAATTTTTAGATATTAAGTGAGATTTTGTAATTGTTTCCCAGTTTCTTCAATTGATTCGGATACACAAAATCATCATCCAAATGGAAATGGGTCACTTAAGGGCATTCATTCCTCCAGCTTGGGCTATTCATTTGTGGCTGTTATTGAACGCGCGATTTTATTCAATTTTTTATTAGCTAGCAACAAAAATCGAAAGGGGGAAAAATGGGGGACAGGAACCGGCCGCCGGTCTATGAGTAATTTATGCTTATTGAGCTTCGATTCGTTCCGAGAGAGCAAGAAATTGTAAACACGATATGGCCGCTCGATTTAATTGAGAGAATCAACAGTTAAAAGCAAAAACAATCCCCCTTTTTTAGCTTAAAATGTATGAAAAGCTTGAAAACCACAAGCCAATTATCACTATATAAATTAGAAAAAAAAGCCTACGACTTTAGAGATTAATAAATATTTTAAAAATAAATCTGGAGAAATCTAAATATCTGTAAGGTTAGAGAATAGCTTTGGATTTATTTCTAGTTTTCCATGACTAGTCAACAAATAGTTAAAGTATTTGTTTTACTAAAATACGCAGATAAACTATGGATCCATAATTTTAAAATTTAAAAGCTTTATTTAATAAGATAGCATAAAAAAAATCCCCTTTGGTTCTTTTTACAAACTTTGCACCAAAACAATAATCAACACGCATTCCAGTTTTGTTTGGTTCAAAACAAAAAGACAAACAAAGAAATTATCACGCATTATCAACAATTAAATGTATCACTTTGTAATTCTATGCCTATACCCCCTTCTCCTCCTCCCTGACATTATTCAGTTTGTTGATTAGTTGTTAATCAGTCCTCTGAACTGAGTCACTAACATATGAATACAATATTAATAATAACAAAAAACCAAACCAAAGAGCGGCGGTTAAAGTTTATTTTGGAGAACAAAGAAGCAAGTATGAATACTGCATAGTATGCATTTATGACATGTATAGATAGGGTGACATTATTGCTTTGACTTCTTTATATTCTTCATGGGATTATTTTCTTTATAAAGCAAATAATTTCTGAATGCTTGATCTATAAAACACAGTTGTCATTTTAAAAATTTAACAGCTAGATATAAAAAGTATTTTTGTAAAGAAACATGAATTTCTGAAAGCCGAATTTTTTATACCCTTGCAGGTGCCATAGGATCATGGCATTGCATCATTAATCGATACTAACTCAATTAAAAAAGTATCAAATTCAATTCCAAAAGCTTTTCTGGACATTCTAACCATATGACTATTGAAGCTGATCAAGAATATATGTGATTAATAGGGTCGGAAATGACTCCTTCTCTGCTTTTCCAGGTATAATAAAGTTTAATGATTTTATTCACGTTATTAAACCAGAACTTTGGTTTCTATAAATAGAGCTGGTAAATGCCACAGTCAGATATTAAACCAAAAATAAACGCTTATCATGCTTTGGCTTAATTAGATGGCCAAGAAAAAGAAAAATGAAAACAATTCCAAGGACGAACATGTGTTTTCTTGCTGCCCTGCTAAAACGCAGATATCGCATGTTAAGGAAAAAAATGAAAAACGGCAGGATGAGGAGCAAAAAGGAGACCATTCTTTTTTTTCTGGCGCACGAGGCGTATGCGTAACGCGAGCTATGTGGGACTTTATTGATTGAACTGACCCGTATGCGATTTAACGAGTTGCTCTCTCATTACAAAGCCTGTTCCCAGCTCTTTTTCTGCCCTCGTCGCTGCTCTAATGAAATTGATAAGTAATCTACTCAAGCGTTGGATCACTGAAGGGGTTGTGGGAACTCAAAACAATATAGAAAACAAAGAAGAATGAGCACAGTCTCCGCTGCCTGGCAACAGGGCCAAAAACGAATTGTTGCTGCTGCTGCTGCTTCTGCTGCGGCAGCAATTCAATTGAATTCATTTGTGTCAATTTACAATAAGTAATGCCCAAAGAATTGAAGAACAAGAAGAGACAGCGGAGTCGTCGCCGGCAGAGGGGGGTCTAAAACTAAAAACAATAAGTGAAATTGAGTGCGAACGAAAATTGCATAATTTTGTGAGCCAGGCAGCAAGCGACCTTCGTCGCAGAAGAAAAACAAACTATAAAGTTTTCGGCGGTAATAGATGGGGTTACGGTTTTGCCACCACCTTATCGCAGAATTATTTACGAGTGGGCGGCTCTTGACGGTTTATTTCGAAGTGGCTTTAAGGCATCATCACCTGATAAGCATCGATGGTGCGACGACGACGACGATGACGAGGAAGTTAAGGTGAAGTGACAGCTGAGCGACCCAAGGACACGCGTTGTAATGTATCCTTTGCTAGCAGCCCACACACTCGCACAACAGGCCCACAGCTTGCCGCCTACATTAACATATAAATACGTATAACAGATTAAGGAGGACGAGAAAAGATACAGTCCAGCTTCTGGAACTCAAAAATAAAGAAAAAATACTACTACTAGTCTTTATCTTTTTTTTTAAAGCAAAAATATACTAGACTAAACTTTAAATAAATAAATAAAAGTATATCCCTCCTTAAATTATTTTGTTACTGCTTCTTTTCTTACAAAACGTTTATTTTCAGTTTCCATGTTAGTTCGACTGTAGATACTAGGTTCGCCATGTTTTCTGACAGATACACAGCCCCGGCACTGAGGCCAGGCTCAGCTACAACAGCTACAGATACAGCTGCAGGCCGAGTTACAGGCGCTGCATACCAAGCAAAGCAACAAGTTGAGCAGGGACGCGAATAAAAAACAGCAAGGTAAAACAGCCAAAGCGACAAACTGCGTCATTTTGAATGAAAACACAATATTCTACAAGCTGTATCTGTCGCTGTGTATCTGCGTTTGTATCTGGTCGCTACATATGTAAGGAAAAGCGTTGTCAGCGTAAAAAAAAAAAACGCTTAACAGCGGAACAAAGCAAGAGCGTCAAAGCATTGACTGCACAACACGACGTATGCGCAATTTTCATTTTCATTAACAAAGAAAGCGTAGATTGTAGGAAAAGCGAGAGCGGCTGACGGCAGGGGCAGTAGAAATGGGGTGGCGGTGCAATTATTGAAGAGTCATCGCTGGTTCATTCAACCTTTTGGGAACGAGGAAAGAAAGAAAGAAAGCTCTTGGCCAGCTGGAGAAGTCTTTTTATGGGCCCTGTCTTTTCTGCTCTTTTTTCTCGGCAAGAGATTCAATAGTTCAAGGATAGTTTATTCATTACACAAAGTGAGCAGCTGTGCACAGAAAAAAATACATATTTACAAATGTTTCTATGGGTAAAATGTTAGCTTTTCTCAAGGATACAAAAATGATTGGTGTTAGAAAGGATATCATTCTTAAAGCCGCCTCGAAAAGTTTTTTAAGCATACAATTATCAAATTTAAATACAATTTTTAAGCTCCATTGATTTTAAATCATATAGTGATTATTAAAACCTTTTAAATATTTGTATATTTGAGAATTGGAGACTGTTTCCCTATTTCTTTCTCTGCACCTTTCATCAGCTAGTCCCCCTTTTGTTTCCCCCACATTCCACTTGGTTGAATTTGATTTTTTTTTGGCACAGAATACTGCCCCGAATTCTGCTTTAAATGGGGCAACTAATTCGTAAAAACACCTGCTTGCCCCTAGGAATTTCCCAACCCCCACGATTTTTCCGCCCCTCCAATTTTACCACCCACCCATCTCTGCTTTCAATTGCAGCAGCAGCTGCGGCCACGCGCCGGGGATCGCATAGCGTCGGCATACTACTTGTGCTTCTCATTTTCCTAATGTCCTGCGGTTTTGCATTTTGTATGCCATGCATTTTTAATGAAAATTCAAACCCTGCACACGCATTGCGGTATAACAGTTTAGCCTGCCACTCGCATTACATTCCAACTTAAGTTGAAATTAAACGTAATTCGCAGGCACACAGATTGCTGGCCGAGATTGCAGGAGGCGTTGGCCATTTGAGTCCCACGTAATGCTTTAATAACAGAGCAAACAAATCGAGTTAGGAAAAAAGAGAAGGAAAAAAAAAAAGTAACAAATCGAGAGGACGAGAAGCCAAAGTGGCGCCCTCTGGCGTTGACCCACAATATCGGGGTACATGTGTGCCGTGGTGTTCTTGTCTTCTTCTTCGTCGTCTTTTTCCTCCATTTGACATGGAATTTTTATGAATGACATTGACCAACCGCCCGAGAAGAAGAAGAACCGCATACACACATCCCTCCCCCCTGCTAACACAGAGAGAGAGAGCACCAGAAAGAGAAACCCAAAAGAGAGCAAGGGTTTCAAACCCCAAGAAGTATCTCTTAGGTGAACTATAAAACCAAGTGCTAACCAAACCGATGAAGAAACTGTTATAAACCAGAAGGCGAAGCACAAAAAGCACATTTTTACGATTTTACGGCCTGGCAACAGTCGGAAAAAAAACAGTTGATAAACAAAATAACTAAAGTATCTGGCGGCCCCCAAAAAAGTATCTCGGGGAGCGGTCTTATCAGCTGCGTGTCGAATGCATTTTATTGGGGATATGTGAGCCAACTGTTAAGATAATGCCTGGATTATACAATTTGTCGGCGCCTAAAAGGCGGCTGACGAAAACACCGCTTTCACACGAAAAAACACAGTGAAGACTCTAGAGCTCCAACTTCAAATAGAGTTAGAGAGTGAAATGAGACTTTGAAGGAACAAATAATACATTTTAAATTAGTTCATCAAAGGTATTATTATACTACAAGTAATGTTTATTTTTTTAAAAATTAATATTTCTTTGTTAAAATTTTTTTTAATTTAATTAATTGCATTAACCTTACTTAAAGAAAATAAACCCAATTCCTTTGACCTTTATGTCCTATTTAATTTTTAAAAGACCTACATAGAAAACCGAGAAGACTGCATCACTTTTTCATTAGAATACATTAAATCTTAAAGTTCCAGACAATTCTGTACCATTTGCGAAAGATGGCCTGCTGTGCGAGTGTGAGCGTGGGTTTTTGAAAAGTAAAAGTCTTTCCTTGCTTAAGGGGGCAAATATAGTTAACCTTTAACCTAAATCGCGAGTAAAGAGCAACAGTTTCGGCGCTCTTTGATGCCTCGATACTGGCATACGGTAGAACAGTTAGACAATAGAGCAGTAGCCATGTGGCAGGCGGTTACCGGTTTTTCTGGCTTTCTTTCCCAAAGGAAAATACAATAAAAAAAAAAAGTCGGCAAAGTCAGATAAAGACAGGCAACCCCCTTGGGCCGAGACGGGGTTGTTTGCTTTAAAATCTCACGTTGTATCTCTCGTGCTTTTGTTTTTGTTTCTCAAGCAATGCCCAAATCAGCTGTTTGGGGAGAGAGCCACCCCCTGGGCGCAACAATAAGAGTGAGAGAGAAAGATAAAGAGAGCGGAGCTTGCGCTCTGTGAGCTTGAACTTCAAATGCTCTGAGAACGAGAGCGAGCGAGAGAACCAGGGGGCTAGAATGGGAGCGCGCTCCGAGTTCTGTCTGTTTTTACAAATTTTGAATTTGTCTTTGTATATCGTATAACAGTCGCTGGTTACGAGGAATTTTCATTTTCATTTCGCAGCGAACGGCGCACCAGTCAAGAACAGAGAATCGGCTAAAAAGACGGAATTCGGAGTCGAGTCCGGACTGTAAATCGGGAATCCAGACGCAGATTGTCATTCTGTCCGAGAATTCGGACACTCGATAAAAACCACAATAAAAGACAGTCGCAAAATGCAACTGCAGCGAAAAGTGCTCGAGTGTACGAGAGTGTGAGTGTGTTTGTGAGCGCCTTTTATCGATCACACGCTCCGCACCACTCTTCCCCTAGCTCCTCCCCCCTCGCTACCACCTCCCCTTGGTCCCTATCCGTGCACTCCAATCGAATTTCAAAGCTGAAAATCGGAAAATTATACAATTGCATTCGCAATTACGACGTATACACGTTCGTACGTACAGCACCCCCGAAAAAAAGCTGAGGAAATCACAAAACACACGAATCAAAGGCACGGCAAAGACAGGAGGGAAAAGCAAAGACAGCAGCAGGGAAAACGCAGAATAAAAACAAAGCACCACCAGTCGGAAAAACAAGGAAAAGGCAGCGGAAAAGCAAGGAAAACAAACATTTTATAGTGACCTCAACTGCAGCTGCAAGTGCAAGTTAAAAATACACAAAAAACCAAGCGGAAATAATGCAAAATTAGCAGATAAATAGCAGAAAAGCCGAATAACCCAAAAAGTAACAGTAAACCAAAAGCACAAACGGGAGGAACTAACAAACTAACTGCTAGGCCGCACAAAGAGAGTTCTTAATCGCTCGTAAACCCATTTAAATATTTACTCAAATATAGACAGGCGGCAGCCTACGCCTCTATCGCTTGTGAATTTATCAAACTTAAAAACGAAAACAAACAACAAAAACGGCGACAAAACTCAATAACAATTGACACATGCACACGCACACACCAGCAAACAAAAGCAGCAGCACAGTTAGAACAATTGCAGTGGGAGAGCGAGTGAGTGGGCCAAGTGAATGAAAGTGTGAGAGCCAAGATAAAACTTACGCTCCGTCGGTTTGGTCGGTCGGTCGGTTGGTCTCTCTTTCCCCATCTGTCCCTCTCGCGGAATCTCGCTCTCTGCTACTCCTCCTCCGCTGCTTTGGCATTCGCACGCGGGCAGCGACGCCAATCGGACGTTCCTCCTCCTCTTTCTCCTTCTGTCCTTCTCCACCCACACTTAAACTTCTTCGCGAGCCGCCGCCGCGTGTGTGCAGAAAAATAAATTCGAGGGCGAAAAAGGAAGCCCGGGAAATCGAATTATAATTCCGGAGCTGCTTTAATTCGCCGTAAATAGGTGTAATTTTCGGTGCGCCATGGTGGACATAAACACGTCGAATCCCGGCAATGCCGGCAGCAACATAAATTCCGCCTCCTCCGCCCGTCTGCGCCGATTCGAGCGGACGGACAGCGAGCTGGCGTGCGAGGAGGCGGCCAGGCTCACCGCCGAGCAGAGTCCTGAGGATGAGGACAACCAGGACAATGAGGATGAGGACGACGACGAAGTGAGCGAGTACGGGGAGCTGCCTCCGCCGCCGGACGGCGGTTATGGCTGGGTCATCTGCTTCGCCAGCTTCATGTGCAACATGATCGTCGACGGCATCGCCTACACGTTCGGCATCTTCCTCGAGGAGTTCGTGGCCTACTTCCACGAGGGCAAGGGCACCGTCGCTTGGGTGGGCAGCCTCCTGTCCGGAGTCTACCTCAGCGCTGGCCCTATTGTCTCGGCGCTTGCAAACAAATATGGCTGCCGTGCAGTCTGTATCGCCGGCAGCATCATCGCCTGCATCGCCTTCGTCCTGAGCACCTTCAGCAGCAACGTGAGCATGCTGATGGCCACCTATGGATTCATGGGCGGCTTTGGCTTCGGCATGATCTACCTGCCAGCTGTGGTGGCCGTGGGCTACTACTTCGAGACGAAGCGCAGTCTGGCCACAGGCATCGCTGTCTGCGGCTCCGGCTTTGGCACCTTCGCCTTCGCTCCCCTGGCCACCTACTTGCTGGAGGAGTACGGCTGGAAGAACGCCCTGCTCATTTTTGCGGGCTTAATTCTCAACTGTGCCATTTTCGGTGCCATGATGCGACCCCTAACCTATCCCAAGAAGAAGAAGGTGAAGCCCCTAATGCAGAGAATGTATGAGGAGAAGCAGCTCCAACTGGAACGCGGTTCCTTTGCGGGATCTCACTTTATGGTGCAACTGCCGGATGGAACCATGGAGCGCAAGCTGAAGATGCCACTTAACGCAGATCCCGGTGTACATTCCAGCTTGAATTTGGAGCTACTGGCTCAACAGGCCGGAGGCGGTGGCCTCCATCCCGTGTCTACGCTGCCCACCATCACCGAGTCCAAAGTGGTCGATGTGCATCAGCAGAATGGTGCTCAGTCGCCGCCCAATGGGGACAGCAATGGCCAGCTATCCGCCAGATCTGCAGGCCGTCGCCAACACAGGGCTTCAGAGTCAGAGAACAGCCCGTATCACTCGCAGGATGCAATGACCCGGAATGCCTCGCAGCCCGCCTTCCTGGCCGGCGACCACCAGAGCTTGCCCAAAAACGGATCCGTGCCATCGTTCAGCCGGGTGAGGAAGACCTCCGCATCGGAGCGGTATCAACCCTCGTTGGCTGCCATCAGGGCCTCGTCGAGGGGTGATTTGGAGGCTGGTGCTGGCGGAGATTTCGTCTCCTCCAAGCTGTCGCTCTCGCAGAGGCAGGGAGGCAGCCAGTCCGGCAGCAGCGGCAGGATGGTGCGACCCATGTCTCGCAAGGATATCTTCTACTCTGGATCCGTGACCAACCTCCCGCAGTACCAGTCCCAAAAGTCGCTGACCAACTACAGGAACTCAGTGCTATCCCTAACCAAGTACGAGAAGAGCATGCAGAGTGTGGCCAAGCTGGATCCCTTGGCCGAGGCCGAGAAGCATCGCGAGGAGTACGACCTATGTCCCTGCCTGGGCATCCCCGATTCCGTGAAATCCGTCGTGAACACCATGCTGGATGTGAGCCTGCTAAAGGATCCCGTATTTATGCTTATTGGAGTCTCGAATATCTTTGGAATGGCCGGCCTATATGTCCCCTTCGTCTACCTGGTCGATGCGGCCAAGGAGCATGATATCTCGAAGAACGATGCTGCGATGCTGCTGTCCATCATTGGTATCACCAATACTGTGGGCCGTGTGTTCTGCGGCTGGGTGGCGGATCTGCCTCAAGTCAACTCCCTGCTGCTCAACAATTGCTGCCTGCTGGTGTCCACCATCGCGGTGACCCTGACGCCACTGTGCTACAGCTACACGGCCTACATCACCATGTCCATATTCTTTGGACTAGCCATCTCGGGATACATCTCACTGACGTCAATTATCCTGGTCGACCTGCTCGGCCTGGACAAGCTCACAAATGCCTTTGGACTGCTGATCCTGTTCAGAGGATTCGCCGCCCTTATCGGAACGCCTCTGGCAGGCGCCATCTACGACATTACGCACACCTATGACCTGCCCTTCTACATGGCCGGTGCCCTGTTCGGCATCTCCACGATAACCAGTTTCCTGGCTCCCTGCCTGAAGCGATGCAGTCCCGCCGAGGAGACTCCCGTGCATGTGGAGACTCTGACGCCCATAGACGAGGAGCAGGGCGAGGATGCCGAGGATGACGAGGACCAGCCCATCACCATTGTGCCCAAGATCATCAAGACGCTGGCGAGTCCGCAGCAGGAGGAGGGACACCCGCAGTTCCCCCAGAAAACGAATGAATCGAAGCTCTAAACGGGATCAGCTGGATCAGTGTGAGAATGATGAAGAATTTAGGGGTCATTGCGGGGGGCTCAAGATCCGGCGAGATATTTTTCTATTTACTTATACAGCAGATGAGGAGGAGGAGATGATCAGAGATCGAGCGCACCTATATACAAAAGCAGAGGAAAAGAAGGCGGATATATATATACCCCCGCACCACATATATACCTTTAAGCCTAGGCAACGACGACGGCGGAGGACGAGATGGAGATGAGGAAATTGAACTTTTCTACCAGGAGAACTCAGCTTAGCTTGCGATAAGATAGAGAAAGAAAATACCTTCGGCTATATATAAACTATACTACGCTCATAAATTACCGATCGAAAACTGATACTGATCGTTTTTTGTAGATTGCAACTGTTATACAGCAACCACTAAATATTGTAAAGTAACTTCTATTATTATAATTATTATTTGTTTGTTAAAGCCCTACGATTACTATGATTACCATTATTATTACTATTAAACATTATTGTGTACGTACTACTACCATATAGTTGTTGGCCAGGTGTTATAAATGTGTCATAACTTAGCGATATAGCGTGTGTGTAAACTGTAAACCGTAGCAAAGTAGAAACGAGGAGGAGAAGTGGCCCCGATCAACTTAAAAGCGGCAGAGCAACTATGGCAAAACTAATAAATTGTATATTTTTTAAGGAGAGTTCAACGCTACACAAACTATATTAAAGAAAGAAAAAAGCGAAGCGACACAAAGAACCGCATTAAGAACTAAAATTGTTTTCAATTTTACACTAATCATTTAGGTGGCAAACTCAAAATACAAATTTACGGCTCATTTTTGTGTAAGTTACTAAATACTAAACTAAAGTCCAGCAACAGAAAAAACAACCAAGAGAACAACATGAATTTTTAAGGCTTGTGTGTGTCTGTTTTTTAAAACTATCCAAATAAATATATATAGAGTAGTGGCTACAAACCATAAGCAATACAGCAAAGCAAGTGCAGTTCTATACAAACGAAATTGTTCACGCGGCTAAAACTAATTAAAACAGTATAAATGATAATATATATACCACAAACAATATTCTAAATCTGTTATACGCATAAGGACAAGGCAACAGCAACTGAACGGAACGAGTGGGAAACACATCAAAAGTAACATTTAGAACAATAAGTGTTGAAGGAATGATGAAAGCAGCCAGAAGAATAGTAATAAATACAAAATTGCCATACATTTTAAAAACTATAATTACCAAGTGTTTGTTTTAGTGGGGGAACATCTTTTAAGAACCTCTTTTAAAGGAATTTTAATTGAGTAAACTAAGGGAATTTTATTATATTTAATTAAAGATTTATAAAAAGAAATAATTGATTCAAGGCTTCACTAAAACAACGTTGGATTTCGCCGACAGCCAAATGAATGAAACCTGCAATAAGTACTTATATCAAGAGAAAAACTCGTGAATACGTTAGCACATTTATAATCTCCCAGGGGGAGCAGCGAACGGCGCTCTAAAAACCATCGATCAAAGGTTAGCCTTGGACTTAAAATATTGCGCTTATCAACGCATTCGAAGCCCCTTCGATGTCGCGAGCCTTACGGGAAATCAGATCATGGCGCTCTTACTCGAAAACCCTCTGCCCCAAAATGATTAGCCTAATCAATAGGCCACGAGGGAGTTATGGCCACACTTAGCCAACATTACTAATTGTGGAGGACCGCCGACGATATCGGCTATCAATCTAGTCTGTGGGCAAACACTTGCCTGCTATCGCCCGCTATATATATTTTTTTTTTTACGAATGGCCCAAGTGCTGCGAAAACACCAATAAAAGAAAACCTCTCCGGCCAGACGAAGCTTGTTCAACACAGCCCCCAGACACTGCCGATACAGGTATTACAGCAACTGGAAAGCAATCGAACCTTCTCCTATACTTGTGAACTTCATAGCCATGTGCATACGAACAGCAGTGGTCATAAAAATAGCACTTAAAGAGAGCCATAAATCAATCTAGTTGCAGTTATTTGTAAATCGGATTACGTTTCCTGAGAACTTTGGGTAATATTCCTTATAAATCAACGATTTATCTGTGAAAACATTATAGTATCATAAAACTTTAACGTAATTAGGGTAAGTTAAAAGTAATTATCTGCTTTGTTTTGTTTATTTCAAGGCACACATTCTACCTATTTTAAAAACTCCTAAAAACGCTCACAAATTAAAAGAATTTTTTTAAATATGCAGTCAAATATCTAATCGATCTTTACATGTAACCAATGGACTTTGTATCATATCCGTTCAAAAAGCCAAAGATTAACTCATTCTTTGACTGAATTAATAGCCAATCTATCATAATTTTAAATAGTTTTTTTTTCTATTTTTCAACATAATCGATCTTTGTTACCCTCAAAAGGCCAGATAATTTAGCTGATGATTTGTTTATGAACAGAAGTTCAGAAATGAATTGCTTAATTATTTTGATCTGATTTTTAATTACGGCTTCTAGTTGGATTATTTTTCTTCAACTAATAATTAAACTTTAATAAATAAAATACTAATTTGTAGATTGCAAAGTTCTAGTCACAATTCTACATATATTTAATACCCATATTGTTTTCCCCACTTTTGCTTTTCTCTAGCAATTAAGACGGGACACACAAGCTTCATTTGATCAGCCTCTTGGCTTAGAATCCCTTTCCTTCTATGAATCTGAAGCCCCATGACACACTCAATTACGATTAGTATGCAAGTGGACGAAACGCCTACTCCGGCATTTCTACTTGGACTGTCTATTGATAAGCGGGGACAATGGCACACACACACACATCTGGCAAACAAAACAGGCAAACAAAAATAATAATAACAAAGAGACGAGGACTGGACAGAAGCCACTTGTGCTGCTGCTGATTAGAGAGCGGTTCGAGTGAGTGGGTGGTGCTCTTGTGGGGGGCACAACAAATTGGTCAACACCTGTTGGAGCCCTTCCCGTGCGAGGGGATGTGATACCCGAGAGCGAAAATACCAAATCCAAGCCTCAAAAACAATTGCAACTGCCTGGCAACAGGCAGTCCAAATAATTAAGGCCCAGAAACTATGGCAAAATTTGTTGACATCAACGTTGTTTCCCCGGAGACCCATTGTTGTTGTTCCATTCGAGTATCATGTGACAACACCTGAGAAGAGTGGCGCATATAGAGAATGTATATAGGAAAAGAGAGCGTGGAAAGGCCAAAGTAAGCAGAAATTGCATATAAACACGACGACCAGGCCAGGCCAGGCGACGCGCTATCGAAGGCACGCCATGACAAATTCCAAAATACAACATGAAAAACGGCATTAAGTAAGCGTAGAGCAACACGAAACGCAGATACTCTGGTCACCATGCCGGTTAAAAGTCCACAAACTGCCTTTGGTTTTTGATTATCTTGAGAGCAGTCAGTGACTCTGCGTTCAAAACAATAACAAGATAAATATGAATATTCTGCGGGGAAGAAACATTAACTTGTAAATTATTAGTAACTCAAGAAAATGGTCTGCGAAACGAGCATCAAACTGTTATAAGCAAGAAACAACTTATCAGTTGGAACAAATTAAATTGGAGTTGTAATACAAGCGAGAGAATCTCTCGACAATAACTACAAGGGAAAATAAGAAAATTGATATTTTAAAATTATAATACAACAAATATTAGGAATTCAATATGTATATCTGGAAAATATACTTCTTTTATAAATTTAGAATATAAATAATTCCAAAATAAGAACAACGGCAAAAACACACAAGTTGACTTCCTGAAAAAGGTGCATAGCTAACACTCCTGCTTCTCTTCTTGGCCATTGAATTAATTCAAAATTATAATAAAGAGATAAAAGTATTATAATTTATATAATTATTTTAATAATTATACAAATAGCCCAACCGCAGCCTAAAATCAAGCTACTCATTGAAAAGACCATTTACATCGATGAATAATTAATTCTTATCAAGTAAAATGAGATTATAAGCAAAATTAAATACAAGGAGGAGGGGAAAATTAGTCAAAGTGCAACTCAGCACGAATGATGCATTCAATTCCCATGTATCAGGCCAATTCCCGAATGGATTACTAATCAATATTGTGCACTTACCCATTTGCTCCTGAAGGGGCTGCATTTGTGGAGTTGTGGGTGTCGGTGTCGGTGCCTGTTGTGAAGGCGCAACCGGCACAAGCTGCGGCGGCTGTTCGATTAACACAGGCGATGGCTGCTGCAGGATGTGATGCGGCGGATGTGGCAGCAAGGCTGGCTGAGCTCCATCCGCTGGCATGGGCATCGCAGCGGTCCAGGCCACCGGAATAGTGCCGGGTGGAGGAGCTCCGCACTCGACGATTTCCTCGTCATACTGTCACAAAAAAAATTCGAAATTTTAGCACAATTTTATCTTATATCAAGTCAGCTTCGGTTTTTGTGAGTTTCCTTAAAACTTTTAAAACTTGTGACTTGATTATTTGATTTTTAAATCTTTCAAAAGCCGAAAAAGACCTGTTTTATGTTATAATCACTCACCTGCTGCACGGGACCCGCTCCTGGATGAATCGGCTGTATGGCCATCTGACCATCTTCATAGATCTGCATGACGTTCATCTGGTGCTGCATCTCGTGTAACTGCGTATCATAGATGGGGTAAGTCGGACTGAGCATGCTTGATGTTTCCGAGGAGGGCAGCGAGGCGCTGTTGTGGTTCAGTTCATCGCCCACATTGGGAACTCCGCCATTGGGATGGCCGGCCACCTGTTGCTGCTGCTGCTGCTGTTGTTGCTGTTGGAGCACTTCGGCGTATTCTTCGGCATACATGGGGGCCGAGTGCCAGATCTGAGGGATAACTCCTTCCTGTTGCTGGACACGTTCATCTACTGCCACTCCAGCCTGAACATCTTCCGGCAAGTACTGGTATTCCGCCGGATGCATCACGGGATAGTACATGCAGTTGTACATCTGAGCTGGATTGTACATCACCGGAGAGATGTATACTGGTGTCCCTGTCGCTTGCTGAGCAGCAGCCGCCGCCGGGTTGGGCGGAGGCTGCAGTTGGGCATGCTGTGGCGCAAAGTAGGGCGTGGGATACGGGCCGTAGGCATAGGCATGCGGTGGAGCATGGGCGTAGTACGGCAAGGACTGCATCTGCGCCTCTGGCGGCGCCTGCAACTGCTGACCCATCTGGTCAGGCTGTAGCTGCAGGCCAGGATTAGAACCGGGCGCACCATCCGGCGGTGGCAATTGCTGCGGTGGCAGGGTAACTATTTGCTGTTGCTGCTGCTGCTGGATATGACGTGGTCCATGATAGTCGTTGCGACGCATGCTACCACCGCCGCGAGAACGCCCTCCGCGTCCTCCTCGACCACGTCCGCCCATTCCCGGAGTGTGAAGATTGGGGGATCCGCCCTGGGTTGCCAGGTTCATGGGCAATTGCTGCAGGTGTTGCGGCATCAGGGCGTTGCCCTAAAAAAATAACAAGGAATTTATAACCGAGACTAGGACTCTTACTCCCTCGCTACGCACCTGGTCTTGAGGCATGTCTCCATGGCCAATATAGTGGGATTGTGCTCCTCCAGGCAGATAAGTGGGCACCGTGTGCGACCAGCCATGCAGATTTACATTGGCAGTGACGTTGTTCACAAACACATTGGGAAGTTGCGTCTGGATCATCGCCTGGTACGGATTTCCTGCATGCGGATGACCACCGTGTTGGGGCATGTACAGGTGAGGATTGAACAGAGGCTGTCCGGCTGGAGTGAAGGCCTGGACGGGTGTCATTAGATTGTTGTTCCCCGAAGGCGAAACCAGCGTGCCGGAGTTGCTGTTATTGTTATTATTATTGTTGTTGCTGCTGTTGTTTCCGGCTGGTGTCGGCTGCGGTGTCGACGGCGTGGAAATGGGCGTGACGGCACCGCCACCAGCCCCTCCTCCAGAACCAGCTGCCGCGGAGGCCGGTGTCGACGACGACGGCGGCGCCGCCTGCTGCTGCTGCGGCTGCGTTTGCTGCGCCATGGCCAAAAAGCCTCAGTGCGGAACTTGGCTAAGTCCTGATTGGTTGGTATTGGTGGCTTAAACGAGTCTCAAGAGTCGCAGCAGGCGCCAAACATTGAAATTGCGTTTGCTGTTCCGGGAAAGAGACGAATATAACCATTAAAAACAGACATTTGTATGGGGAAAATCATTCGAATTGCTGGTTTATTAAAGAAGTTCGGTTCAAAGTTAACAAGTGCCTTAAAAAAACGGAGAAACCCGAAAATTGAAGCACTGGAAGCACACCAGACCATCTTCTTCTTCCGAACGTACCGAAAAACCAAACAATAAATTGAATTTCAAGTAAGATTATTAGCATCTCGAATGCGTAAGATACATCTTCTCTATTTCTGGCGCAAGTAATTTGCAATTAAGATTCTTTTCATTCATTTTCAATTCACGCCAGTCCTCGTGCCACAGCCGGAACTTTGGCCGCCGGCAGTCTGGCAACGCTGCACAGCTGTGCCTATGTAATAAGAAAATCAAATAAACAGAGGGAACGGGACGGGTAGAGGCCGACGGCCGTGAGGAGGGGAAGAAACCAGACACATCATAAAATTCCGTATAAATCAAAACAAAAAAGCGCCAGGCGGTTGCAAGAACCGTGTTTTTCTCCCCAATTTCTGTGCCACACGCCGAAAGTTGGTCGCCCGCTAGAGATGAGCGGATGATTATTTTTCGCCGGGTCACGAATATCGGTCACGAATGTAACAGGTTCAAAGGCCCAGTTTGCCGATTTGTCGGCAGTGTTTACAGGGGAAAAACCAATTTACAACGCAACAAAGGCGGCCACGACTCGTTTTAGTGCCTTTACTGCCACTTTTTATTTTTAGTAGAGCCAATTGCGGCATCTGTCACTGTCGCTCCAACTTGAAAATTACTCATCTCTGCCGAACACAACACACACACATACGCACCGCACGCACACCGCTGCAGGGCAGTTAAAAGAAATTGGAAAATAACTTGCTCGGAAAGTGGGAAAAGGCCGCTGTCTGGCGAGAATTTCGGTTAAATAAAGAAATACACTGCAATTGGAGCGGGCCGCGGCTTTGGCTTTATGTTAATGCCGTGCCGGGAGTCGGATTCAATGTCCAATGGCGACCGAAAAGAACACGTTGAGGCAAGAGAGCGGCGAACGCTGAGGAATTTCACAGAGAGAGGAGGAGAGCGGCGGCGGGCGAAGAAGGTGGTGGAGCGGGAGTGGCGGCGGGGGCCTTTATCGAACGTACCTTTTGTTGAGTCGCCAATTGAAATCAATTTCGTTTTCGCAATTTGATCATATTTTATGCGTGCGGCAATTGCGGCGACGGCTGGACTCTATGCCTCTCTCTCTTCCCCTCTCGCTCGCACCACACACTCTTTGCCACGATAATTCCGCAACTTTTACACGCTGCCTAGGCTGCTCCAATTAACACTGTTACACTCACGCTCACGGGGGCGGGGGGTCACAGGTCACAGGTGAGAGGACACCACGCTGCACTCTCAGTTGGCTTGCTGCGATCCGATCCGATCCGTTTTTTTGCGGGCCACAAACTTTTTATTGTTCTTTATTTTTCGGCCGAAAAACTAGTGCTGTCAAAACATTGATGGCACTATCGATAACAGCGATAGGGATGGCAAGGCAGAAATATCGGAATCGCTAACGTCATGTTATCGATATCGCGTGTTGAAATGTCTGGCAACGCTGCAGAAGAGCGCCAAGTTTAAAGTGTGATTTCTAGAAATCTTCAAATTTTCAAATTACATTTTAGACACACATTGTTTGCTTTTATTTATGCAATATTAATTATGCAATGAACATTATTACAAAAATTCGCTGCACATCAACAGGGCTTCCGTTACAACTAACTCCATCATTTTGAATGCTCGTGGCTTTTTAACACTTATGGAACAAGAAACGTTGTAATTGCTTAAAAATAAACACTCAGATATATAATCGTATAGGTACTTGTAATGTATTGGGTGTAACACTAAGAGCGTAAAGAGTTTCGGGGGTCCTACAGAAATCTCTAGGAGTTATTTTATTGCAAATGGATTTAAAATCATAAGAGATTTCTGTGATTCCCCCACTGTATTTGTATGTGTGTATCGAACATAATCCGTGTTCCGATGCCAGATTTCGTAGCTTTTCATTGCTCATATTTTCCATTTCGCTGTCGACCAATTTGTAAAACAATTTCCCTAATCAGTCTTTACTATAAGCTGATTGTACTTTTTACAGGGTATACGCAAGCATGGTATGTATTCGGCCTCGCCTTCATATTTAGATCGCATCTTGTAGACTAGCTTTTAACAGTAACCGATAAATATATAGTATGTAGTATTGATAACAATGATATGGCCACCAGATCCAGATCCAGGGCCCAGTAATAACAGTAATGATATATCTCATATTCTAACAATAGGAAGACTAGTGCTGACAGCTGCGATCCAAATAAATAATATAAAATAATTGAAAAGAAAGGGATTTTTTAAGATTTTCATATAGGATAAGTGATATTTAAGTGTTAAAATATAAATCTCAAGAGATTAATGGTTTAAAATATTAAAAATATTACTATTTCGATCGCAACTGCCGATATTTGTACAGTAAGTTAATGGAATTAATCAGTTAGTTAATCGAGTTAATAGACATCGTTGAAGATTCGTTAGTTCTTTGCTTAGGCCCGAGGCAACGCAGGGATTATTGCTGGTATATATGCATGTAAATATAACACTTATCTAGGTACGATCTAGGGGTTATAAAAATAAACGACACGCACACGCACAAAAATACATATACAAACATCAATCGAGTTGCTAAAGTAATTGTCGATGGCTGCTGGCTAAACACTACGAAGGGTTAAGAGCCATTCGCTCCTAGAGATCATCGTCGTCATCGATTTCTCCAAGCTCGATATCTGCAGACGGGTCTGCGGGTATAGGAACCGGCGGTGGTGGAGGAGGAGGAGGCGGAGTAGGTGGTGGCATCGACGGCTGTTGTGGTGGATCCTCATTATCCATATCGATATCAATAGAGTTCTCCCGCTCCGTTATCTCCGGCATTTTGAGGGAGAAACTGCTCAGTTTCCGTTCCGCCGATCCCAGCGAGCTCTGCGAGTCCGCTTTTAGGAGCGTGGTTCTCCTCTCGTTGATGACCCGCAAAGAGTCGTACATCTGCTCATCCGCGCTTCCGCCAGCTCCAGCTCCGGCCAATCCCCGTTCCATGGAGCGTATGTAGAACACGGAATCATCCCGCTCGTTGGGCACTCCCTTCTTGGGCCTGTAGAACTGGCGTGAGCTGTTGCTGCGATAGAGCGGAGCAGCCGCTGGCTTCTGATCCTCCTCCTGTTCACTGCGGGCAGACGCCAGGGGCAGGAATCCCGGGCGGGCCTTTTTCGGCGGTAGACTGCTCGTGTGATGCTGCAGTTCTGTGATCTCCTCGTAGGAGTTCTTGGGTTGCGGCTGCGACACCAGCTGCTCCTCCGGCTGCTGGTCCAGACACTCCTCTGGCACCGCAGGCTCCATGCTCGACTGTCCCGATAGCTGACGCACTGGCGGAGGCGGCTCAGAGCAAACCGATAGCTGGCTTCTGTTTAAAATAAGTAAATTATTAAATTAATTAAATGAATAAGTTATTCTCTTACCGAAATTCCCTGTCCACGGAGGGCGTGGCCGAGGGCCCGCTACTATATCGCTTGGGCGAACGTAGAATCGACTTGGGCATCACCTCGGGACTGTGAAGATCCACTTGGACACGCCGAGATTCAATGCTGGAGGTACGACTGGCGATGGACGCACAGCGAGCCGTCCAGCGGCCGCTATACGAGGAGTCCGACATGGTTGAGTTTCTGGGAATATTAACATAAGGAAAAAACTTAATATATGCTTAAAAAATTCATAATTAATACAAAAGAAATATTAATACATTTTAAAAGTATTTCAAATGAGCTCAAAAAACATTTATAATCAAAAATGAATGAAAATTGGAATTTTGTTTTCAACACAAACTCACCGCCTGTGTCCCAATGGACTGCGACTGTGATCGCGTGCCTCCTCCTGCTCGATGGGTCTCTGGCGGGCTAGCACATGCCTCTTGGCCGTATCCGAGCGCTTGTTCCGCTCGCTGCGCTTCTCAGCCCCCGAGCTAATCCCCACCAGCGGCGGACCACTGCCGCCGTCAAAGGAGGAGGCCTGCCAGTAAACGCGACCCGCAGCCGGTGGCTGTAGCAGGGAGCACTCCCTGGTGGCTCGCTGGATCAGGCTGGATGAGTTGCTTATAATTCTGGTCGACGAGGAGGAGCCAGCTCCTCCACCGCCGGCATTCGAGCCCGATCCCGAGCCAGAACCAGGTCGCATCTGGCGCACGCGTCGCACACTACTGCTCGAGGATTTGTGCGAGTGTGAGTGATGCGAGTGACGATGATGGTGGCGATGGCGACGATGCGAGCAATACAGTTCCCATTCCAGCGGCGACAGGCGGTTGTTCAGTGAGAGCAAATTGTAGTAATTAGTGGCGTTGGCTATGGTGGCTGTGATGGTGGAATTGTGGTGGTGGGTGGTGGTGTTGGCATGAGCATGAGCGGGACCGGAAGCAGAAGCACCGCTGCCGCCGCCGGACAAATCCGGAGCGGAGCCGGCCCCCGAGAGGCGGCGCCACTGCGGGCAGAAGCGAGTGGAGGCGCTGATGGTGGCGGAAGCGGGATGCGGATGCGGATTTTGGATTCAGATTCGGTTTAAAGCGATAAAAGCGGGCGGGAAGAGCGAAAAATAGCCAATTGGATCAGTGAATTTATACAAAATTTACAACAAAAAATGTTATTGTAGCTGCCCCCCATGAGGTGATCACCCCTGCCCACTACCTCCCCGGATTATACCTGAGCGATCTGGAAAATTTGACCAGCTCGGCTGTCAGTGCCTCCCGGTCGAAGGGCTGCTGCTGGTGAGGATGCGGGTGTGGGTGAGTGGCCGAAATGCCGGCCGCCTGTGGCTGCTGGTGGCCATCGCCGGGCGAAGATCGGAACACCCCAAAGTGCTGATCCCACCTAGAGGACTGGTACTGAGCACCTTTTAAAGAAAACATTTAAATTATTAATTAATATTATTTAAAATCTGTATCCCCTGGCAATGCTCACCCATCCCGCGTCTCTGCGATGCAGAGCTCCCCTGGTTACTCCTCGAGGGATTCTTATTGCTGCCTCCTCCTCCAGCTCTCAGGCGTGCTGGAACCACTTTGGCTGCGGAATCCCGGGCTTCGAAGGTCATCACACAGGAGGCAACGACTATAAAACCACCGAAGCCCATGACAATGGGACCCACATAGGCGAAATTGTTCAGGTGGAAGCCCTTTAGGTCATTCTTCACGCGCACTGTGACATTGCCTCTGATTTCCGAACCCATTGACAAGTGATCTGCGTAGTAGCCCAGGGTGGCCATTCCGGCCCCAAGGAGCATTAGGGTAAGTCCCAGGATCAGTGCCCGACAGGCATGCCACAGGCACTTCGAGGACATTTTGCCACGCACCACCTGCACATTCCAAGTGGCCCCTGAGGCGGGATGTGCCCTTCGCAGGTTGCCCAGCGAGTGTTTCCTCTTGGTGGTGCCACCGCCACCGGAGCGACGGGATGGCATGGCGATAGCTCTTGAATGCTATTTACTTGGAAAGGATATCATCTAGTTTTGATTCTGGAAAGGTGAGAAGAAAGGATTTGATTTACAAACGGAAAATGTACAGAGTTTGTAGACCATTAATCTAATTTTTAAATTAATAATTAACTTTAGAGTTTAACTATAAACTTTAACCATTAACCGTAGACCCTTATTACTTCTGTAACACACAACTGTATAGAACCAGTTGGGAATTATAAGCGCCAAGCGTCAGGATATTATTATAAAATCAGATCAATTCTCTGAATAACCTACTTAATATGGTGTCAAAAGTAATTAAAGCCTATTAACATAATTAATTAAAAAAGCTTTAATACATTTGATTTGCATTTTAAATTTTTGACTGAAAGGCTGCATACATTTTTAACGAATATAGGGGGAAATTTGCATAAATAAAATAAATCTCTGTCAGACTGATGTTAAAAGTGGAACATATAAATCTATAAAAAACAGTTGGCCATAAAATTTAAATCAGAAAACATTCATAAAAACTTTTGCGTCATTACTATAAATCAATGGGAATGTGACCACAAATTCAATGCACAAAATGCGTTGGGTTTGAGCCAAGTTTATAGACCAGTTTCAATGCAAAACAGGAGATTTATCCTATTCCCCTCTCTCTACGTTCGACAATCTCACCTCCCCCACCTGTTGTCCCCTAGAAGGTCACCCAGCAGCAGCCACCATCATGCGTGTTCAGGGCTGTTTGCAAAAGAAGGTGGCAGGATTCCGGCGGTGGCGGATTCATCCGGAGGATTCATGAGCTGGCGGCGTTGGACAGTGGCGCGCCGGTGCAGGCTCCGAGTGTTGAACAATTAAAATCCAAGGCACAATGCCAGCGCCGAGAATAGCTGAAGCGGCTGACAACCGCGTGACGGGCCTTAAAGAATGGCGAGAAGAATGGACGGACGACAACGACACTCCTTCAAGTCGGCTAAAGCCGCAATTAAAGCCAAACAAAACGCACGCTCCCGGACGACAGGCGAAAGTCCGATAACAAGGCTTACAATGCCTGCGTCCTCTGTCCTCAGCTTTGGCCAAGTGCCGGTGCTTGACACGCTTGGCTCAAGACTCAAGAATCATGAAGCCCAGCTGCCTAAATATAGTCTTGTATAGGATTCATCAGCTGGCTTTTGGGCTAATTGCAGAGGATTTTGTAGAAAGATTTTCCAAGTAGATTTTTTTTCTAACTTTGGTATCAAAATTCGTAGCTGAAAGGGAGTTATTTTTGGGTAGTTTATTTTTGTACTCAACTTAGGAAAAGATAGAAAGAAAAAGAGAAAGATTAAACCATAAAATATATAATTGAATGGGTATACTTCAAGTTCTTAGAGGAGTTTTTTGTTTTGCTAGTTTTTCAGTTCTCATTTTCAAACATTGAATTTTAAATACTGCATATATTAGATTTATTTCTGAATTCTTTATTTTATTTTATTTTCTGTTCTATTTTTAAAAATAATTATAAATGCATCCTCGTTTCACTCTTTAGGCATCCTGCAGCTTGGCAAACACTTAAAACAACACTCCAAACCCATGGTCATTAGTCATAAAAAATGCATGCTAAATAAATGCAACATATTTGCATTTCATGAATAATTTACAAGCCTGGCAGCAACTTGTCGCTTGAACAAAGTATTTGCATAGTTTCAAGTATTTAAGGTTGATTTAAACGTGAGGCTGCCACCTGCAAACACCTTGTTTTGAATAGGATTTACAATTGTGACACTAATTAAAGAGAATTTAAGAAAATCCTGTTACTTAATTCAAATTGAAATTAAACTCATTCAAAGTTAATGAATTTACAACCAAGTTTGGCTCTTAGTTTCCTTTGATTAAACCCTGTATTGACTTCGTGCATTATTTAATTAAAAGGTACCTGTGCGGTTCAGTTCACCTTTAATCCTGCAAGTCTGGGAATTTCAGGGGAGTATGCCACACACATAATATATCCCAAATCGGGGCTCAGTTTGTCCTGGGGGCCTAGGCCCGCATTTGTTGGCTTACTTGTTGGTTCTTTCTTGGAATTCCTTTGCTGCTGCTGCTGCTGCTGCTGCTACTGTTGCTCCTGTCGATGGTGCTGTTGCTGCTGCTGCTGCGAGAGCCTTTTGTGTGACCTAAAAGCAGATTTGCCTTCGCTCCGTCTGTATGTATACTGGCGTGTGCATATATTTTCGAGTCTTCGCATGGGGCACCCACTCAGTTGTCATCGTTGCCAGTGGCCTCTGAACTTGGCTGCGACCTCGCCAGTCGCTAGCATCGCACCTGCAACACTTGTCAGCGGTAACCGTGTGATTGCTAATTGAGGATGCGATTAATTTTCACAGGTGAGAAAGCCTGGCCGCAGGCTGTCTCGGTTCCCGTTTACTCCGCGTCGACTGGCCAGCTGATTCGAGACGTCTGCAACCGAGCAGCATCCACGCGCGTCTGATAAGACGGAGTCCATCCGAAAGAGTCCAAGCCACAACACACAGGCCAATCATCCCTCATGTTATCGCTCGCCCAGACGCCCAGACGCCCATTAATCCTCTTCTTGAAATTGGTCGAAAAATACAGTGTTCATGGGGAGGAATGAACCAAAGCTCTCTTTTGTATTTGAAGGATGTCCTTAGAGAGGGATGAAAGGTACAGGGAGGTTTTACTGTGACTGTTTTTATTTGGCGCCCTCTGGTGGAAGGAGCTTGTTGAAAGGACTTGTTGGTTATGGCAACAAAAGTATAAGGCTTATAAGGACAGTGTCTTATATGGTATAATAGTTTTGAACTGCTTCCAGGTCCTGTGGTTGGTCATATGGACTGCCTTAACTACTTATAACTACAAGGTCTTATATTTTATCACAGTTTTGAACTGCTTCCAGGTCCTGGGGTTGTTCTTATACTCCACTTACTGCTGTTATATGCATATGAACTGCCTTAACTACTTATAACTACAAGTTCTTATATTTTATCACAGTTTTTAACTGCTTATACTTCACTTACTTCTCTTATACGCTGATGAGCTACTTCAACTACTTGCTTCCCAAGGACCTCCGTTCACTCGTCATTCTACCGCACTGCCTTAACTGCTTGCACATCAGGAACTGGCGTATCCTTCAGTCGGTAGCTCGGTATGTTAATGAACTGCTTTAACCACTTATAACTATATTGTCTTATATTTTATCACAATTTTAAACTGGTTATCCTTCACTTACTTCTCTTATACGCTTATGTACTGTTTCAACTACTTGATTTCCAAGGACCTCTGTTTACTCGTCTTTTCAACGCACTGCCACAACTGCTTGCACCTTTAGAACTGGTATATCCTTCAGTCTATTTCTGTCTTAAAGCTGTAATTTACGCTTATACTGATTTATATCATTTTTGTTAAAAAATTTTCATTTTTGCCTTGTCCTGTCTAGTCTGAAAAAAACATAAAATATTTTCAGAGTCAAAGGCTTAAAATAGTTTAAATTAAAGACATATTTGGGCATTTTTTTTAATTTTTAAAATAATCAAAAACCGACAAAAATTTGGATTTCCTAAAACTTAAAAACTACCACATAAATACTTTCGAATTAAATCCTTTTTGAGTTAGTTATGGCATTTTTAAATTTTAATTATAAAAAAATACCGATTTAAATAACGCGTCTATTTCTTAAGGGTATAAAAGGCCAAATGAGAAAGTGATGGCTAAAAGGCATAAATGTATAATCCTCTTCTGAACTATTTCAAAATTTGTACCAATTTATTTACACTGCTTTCATTGCTCCTTAAAATCAAACTTTCGGAAAGAAAACCACCACAATTCCACGCCCCTGCTGAACTCCGAAAAGGTATATCCCCCAGAGCAGGAAATCACCACAGGAAGGGGTGGTAACTTAACGAAACCAGGACCTGCGCAATGAGAGCATCCTGTGGGGTAGCCGAAACCCACACGAAGCGGAGACGAGCCACGAACAGGACATTAACAACAAGCGTGACCAAGTTCCTGCCTCACTTTCGATGGCCAGTCATTGGCGAAGTCTTAAGGCGCGTTGACGTTCCTCGCAGCGAGCCGGATGCCGCAGTCCGATACCGAGTCCCCGACCAAATCCGTGTCGTCTATTGTACGTGATGCAGTTCTCGCTGTGATTATTTCCGACTGCCTTCGCTTCGGTCCCTTATGGCACTGCAACTCGATGCAAAGTACGGGCCATCCGAGAAATGAATGAATGCATGAGGCACCTGAATGAATCGAATGCCAAATGCATTCGCCAATAATTGATCGATCCCAACTGCCCTTGTCCTCCTCCCTGTGCATATTATAATCGGGTGTGTATAAGTCAACGCTTCTTAAGGAACCCGAAACCGAAACCGAAAAGAAAGTGAAAGTGAAGAGTGAATCCTGATTTTGTTTCCAACTAACGATCGTTCCTAGAGCACATATTAAGTTAATCAATAAGGATACGACGATAAAGTGGCTTTATCCCTGCTTTATGCGAATTAATCAAGTTGATATTTACGTGACTCCACCCGGACGGGAAAAAACAAATGGCCAAAGTGCGTGAGACGCCGTAGGTGACCCCAAACCAGGCCAGAAAAACCGGAAAAGAAATCGGAGAAGTCGCGCTCGCGTCTAGAAATCGAGTCCAATGCAGTTGGCCAAATGTGCGTTAGTTAGAGCCGACAACTCCAGATTGCAAAATGCGTTTGAATGAACCAGCACAAAAAGCGCGACCCAGAACTAAATCAACGATAGAAGCCACTAAGTCTCCATCCGCAAACGCCACTGCATATTCGGGACACCGCTCCCCGGCGAGGCGGCGACGACCCATTGAATGTTCCACACGCAATCTGATCAGGCTGTTCCTCCTCACCACAACGATCATGGGCGGCGGATTTGTGCGGGCCAAGACCATCTACGAATCAGTTAACAGGATCCAGGGGCTGGATGAGATGGAACCACTTCTGGAACATGCGGTCACTGCCAAAGTTCCCACGGAGAACGCATCCACAGCCACGCCCTCGGCTTCGCCTCCCCCTCTGCTGTCCACGTTACGGAGCAGTTACGGTAAGCAAATTGCGAAATTGCTACTCAAGTTTTCCAGGTTTCCAAGTTTCTCAGTGGGGGCGTGCGGCGTCGGTTAATGCATAATTATATAATTGGTTTTCAATTATCCTGCCGACTGCCGAAGGGTGGCAGGAGCTATTGTCTATTTGCTTGGGTGTCTAAAATGCATTTTACAATTCATTTCTGACATGCCTTGGATTTGTCTTTAATCAAGATGATGTGGTTAGCACTGAAGTTAAATTATATAAATTATAATGCTTTGATAAATGGAAGAAAATGTTTTTATTTTTTGTAATATGTATTTAACTGAGAAAATAATATACATATGTGAGGTATAGATATGAATGTGCTTGCTTTAAACATTATTAAACTAGTTAATTATATATTTTATGTGACAGAAATGATTTTGTAAAGTTCAATTATGAAAAAAGGAATATAATTCTGATTAATTTTGAGTAGTTTAGGCACATTTAAATTACTGTTACTTGGGGTTTGAAAAAAACCAAAGCAACCTAGGCCTAATTTTAAATACTTTAACTTTAAAAAGGGCTGCTTATTTGTATGCATACATATTAATATTTTAACTATTTATAAACTAGTTTCAATTTATAGTTCACAACTAAAATAAAAAGTTATTCCATTAAGGGAAACCCTGCAAGTCTTTTGAAAGCTCTTGACACATGTCAGTTATTTTTTCTGACTCATAGTTTATATTTACATAAATTATTTAAGGAGAATTGCGAGAGAAAATGCAGATAAAAGGTATTACTTTCTTTTAAGTTTGTTTTGAATATTTAAATAAAATTTATGGCATTTGAAATATAAAGTTATTATACGTTTTCTATTAATATTAACTACTAAAATTCTTTAAACAAGCTTTTGGTTTTTCGCAGCCTAGAATTTTTATATTTGGTATTTAAAATTAAGAAAACATAATTTTCATAGTGAGTTATATATTTTCAAATAACTGAAAGTATACTCCTCTTAATTCTTTAATTAATAAATATATGCCCAGCGCTTTTAAACTAGCTTAAGCTAAAAATAGACTCCTCTTAATTCTTTAATATATAAACAAATTTATGTCAAGCACTTTTAAGCTTGCTTAATTAATTACTTAAAAAACCCTGTCTTTAAGTAAACAGAAAAAAGAAGTGAACAGAAAAAATAAATATTTAATTTAAACCCCAGTGGATGGTTTTTGTTTCCAATTAATAAAGTTAAAATAAAACAATCTGAGCTCTATATTTTCTTTTCAAACTAAACCGTTTTCTGTTAGAAAATCAGGATAACTAAACGAAACTAAATCAAACTTAAAAGCCACACAATACCTCGTACCGAGCAACCAGCCAAAAAAAAGGGAAAATGCAGTTTGACAAATTGGGTTACAACGGATGACAGGCCAAATATTCCATTGTTTGCTTTCGGTGGTCCAAAACTAAACATTTGTATAATCCCAGGAGGTTGTCTCAGTGTACTCTCAACGAATAAACAAACTCCCCCACAGCCAGCGCCAGACTTGGCATTAGCATACAAACCTATATATACACACACATGAGTGCCTGAGCCATGTCATCAATTCTCAACTTTCCCCTCGATGTTCTCCCTCCCTCCTTCCCTCTCTCTCTCTTTCTCTGTCTCTCCACCCCGGACCGTATCCAGATTCGAATGAAATCGATAACTCCTTTCCAGCGGATGGGACCAGTCGGGCCGTTGAGGAGGAATCGGAGTCGGACGATGGCATGGATGCCGATTACGTCATCCCGGAGGAGGCTCAGACATCTACGGCGTTAGCCGCGATCCTCCCTGGAGGTAAATCCCAGGACTTGGCATCGCTATCCCTGCAGGCAGAAGCCGTTGGCACGGTGGTGCCCAAGACCAGTCCGGATTCCTCTGCTTCGGGGCGTAAGAACTCCTTCCAGCAGATCGGCAGCCAAAAAGTAAATGCCTTAGTGCCGGCTACAGTGGCCACAGCGATGAGCTCATCCAATGGCTCCTCAGCGGTGGTTGGCCCCACGGAACCAGCGAGGAATCGAAGCAGCAATGTGCGCACCTCCGCCGTCAAGGTGGACAGCAAGCATCCGCTGCCCAAGGGCCAGAAGACAGATGCTCCCATGCTGAACTATATCTTTGATACGTTCTCTTCGGCTAATAAGCATCACCATCACGATCAGAGGTGAGTGGGAAATCTCTTGGTAAGAAGTCTGTACATCTACCTGGTAATCACGCAGGTATGGACCCCACTTTGAGGATATGCAGCGAGTGGGTCAGGCCACCAATCTCACCGTGCAGGCTGGCTCCAGCATCCACCTAAACTGCAGGATTTCGCTGCTGCAGGATAAGACTGTAAGTTGTATTTGGGGACTTTTTTATTTTATTTAAGGACTAACTTTAATTAATACTAAGAAAATTAGGTGTCTATTTTATAATTAATATTTATATTTTCCCTACCGAAATAATATTATTTTAAAATACTATAATTATAAATACATTTTTAATATATTTTTAAGACTTTTAACTTACTCTAATCTAAAAGAAAAGGGTTTATATGAATGTCAGCTTCATATAAACCATTTACTGTTAGCTTAGAATAAGTTAAACAAAAATATTTAAATATATTTTATATAGTGTGTTTTAATTTAAAAGACTTTATAAAAAACTATAAAGAAAAAATCTTTGAAAAGCTTAAATTTTATGATGCTTCGGTGGCCAAAGATGTATAAATAAATAACATATTACTAATATCCTGTATGATTCCTGTTATTAAATAAAACAATCTCTCCTCTGCCATTATATTAGGTCTCTTGGGTGCGCCACAACACGCAGGAGGAGGATAATGCCCTGGACCTGCTCACCGTGGGCATGCACACGTACACGGGTGATAAACGCTACAAAATGGAGTTTCAATACCCCAACAACTGGCGACTAAAGATAACCAATGTAAAGAAGGACGATGAGGCCATATACGAGTGCCAGATCTCGACCCATCCGCCCCGCGTCATCCAAATAAACCTGCATGTGAATGGTAAATATATAAACCTTTACAAAGTATACTTTAAATTGATGATAATTGGGGGACTTTGCACAGCTCCCAAGGTGATGATAGTGGACGAGGTGGGTGATCCTCTCCAGGAGAAGTACTACGAGATAGACTCCACCCTGCAGTTGTCCTGTGTGGTGCGAAATGTGGCCATGACCAGTTCTGTGGTCTTTTGGAAGCACATCGACAACATCCTCAACTATGATGTAACTCGAGGGGGAGTGAGGTAAGGAAAAATTACAGAATATTAAATTTTCATGTCTCATATTTAAATATAAACCTTCTCTTTGGAATTTCTAGCGTCAAAACGGAACTGATGGAGGATGGAGCCAACTCAACGCTCTCCATAGCCAAGATTAGCAAAACGGATTCTGGCAACTATACGTGCTCCATTAGCGACTACCAGAACTTTACCATTGTGGTGCACATTCTGAATGGTAAATCTAAAAAATCTGCAAAAAAATTAACCCTTTTCAATAAACCATGTTCCCTGTTACAGGCGAAAGCTTTGCCGAACTGCATCATGGTGCCGCTGGAGTGGTTCAGGCCACATGGTGGCATCTGGTCATGATGCTCCATCTCCTGGCACTCCTCCAGTTGACTGCGAGTAGGTTTAGAGGGGACTTTAGCTAAGGTTCCCGATTATTTCCATAGGTGTAGGTTAAGTGGGAGTAAACAATATGAAACGAGAGAACATCGTTTATCCTGTAGCACTTTTTGTTGATTAATTGTAAAGTATTTGAATTTTGGATAGGGCAGTTATTAGAAATAACTAAAAACGCAGCCTAAGTTTAACTGGCTATTATAGATATGTTTCTACGTCTATCATCAATTTGTACATGAGCAGGCACGCCTAGGATTAAGTCTAAGCTAAGCTAGGAGTACAGTACTCCGACAAACCGAGAAGGAGGAGAAGAGAGGCCAACGAATTTCCCTAGCAGAAGAATGTCAGACAGTATGTCAGAGCCTAGAGATCTAGGTGATACAGGAATGTAAAGCATAATGTAATCTAAGTCACTACGAACGAGTTCATTATCACAAGCGGGGCTGGCATAACTTAAGCTTTTTGCGGAGAGGAAACAGCAGCTATCCTGTGTGTGTGGAAAACTACTCAATGTTGAACTAATATAAATAATACTGTCATATACATATTATATACATACACACACACACACACACACAATGAACAGAAGCATCGGTCAAATGATATGTTAATAAATGAATACTCGTATGTATGCAAAAATAAAGTGAACTATAAATGAGTACAGAAAGTGTTTTAAATTCAGCGCGAAAAATCGATATTTTGCCTATCGACTAGGCAAAAATAAAGTGAACTATAAATGAGTACAGAAAGTGTTTTAAATTCAGCGCGAAAAATCGATATTTTGCCTATCGACTAGGCAGAGTTGCCAGACGCTCGAACCTTAGGAGCAATGTTGCCGGACTGCTACGTTCTATTAATAATAAATTGTTTTTATTTAAAGTAATTAAATTTTGCTTATGTATGTCCTACAGAAGATGTTTCAAAATAGTTTCGTAAAACTTTCTAAAAGATTTCAATCCCTTTAGTCACATTTTTTGTAATAGACCATTTTGTACAATGTACAATGTACATCAATCAGGCCTTTCAAACCTGAATCAAAATATATTTCAATATAATACATAAGATATTTGCACTTTAAATATCAGATCAATTAAATATAAATTTAACGGTTCAGTAATATAATCGGAATCAATGTAGAACAAGTCTTACCTCCAGTCACTAATTATCAGCTATTCTGGCAGTAGTTATAGTTACTCAACAAACATTTACAGCTTCGACTGGCTTTTCCGACTGGCAAAATCCATGATTGCCTGGAAAAACTCCGGATGCTGGAAACTCTCTAGCAGCTGGCGACACTCGGAATCATTGGCCTTTAGGAGGCTCTCCAGGAATCCCTCATTTATTAGACGTTTGCCCTGCAGCAGCGAGTTTGGAGGTAGCTCGGCATACTGCCGCAACTTGGGCCAGATTACAGAGTCCACTTCGTTGGACTTGTAAATGCGCGAGACAAAGTTGAAGTGGTAGGCCTCCGAGGCGGAAAGAGGTTCGTTCAGGAGCAAGACTTCGGAGGCCTTGGATCGGCCCAGGATGAAGGGAAACATAAAGGAGGAGCCACCCTCCGGCACCAGGCCCAACTTGGTGAAGGGGGCGAGGAAATAGGCCTGTAAGACAATCATTGTTTATTTATGCAATGTTAAAAGATTTCTTGTAAACTTACGGTGTCAGAGCACCAGGCCACATCGCTCAGTCCCACAATAGTGGCTCCTATGCCAATGGCCGGTCCGTTGACCAGGGCAATCACAACCTTTTTGCAGTTGACGAAGCTCAAGACCATGGCCTTGAAAATAGCATTGGACTGCCTGAGGAACTCGTTAATATCATCCGTTTGGCCCGACTGTGATAGATCATTGCCGGCCGTAAAGTACTCTCCCACGCCGGTGAACACCAAGATAGCCACGCCCTCATCGCCGTTGACCTCCGTTAGAACCCGGGTGATCTCCTGGTAGGCGGACCTGTTGATGCAGTTCTTCTTCCGCGGATTGTTGAATTTCACCACCAGCAGCTTTCCTTGCTGCTCCACGACCAGCTGTTCATATCCGCGGTACGACATCTTCGGTTGCTCCGGATGAAATGATAGCAAAGTCCAAATGCCCGTCAATTATACTCTGATTACGCGTATTTATTGTTGTTTAACCATCCGATTAAATGCCGGCTCTAAGAGGGTGCTGTTGCCCTCGATAAGCCTAGGGATGGACGATAGTTTAGGTATCGGTAAAGATTATGAATTTTAGAAATACAAATTAAATGTCAATTTTATAAGCTACGAATATAATAAATTATTTAAAAATCAGCAGTTTCTTTTAATTATTTTTTAATTGTTATAGAAATATCAAATGCAACTATCGCTGTTCATCGTATATGAAGATTTCCTCAACTCCCATCCCTATCACTCGCCACATTTGCTTGATCTGGCAGCGCTGAAAATTACCGCGACATGTTAAAACCCGTTATTTGGAAAAAAACGTATTTTATTTTTCTTGCGCTGTACAACATTCATTCTTACGTTAAAATAATGACTTATTCGCTAATTTCATCAATCACGGGCACGTTCTGCAGCTCGGAGCACTTGCGCTTCCACAGGGCCAGCTGTTCCCGCAGCACCTTCTCCTTGGCGGCGGCGCGCGTCAGCAGGACCTTAGCTTTTTGCAGGAGTTGCGTCTTCTTCACCAGTTGCTCCTTGATGTATTTGAGCTCCTCGTTGGCGGCGTCCTATGACAAGGTAAGAAAGCCGTTTTAAATGGATATAATGTATTTGGAGCGTTGTTCCTACCTTGCTGCGTCCGCCGCACTGTTCGCACTTGGTACGCTTTTGCAGCTCCTGCTGAAGGGCGTTAATCTTCTCCAGCGCCTCTGCATTTTGCTGTTGCAACCTCGCCGCCTCGGCAGGCGTGGAATCTATAGAGCTGCGTGACTCCGTGGATCTACGGCCGTCCTTGAGGAACTTATTCTCAGAACGCAGTTTCTCTACGAGATTACGCAGCGAGAGAATGGTGTGCTCCGCCGACTGGCCCTGATTGGTGTTAACCTTCAGGCCGCTGCACTTACACAGCTCCCGCCGGGATTCGTTGCGAGCCATTTCCTCTTTCAAGGCCAAAATGTAACTGGAAAAGGGTAAGTGGGTTAAAAAACAGTTATAAGTTGGAAAGTGTGTCTTTACTTACTCCTCCAAGTGCTTAATGCGCTTCTGCAACCGATCGCTGCTGTCACCCTGCTTCAGGAGATCCGAATCCAATTGCAGCTGCAGATTTCTCGACTCCAAGCGTATATTCTGCGCTTCTATGGCCTGGCATCTTTCCTGTAGTTTCTCAAGCTCCGTGGTCAAGGCATTACTGCCCCTACCCTCCAGTTCCATGGCTATGATCTTCCGCTGCTGCAGCTCTATGCGGGATTTAAGGGCTTCTATGAGATCCGCGTGACTCTGGTCATAAAAGTGAGCATCACTGGACTGGGGATGATGGGCGGGGGAGCTGCACTCGCTGCTGGGACCCGTATAGGTCTCCGGACTCTCCGACGGCGACGGAGTGAACTTGCTCACGCCCACATGCTGCAGATTGGGACACGATGGAGTGCGGCAGCACTTGAGGGCATTGCCGGATCCATTGCTGGCGGCTCCATTCCTGCCTACTTTGGATTCCAGCATTTGCTTATCCTTTTCCAGCCGGGCTATGGTTGTACGAGCTGCTTGCAGGAGACTGCGGGTTTTCTCGAGAGCCAGTTCTGTCTCCTCCAATCTTGCTTTGTTCTTTTCCGCCGTCTGCTGCCAACGCTTTTGCTTTTCCCAGAGACCCACCTCATTGGCACTCTTGGTGCGCTTGGCCTCCAGAAGCCTCTGTTGGCGCTGTAGCTGGCCACGTGCCTCATCTAGATCCGCCTCCAGTTGGTGGATTCGTTTCTGTTGGTTCTCGTTCTTTGTCCTAGCATTAAGCTCTGTCTTGATGGACACCACCGGACGCTTGAGCAGCTGCTGGCGTAGGGATTGACTGAGATCGCGAGCCTGCTTTTCACGCTGCGTCACATTGGCCAGTTGGCGACGCAGTGCCTCCATTTGGGTGTGATAGATCTTGTTGGTGGCCTCTGTGCGATTAAGATCTGCCGCCAGCTTGGCTATCTGCTCCTCGGAGAAATTGGAAGTGTCATTGATGTAGCGCTGCTGGTCGTCCTGGAATTAAGATTTTATAATTATATTTCTGGTTTTATAATATTTAAGGTTCCCTCACATGGAAGTTCTTTAATGTATCCATCAGGTCCTTAATGTGCTTATCCTTTTCATCTAGGAAGACGCGTAGTTGATCCATCTCTGGAGGGGCATTACTCTCAATGGATTTCTCTCTATCCTGGCAGAGTTTCAACCTTGTTGAAGATTAGGAATAGTAAATCTTGGTAATATATTTTATTTCCTTTTCAAAACTCACTTTTCTTTTAGTATTTCCACTTCCTCTTCTCTAGTTTTCAGGTTCCTCTCACTGTATTCCAGTCTATCCTTCAGATCCTTGATCTGCTTGTGCAAAGTGGGCAGTTCCTTGAGCTCCTCTGTATCCTGTTTCTCCTCCTCGCCTTCGGGTTCCTCATTGGCTGGTTCTTCTGAACCCACATTCACCTCAACCTCTTCTGGAGCTCTATCCCCTGAGCTGCTCTCGAAAAGCTCCTCAATCTTCTCATCCGTTAGTTCATGAATGGAGGCCTCGGAAGCCGAACTGGCGTCTGTGGAAGAACTACGTTCCGCTGGTGCTTTGGGTTTCTTTTCTAGCTTGGCCTTCAGCTCCTCAATTTCGGCATCCTTGGTCTTAATGTTAAAGTTCAGATTGTTGACGGTGGCTCTAAGGGATTCGTTTTCAGCAGCCTGTTTGCTTATGGCCTGCTGGCTCTGATCCCTTTCGGTTTGCAAGAGGTCCTGGTACTTTTGTATGGACTGATCCTTCTCCAAGAGCAATGTGTGGAAGGAGAGTATGGTCTTCTCCACAACTCCACTGTGAGGACTTTCAGATTCGCGGGTCTCCGTTCTGGAGGCCTCCAGCTGTTTGCAAAGGATTTCGATGCGCTGATTGGCTTCTTGGAGGCTGTAAATAATAAATAATAAGAATAGATTTAATTTTTATTAAATTTAATTATTAAATCTCAACTCACGAAGCTTGCACTTGCTGTAGTTCCACTTGGGTATCCTTTTTGCTATCTTCCACCGCCTCTGCTGTCTGTACTGCCTGATTCTGCTGGCTAAGGATGCCGTTCGTCTGGACGGCTGTCTCTGAAAGCTTCACTGAATCCACCTGCGTGGAGGTGTCCAGATGTGGATGCCGCCTGAGCGGCGACCCTATGGGCGAGGATTGCTTGTCTATCAACTGGGCGGCTCTAAGCATTGCTGGAATGGGAGTCGCTGGCTCTGTGTTGGTTTCCGCATCCACTTTAGGTGATGCTTGGGCAACTCCCTCGCCGAACAGAGCCTGTATGGTCTGCCAGTGTTCCATATCGGTGGCCTGGCGCAACCTCAACTCGCTTAGTTCCCGCTGCAGCTCCTGCTGCTTCGTTTGCAGCAACTCACAGCGCTGTTCCAAGAGTCTCGATTGGGTCTCCGACTTGATGAGCTTGACCAGCTGCTGGGAACTCTCCTCATTGGGTGCAATCTTGCCTAGCACACCCTCAGTTAGCTCTTCAATCAAAGCGCTGTGATCTGCTTTCTGATGCTGCTGAACTTCATCATCCTCCAGTCGGCGCTGGAACTTTTGGTAGGCGAACACAAAGTTGGTGAGGAAGACCAGGGGTGTAAATTTGGCATATTTATCTTTCAGAGTGAACAGCGAATGCTTGAGGAATCTGGAAGGATTCGAATTGATATATGTGACATCCTTTCAAGATCAAAATTTCACTGCCTTATACTTGTGCTTGATATCGCTGTTGCTTCGCTCCTGCTGGAAGTCCTGCTGAGCCTGCTTCAGAGACAGCTCGCTGGCTATTAGCTGGGATTGCAGGGAGTCCACCTTAAGCTGCAGTTGCTCTCGCTCTGTTTCAAAGCGAGAGCATTCAGCCTTGACTGGAAAAAGGATCTTAATATTTATAGGCTTCAAGCTTTCAAAGAGTGAACTTACCACTATCCAAGTCCCGCTGAACCTTAGCCAGCATCAGCTTCTCGTTGGAGCTGCTTTGAAGATCGGCCACCAGGTGACGCAGGTTGATGTGGTTATCGGTGATCTCATTGAGCAACCTTTGCTGGGAGTGTATCTGAAAGATTAAGAGGGATAAACCCAGCTCTTCTGGTAATTTTAAATGCCTCACCTGTCCATTGGCCACCTGCAGCAGTCCCTCCAACTGCTTGGTCTCCCTTTGCAACTCCGCTTGCTTGGTCCTCCAATTGGCCAGCTCCTGTTGCTGCTTCTCAAAGTCTTCAGCGGTGATATAGTCGAGCTGGTGGTTATCCTTAATTATGCCATACTCTGCACATATGTCGGGCAGCTTTAGCTCTCCCATCATCTGCTCCATCGCCTGGCCCAGCTGCATGCTCAGGATGGCGTTGCGGTGTTCCAACTGCTGCTGCTCCTCGGCAGTGTACAGATGCCGCCTTAGAACTTCATCCAACTGATTCCTTGTGGCTGACACCTCGCTCTTTAGCAGCTCCACTTGCCTGGACAGGGATGCCTTGTCCTCGATGAAGCGAAGTTCCTGCTTCCTAGCCTCGCTTAGCAGCAGATCGTAGTCCTGGCGCATGAAGCCGTAGGAACTACTTTGTTTAGCCATTTGTAACTCCAAGGTAACCATTTGATCGTGGAGCTGCTGATTCCGGCTGACCAACTCGCTGCCATCGGCTGACATGTGCAGACGCAGTTCCTCGTAATGTTTCCGGAGAATGGCCAGCTCTGCTTGCACCTCTGACCTCTGTTCTGTATCCGTTGCCAGGATAACAGGTCGCTGCAATCCCTCAGTGGCTTCAGTGGGCGAAGAAGGACGAGTGGCTGTGTTGATCTGAGGATCCTCCTGCGGCTGGGCCGGCTCCTCTGGCATCTCTGGGACATCGCATAAGCTCTGCACTGAGGATAATTCACCTGTTTCTGAGTCACTGTAGTTCTGCTGCTGCAACAGTTGACGCAGTGCCTCCTCGCGGGCTTTCAGTTCAAGCAGCTGACCCTGAAGCCGCTGCGGGGTGGCCGCTCCACTAGGAAGAGCTTCGATAAGACGACGTAGCAGCTCCGAGTCAATGGTTATGTGCTCCGAGGTGGCTGTAAAATATATTAATTTGATAGATTCTCTTGAGATATATCCCTTAACTCACCGTCATATTCCCGCAACTTCTCCAGAATCTCGTACATGCCCGAACGCAGGGTCTCATTCTCGGCTAGGACTTCCTCGTAACGATTCTGCATTTCAGAGCTGGCTGCTCCATCGCCCTGGCCACGCCGTGGAGAGTTCTCCAGCGGGGCACTGGGAGGGACTTCACCCACCTCGCTGGGCTGCTGCAGCAGGGACTCATCCAGCTGCGGCTGCGGCTTCTCCTTTTGCAGTTCCAAAAGCTTTCGTCTGAACAGAAAAGAAGGTTAATGGAAATAATATTGATATACAGGAAACCCACCTTAGTTCACTCTTGTCCAGCTTCAGCTGAAGACGCAGCTCCTCGGATGTCCGCAATTTCAGAGTCAATCGCTCAATCTGCTTGTCCTTGTTTCGCTGCTTGGAACGCACATTTTTGGCCAAGACCACCACATCATCGGGAATTTGCAGTCGACGGCGTAGCAGCTCGTTTTCTTGAACCACTTCATGTTGTGCATTCAGCTCCTGGATGTAGGTCCTAAGCTGCTTATCCCTTTCCGCCAGCTTTTGTTCCAACCCAGAGCATCGTCTCAGAGCTGGGACTAATCCATCCTCACCGCGCTTGTAGGCTTCCAAGGCACTCAAGGCGTGCAGAGCCTGCTTGGACTTGAGAACGTTATCCTGCTCGGCGGCCTCCAGCATCTCGGAAAGCTGCTGGTTACGGGCACTAGCCACCCGCAAACGTTCCTCGATCATCTGGCAGCAGGCTCGAGGCTGCTCCGGATCCTGAGCACGCTCTCGTTCCAGGGACAGCTCATTCATTATCTTCGTGGAGTTGACCATCTCCTGGGCCATCGACTGGAGTTTAGCTTCCAGCTTTTCAATGCGTTGCTCGCGGGATTCCAGGAGCTGTAGTGAATGTCAAATTATGAAAAAAAAATTTGAAATAAAATCCTTGACTTACATGTCTCATCTTAGTGTGCTCTTGCTCCAGTTGACTTTGGCTGCTGGATGTGGTGGTCAGCACCGAGTTGGTACTCTTGCCTTCTAATTGTTTCTTGAGACGTTCCACCTCTTTGTCCCGCTCTTCGAGCTCCTGTCTCCAGCCGAGTGACTTGGTCTCATACTTGTCAAGGAACTGTCGCATTTCCAACTCCTGCTTTTCCCGCTCCAACTCCAGGAAGGTAACATTGCCCTCCAGTCGAGAGATTTCTAGGTTCAGCTGCTGCTCTTTTTGTTTGAGCGACTTGCGTTCCTCCTCCACTTTGGTGATGTTCTGGGTGAGCTGTACAAGATTGGCCTTGATGTTTTGCAGTTCGCGTTCGTGTACCACTATGGTCTTGGATTGAACTATATTTTGGTTTTGAAGTGTCTGAAAGGGGAGAGGAATAAGGATATATAATTAAAAAATAAGGTTTTTCATCCTATTACCCACCTCTATTTCTTTAAGCAGCCTCTTGATGTGCTTATTCTTGGAGTCTATGTTCTGAAGTAGCTGTTCCTGCTTGTCCAGTTCAGACAGTGGATCCGAGGAGTCCTTATCGCTGGCCTCGGCTTGCTGGGCGGCCTCCCTTAAGCGCAGCTCCAACTGACGGATTTCCTCCCCTAACTACGAAGATACTCAATTTATTTCCTTATCATTAGGTAACTTTAATACCCACCTCCTTGGTCTTGCTTTTCAGGCCATCACGCTCGTCCTCCAGCTTCTGCAGCATTCTTTTCAGCTTCTCATTCTCGTCCTGCAGGCGGCGGTCAGAGGTTGCTCCTGTATTGCCGCCGCCTCCTGCTAAGCTTTGTTCTTGTAGCTGCTGCACTTGCTCCCCCTTGTACTCCAGCACAGCTAGCGTGACTTCTAGGGTCTTGCGCAGCGACTTCTTGGGCAGCTCCTCTATGGACTCGGCCAGCTCCAGCAGCGTCTCGTAAAGCTCCTGCTTCTGGCGCGCCGAGAAGTCGCGGAACTTGCGCACGGATACGGTTTCCGGGATGTCCATGCTCATGCTTGTGGCTCATGGCCTCGCTCCTCGGCGGCTCCTAACGTTCTGAGTGAAAATTTTCCCCGATTTTTTTACACAACTCTCCCGGGGCGTGCGTTTGGTTTTTATTTTTCGAGCGGTTGCCATGACAGCGGGGCCACAACAACAAAGGTAGAGCCGCACCGGGGTTGCCGCCACTGACTCACGTGCTGCTGTTGAGTTCAGAGTTCCGCGTCCGGAAACGGGGGTGCCGGCGCCCGTTAATGACCGCGGCCTTTGTTTTTGTTGGCATTTTGTTTTGCTACCTGCTTCGGCTGCGTACGTACAAACTTTCGTGACAGGATAATTGCCCCCCGGGTTGCTCCACCATCTGCACGGCACCACACTGCACCGCTTCTTGCCAGAGAATAGAAAAGGTGGGCTGGGTGGGTCTCCTCCATAAACAAAAATGGCAATCGGTAACCAGGAAAGTGTTAATTGGCAAAGTGTCAAAGGCTGAGTCCTGAAATTGAAAAGCCATTTCGGATTGCTCCTGCTCCTGCTCCTCGTGTTCCTGTTTGGCAGGAACCTTCTCCTTCTCCTTTGGTTCGACCTGCTCCTCCTCCTGTGCTTTTGGACACCTTTAGACACTCCACCTACCAGTGACAACTCGTTGAGTTGCCTTAAACATTACGTTTGTGTACATGTGTAAAAATAATTGAAACTAATAGCAAACGACTTTGGTTACCCTCCCATTTGTGGACTCGCCCGCCCTCAGAGGACGACAGCAGGCCCGAAAATTAAAATGATATTTCAAATGGCCAATTATCCAGGCAGCATTTTGGCCATTTATTCCAACCAGCAAAATCGACAGGCAACCCTAACCCTCCTGTTGCTCGAGAGACCTGATAGAGTTTGATGAACTCTTTTGCAGAAACTATACTCAGGAACTTAGGGGCAGAAGGTTGCTTTATAATTTATTTTTACAAATGTTATTCAGGATATTGTAGAGTTTAATATTTACATTTCAATGATTTTCTTTTATTTAATAATTTATACTCAGGAGCTTATTTTTACAATATTTATTTAGGATATTGTAGAGTTTATACATATTTTTTTTTAACTTTAGACTTGTGATATATTTTCTTAAGCATTTTAAATTTATTATTTTTATTATTTTTATTTTGTGATATTTTTACAAATGTTATTCAGAGTATTCCAAACTTTATACATATTTTTTTAAAGTTTGAGATATATTTTCTTAAGCATTTAATTTTTATTTTAGTGTTTGTTGTCAAGCTTATATATAATTTTTTTGAGGAAATTCTCCAGGAATATCTTTTATGTTTATCTTCCTAAACGCATGTTGGACCTTCTTTGCGACTCTTGGCATCCATTTGCAGAAGCATCAGCTCATAGGTGACCAGGGTGGCCAGCATCTGCAAGGTATTGGTAAGAAAATAATAATAAAATAAATAATAATAAAATAATAAAAATAAAAATAATAACAATAGATCTTAAATTATACTTCACCCCAAATAGGCTCCTTCTTGTCAAATAAAACAGCCGATATCCGGACAAGCCAACAAACTCGCTGGTCAGTTGACTGGCAAAACGTTGAACCTCCTGGGTCCAGTGATCACTGGGCACTAGAAACACGGATTTCAGAGGCAGGAGCGAGGCATCCCGAATCTTAGAGGCAGACATAAAGACCAGACTGGTCCTTGCCATCAAAAAGAACAGTGAGTACCAGAAGTACACGTAATTAATAGGATGTCGTAGCTTTCTAAATAGATAAAAGAATTGATTACTAAATAATAATAATTACTAACTAATTTAAAAAGAAATATATAACATATAGAATCTCTTACGTAAAAATGGCCAAAGCCTGGTTGCAGATCACATAGACATTATTCGCGCAGGATACGAAAACAATACTCGACATACTGGCGTCCACTAGACTGGTCAGCTCACAAAGGCGTATATGATCTCGACGTATATCGTACCACAAAGCATCAGGAACATGCTAACAGGATATAAAAAAAAAACAAAAAAAATGTGGAAAGTACATATTGTTAAGTTAACTCACTCGCCCTGCCAAGGCCAAGACTCTTTCAGAAAACTGCTGGAATCTTTGTGCCAGTCCAATGCTGGTTATCACTATAAAGATGTCCATAAAGTTCCACAAAAAGGTAAAAGAAAAGTTTAACCACTGCAATGAATCGAAAGAATCTTTTCTTAATAACAAAAAGATAAATAAAACACATAAATCCTTACAAAACCATAGCACATTGAGAATATATTGTAAGGCAGCAGAAACAAGGCATCAGAAAACTCCTTTTTTAGATATAAACCAAAGGAGACCTGCGTGAGATTCGTTTGGCAATGCCAAATATGGTTTCTATAAGTATAGTAGCCTGAGATATAGTAAAGGGCATGATCCACTGCAAAGAAAGAAGAAGTTCCTAAAGAGAAGCAGGAGTATAAAGAAGGCAACTCACCCAAACCCAGACAACCCACGCTAATCACTATTATGTTGACCTTGGAACGAAGAGTCCGCTTACATTGTTTGTAGGGTGGAAATAGCATGAGAATGTCCAAAGAACTCCAGGGTAACATTATCTGCGACCAAGAGCGAGCAAAGCCCACAAAATTTAACCAGTTGATGATGCCCACAATGCGAAAGACCAAGCCAACTAGGGTGAGAAGAATGGAATTTTCAGTAGTTAGAAATTATTAATTTCAACTCACCCACCCATATTCTTGGCATTGAGTCCTGCCTTAATGAGGACATAGGCGCCTATTAAGGTCTTCAGGCCTCCTAGTAGCAGAAATAGAACAGTGACTCCAGCTCCAAGGCTGCGCACTTTAAATTTCACGTCCTGGGGATCGCGACTCAGGATATTGGCCAAGGGCATGACGCCAAAGAATTGGGCAACACAGAGATCTAAAAAGCAGTTTTAATAGAGAGATTTTTTAAATTAATTTATTATTATTTATGGTGCCTAATGGTCTCACATGGCCTAATGGCTCTGTAAAACGTATCCAGATGCTCGAACTCCAATCCTCCCTGGGCACAGCGACATCGCATGACGGCCACAGCTTGCTGCCTTTGCCGTTGCACCTTCAGCTGCTTGAGGATGCTATCCGAAGCCTTTGACATGTTCCTCAAGTCTGATAGTTCATCCAGAACCAATCCCGCTTACCTCGAACTTTTCTCATAATTATTATTTACATCCTCTAGTCCAGGCTTAGGCTAAAAACTGTAATTAAAGCCAACAAGCGACAGTTTAACTGGTCACCAACCGAAAAGCCCAGCTCCGCCCCATGACCATGACAAGCTTTGCATCTATTTAAATTTTGCACTGCGTGTCAGTGCTAAAAAGACCAGCGTCATGGAAGGACCTACTACTCTGAATTATCGCAAAAACTCTAGTAAGGGTAATGGAGTTAAGCCTGTGGAGAGCGAGGTTCCGGGTAAGCTGGAGACCCCGCCACCAAAGTTTGTGAAGACTTCCAACCTGGAATTCAATGTGCTGGCCAGCGAGAAGTTGCCCAACTTCGAGACTCTAGACTTGTTTCATCGAGCTGTGTATCCTTGTAAGTTAACAAACTTTTGTTTTATTTAATTTTTAGTAAAAATAAACTTAAATTTAGTTATGTTTCTGGCCCAATGTTTTGCTGTGATGCCTTTACTGGGCATCCGAGCCTCATATCCGCGAAAGGTGCGCTTTGCCTATAAATCGCTGCCCATCATAGTCACCTTGATCTTTATGTCTGCTACCTGCATCATATTTCTGGGGATGCTTACGCATCTTCTACAGATAGGGATCAGCGCTAAGAACTTTGGTGGGTTTTCTAAATATAACTATTGATTTTTAAGGAGGCTGACAAGTTATTTCTGCTCCCAGTGGGTCTCGTTTTCTTTGGCTGTGTGTTGACTGCCTATGTCATCTTTATACGTTTGGCTAGAAGATGGCCTCATCTCATCCGGTACTGGACCAAAACGGAGATGGTCTTCACCAGACCCCCTTATGAGATACCCAAAAGGAATCTGGCGCGAAGAGTGCAATTGGCTGCCTTGGCCATCATTGGCTTGTCGTTGGGTGGGTTTTTGGTTGGGTTTCCATGAAGATCTCAATCCAAACTCTCTTCCATTTCAGGTGAACATGCCCTGTACCAGGTTTCAGCTATTCTGACCTACAAGCGTCGCATACAAATCTGCAAAAATATAACCGCCGAGCCCACTTTTGATGATTATATACAGAGAAACTATGACTATGTGTTTCAGTTGCTGCCTTATAGTCCTGTTGTAGCTGCCTTTATACTGGTAATTGGTGTAAATATTTAAATTTAAATTCTTTAATTATTTTCCCAAAGTTAATAAACGGCGCCTGCACTTTCGTTTGGAACTACATGGACCTGTTCATCATGATGATTAGCAAGGGTCTGTCCTATCGCTTCGAGCAAATAACTGCTCGTATACGTAAGTTAGAGCATGAGGAGGTGGCCGAATCCACGTTTATACAAATCCGGGAGCACTACGTCAAGATGTGTGAACTTCTGGAGTTTGTGGACAGCGCCATGTCCAGCCTGATATTACTTTCCTGTGTGAATAACTTGTACTTTGTGTGCTACCAGCTGCTCAATGTGTTCAAGTGAGTTTACTTTAGGATAAGCAATTAACTTTAACATAAACTTTAAAGTTTAAACCCATAACCAATTTCCTGTAATAAATCCTAGCAAACTGCGCTGGCCCATCAACTATATATACTTCTGGTACTCCCTGCTGTACCTCATAGGACGCACAGCCTTTGTGTTCCTTACGGCTGCCGACATCAATGAGGAGTCCAAGCGTGGTCTGGGTGTCCTTAGGCGTGTGTCCAGCCGTAGCTGGTGCGTGGAGGTGGAGCGTTTGATATTTCAAATGACTACACAGACGGTGGCCCTGTCCGGCAAGAAGTTCTACTTCCTAACCCGCCGGCTGCTCTTTGGGGTAACCCTCTCTTTTTTACAAAATGCTAGTTTATGTCCACACCTTTGTACTTATTTCCTTCTCCCCCCCAGATGGCTGGTACTATTGTCACCTACGAGTTGGTCTTGCTGCAATTCGATGAACCCAATCGACGCAAAGGACTGCAGCCCCTGTGCGCCTGATGGACACCAATTGCACCCGAACACACACACCCACTCATCCTCCATGCCCATTTGTCATGCCAGCTGCCAGTGACAGGCGCAGCAATTAGTTGTAAATACTTAGTTGCTAAATCGTTAAGCACAGCCACGCCCCCACTTGGTTCTTCTGGGGGCTTTTCGCACGCCAGATTGTCACTCCGAGGGGCAGTGAGAGTTGTTAGTTCGGCCATGCCGCAGGGCGAGACATTCCACCGGGCGGTCTCGAAAGGTAGGTCTTGGGAAAGGAGTTAATTGAATTTGTATGGTTTTTAAAATATTAATATATACAAATTTTAAATAATATTCTGGATAATAATATACAGTACATTCTCTTAATAATAAACTATTGTTTAAACAAAAAAAGTTGATAAAAAAATGTTGACTTACATGAATATCTCCCTTAAATATTATTTTAAAATATTTTTAAAATATTCTCCTTGCTTTTAGTTCTCTTTATTTCCCAAATCTATGGCCTGCTTCCGGTTAGCCATGTCCGCGCCTTGGATGTGGCTGACCTCCGGTACAGGTGGCTCTCGCCGCGCGTCTTCTACTCCGGTCTCATTGTGATCCTCAATCTGTGCGAATTTGGAGCCGTCATTAACTATGTGGTCAAGGTGGCCATTAACTTTCATACTTCTAGCACGCTGTCCTTGTATATCGTTTGCCTTCTGGAGCACCTGTTCTTCTGGAGATTGGCCATCCGTTGGCCGAGTATCATGCGGACATGGCAGAGCGTGGAAAAGCTCTTTCTAAGGGTTCCCTATCGTTTCTACGGAGAGTACAAGATAAAAAAGCGTATTTATATAGTGTTTGCGGTGGTTATGTCTTCGGCTTTGGGTAAATTATTAGGGTATTTATTGTTTAATCAGTGATTAAGGTTTTTCTTTCAGTGGAACACTGCCTGCTGCTCCTCAATTCGTTTCACTTGAGCAATATGGAACGTATCCAGTGCAAGATCAATGTGACCTACTTTGAGAGCATCTACAAGTGGGAGCGACCGCATCTGTACATGATCTTGCCCTACCACATCTGGCTGTTGCCTATTTTTGAGGTGGAAATTACTCCATTTATTTCTTTATAATATTTCATCTATTAATCTATTTATTTCTTTACTAAATTTAATTAATCTATTTCATTTACTAAATTAAATTCTTTACTTTAGTGGGTCAACGAAACCATTGCCTATCCGCGCTCCTTCACCGACTGCTTCATCATGTGCATTGGCATTGGCTTGGCTGCCAGATTTCATCAACTTTATCGAAGGATTGCTGCTGTTCACAGGAAAGTTATGCCTGCAGTGTTCTGGACCGAAGTGCGGGAGCATTACCTGGCCTTGAAGCGGCTCGTGCGCCTCCTGGATGCCGCCATAGCTCCCTTGGTGCTCTTGGCTTTTGGCAACAATATGTCTTTTATCTGCTTTCAGTTATTCAACAGCTTCAAGTGCGTGGAAATGATTGATACGGGAATCTTTAGGGTTTATTAATTGTTTTATTTGAAACAGAAACATAGGCGTGGACTTTATAGTGATGGTGGCCTTTTGGTATTCTTTGATTTTTGCTGTAGTCCGCACCTTGCTCACGATTTTTGTGGCTTCGTCTATCAACGACTATGAGCGCAAGATAGTCACAGCTTTGCGAGATGTGCCTAGTAGAGCATGGTCCATAGAGGTGGGTTTACTGTATATATCCTATATCCTTTAAATTATCCTCTTTTGGTCTTCTACAGGTTCAGCGCTTCAGTGAGCAGTTGGGCAATGACATGACCGCTCTCTCCGGCAGCGGCTTCTTCTACCTCACCCGCTCACTTGTCCTAGCTGTGAGTTCAAGCTTTAAACTCTATAAACTACACCCCTTGATGGTACTCATATTTAACCCTTTTTAAGATGGGCACTACTATTATCACCTATGAGCTCATGATATCGGATGTCATCAACCAAGGTGCCATCAGGCAAAAGACTCAATACTGCAGGGAATTCTAGAGCCGGGAGTAGGGCTATTCAAGAGCACATTTAGTCATAAGTGTCACGCCCATGCACCAAGCACCAAATCCGCTATATTTGAGATCTTAATCGGGGAAATACAAGGATAAATGAAGGGGAAACGCCCTCTTGTTTATGGCGTGTCCGCTACTGCCATCAGAGCACCGTCATGAAGCATTCGGGTCAGAAGGGTACTAAAAACACGCTTCAGCATGGGATAGGACCTTGTGAGTTCTTTGAAAATCTTCCAGAATTTCTTTACTTATTTCTTCTTATTTTTGATATTTTTTAAAATTAATTTTAGTCCTGGTCATAGCCCAGTTCTTTGGCGTTCTGCCGGTGTCGGGAGTCTGGCCAAGTTCCCGTTCTGACAAGGTTCGCTTCCGCTGGCTTTCATTGTCTTTACTGGCTGCTCTGGTTTTATTTGTCTTCTCCATTGTGGACTTTGCCTTGTCCTCCAAAGTGGTGCTTGATCATGGCTTAAAGATATATACTATAGGTAGGAGTTCCTCTTAGAAATGTAATATAGATGTTCTAAAAATAAACCCTTTCCAGGCTCCCTTAGCTTCAGCGTAATCTGCATCTTCTGCTTTGGGGTTTTCCTCCTACTCTCCCGTCGGTGGCCCCACATTATCCGCCGGACAGCTGAGTGCGAGCAGATATTCCTAGAGCCCGCCTACGATTGCAAAGCAGGGCGTCGCTACTCCCGGAGATTCCGTCTTTGGGGTGTGGGCCTCCTGGTGGCCGCTCTTTGCGAGCACTCCACCTATGTGGGCAGTGCCCTGTACAACAACCATTTGGCGATTGTGGAGTGCAAGCTGAATGTGGACTTTTGGCAGAACTATTTCCAGCGCGAGCGGCAGCAGCTTTTTCTCGTAATGCACTTTACAGCCTGGTGGATACCTTTCATAGAGTGGACCACCCTATCGATGACATTTGTGTGGAACTTTGTGGACATCTTTTTGGTTCTGATATGCCGAGGCATGCAGATGAGATTCCAGCAGCTGCACTGGCGCATACGCCAGCATATGGGACAGCAAATGCCTAATGAGTTTTGGCAAAAGATTCGCTGTGATCTTCTTGATTTGAGTGACCTGCTGGGACTCTACGACAAGGAGCTGTCCGGACTGATTGTGCTGTCCTGTGCCCACAACATGTACTTTGTGTGTGTGCAAATTTATCATAGCTTTCAGTGAGTTTAAAGAAAAAAAATTTAAGCATATAGCTTATTGTTTTTGTATGATTTTTCCTTGTTTTAGATCCAAAGGCAACTTTGCCGATGAGCTGTACTTCTGGTTCTGCCTTTCCTATGTCATAATTCGTGTAACCAACATGATGTTTGCCGCCTCCTCCATACCCCAGGAGGCCCGAGAGATATCCTATACGCTCTATGAAATTCCCACAGAGTTTTGGTGCGTGGAACTGAGGAGACTCAACGAAATCTTTCTGGCTGACCACTTTGCCCTAACTGGCAAGGGTTATTTCCTGCTAACCAAACGTTTAATATTTGCAGTAAGTTAAAGCTATAAAATATATTATTAAATTATATATTATAAATTATTATTTTTATTAATCAATACATTATAAATTAATTATATATAATATAAATTATTATTATTAAATAAGGTATCTTTTACAGATGGCTGCCACCCTGATGGTCTACGAACTCGTCCTGATCAACCAAATGGCCGGCTCTGAGGTGCAGAAAAGCTTCTGTGAGGGCGGCGTGGGCTCCTCCAAGAGCATATTCTCCTAATCCGATTTTTTCGCTTATTTTGCACCTGCTGAACTTTGTGAAATGGCACCCAATCAATTTTACCTGTCAGATGTTATCACAGCAATACAATGCATGTCAGAAACGTTTTGTGGCAAGTTTCTCAATTGTCACGCCCCTGCGGAAGAGCCATTTGTCTAGTCGCGGTCTTCAGATGGAGCGGTCCGTGGAGAATACCCTGCAACATGCCATTGGTCATGTTCTGGTGGTAGCAAGGATTTTTGGTGTACTCCCTCTATACGGTATAAAGCCCAGTGATCAACCGGAGGATGTACGTTTTCGCTGGCTTTCTCCGTTTATTTTGCTATTTTTGGGTGTGTTTGGCTTTGTGATCGGAGACTTTGTGCTCTCCGCTAAACTTGTTGTGCATAATGGCCTAAAGATTTACACCATAGGTAAGATCAAGTAGAAATATTCGAAAAATAAACTCACTTAAAATGATTCCAGGAGTTCTAAAAGCTCAAGTAAAGCAGTCCTGTAATCTTCTTATTCCTCTCCTTCAGGTTCTCTTACCTTCAGTGTAATTTGCATATTTTGTTTTGGAGCCTTTATAAGTCTAGCGTCCCGATGGCCCCACATCATCCGTCAGACTTCAGAATGTGAAAGGATCTTCCTGAAACCCTGCTATCAATGCCCCGAAGGACTCAAGTATAGTCTTTACCTGCGACGATGGGGCCTGATCCTTCTAGCGGCCGCCCTGTGTGAACACCTCACCTATGTGGGGAGTGCCATTTGGAGTAATTACAAGCAGATCACAGAATGCCAACTGGAAGTAGGCTTCGTGCAAAATTACTTTCAACGCGAACGGCAGGAGCTGTTCTCGGTGATACCATACAACTCCTGGCTGGTGCTCTTTATCGAATGGAGTACCATCTCCATGACATTTGTGTGGAACTTTGGGGATATCTTTTTGGTTCTCATGTGTCGTTCGTTGAGAATTCGCTTTCAGCAGATGCATTGGCGCATCCGTCAGAATTCGGGAAAAGGTAATCTGGGGAGAGAGATGTGGCAGGAAATACGAAACGATTTCTTGGACCTACATGATCTACTGAAGCTTTATGACAAGGAACTGTCTGCTTTGATCTTGGTGTCCTGCTCACACAACATGTACTTTGTTTGTGTGCAAGTCTACCGCAGTTTCCAGTGAGTTTATAAATTTATTAAGTTTATAAATTAAAATTTTTAAATTCAGGGTCAAAGGAGCCTTTATGGACGAGCTTTACTTCTGGTTTTGCTTGCTGTATGTGATCACCCGTCTGATGAACATGATGTTGGCTGCTGCTTCGATTCCTCAGGAGGCCAAGGATATAGCCAACACTCTGTGGGAGATACCTTCACGCAGCTGGTGTGATGACTTGGAGCGGTTAAGTGAGATGCTTCGCCATGAATCGTTTGCTCTCAGTGGCAAGGGTTTCTTTCACCTGACCCGCAGGCTCATCTTTGCAGTGAGCATTATTGAATCCTATTTGTGTTAGGCAATATTTTCTGTTATTTCCCTCACAGATGGCTGCCGCTGCCTTTGGCTATGAATTGGTTCTCTTTCACGAAATGAAGGGTGCCGTCACGCAGCCCAGCATTTGCAGTCGAGCAGCCGGCTCCTCCATGAGCATATTCTACTCCTAACTCCATTTCATTAATACATACTTCATGAGCTCGCTGTCAGCTCCTCACATTTGCACAAGATTATGCACAGATAAGCGCACAATTGGCACGGAGACCATCAATTAGCCGTAACTAGTAGCTATTTGTGGGCTTAACCATTTGTTAAAGGCAGTCAGTCGAGCAGAGAACATGGCCAGGACCACAGGGGATCCGGCTAAGCGGCGGAGGTTCATTGCTCGCATCAAATTCTGGAGAAGATCACGCGTGGGCAGCGAGTATGTCTAGTTTCTATTAATTTTTGGAAAAGTAAATGGGATTTGAAAATATTTCAGTGTCACCCTGGGCATTCTCAAGTACAAAGTGGTTTCTAAGCCAAGCAAACGTTTTCAATTTGCAAAGGGTAAGTTTTATTATAATAATTAATATTAAGTTTAATTATTATTATAATTATTTATGATAATATTATATATATTACTGTTATTATAGATTTTATTTCATATTATTTAAAATCCTTTTTAATTCCCCAGTAAAAGCTTTTCTGCGACGCATCAAAAAATCAGAAGACTACAAGTATAGCGGATCTTTCCAAGAAGCTATCAAGCCAGGTTAATATGAATTTGATTAATTTTTATTTATTAAATAGTTTGTAAATATTTTTTAAAAGAAATTTATAGAAGAAGAAAGTCTAAAAACTTGAAAACCATTTTATTTTCTTTTTGTTTCTAGTCCTCATCATTGCCCAGATCTTTGCCTTGATGCCAGTTAGGGGCGTCAGCTCCAAGTTCGCCGAGGATCTGGCCTTTGCCTGGTCCAGTGCCCGCACCTACTATGCCCTGGTCACTATCCTGTGCTTTGGAGTAGTCTCCGGCTATCTGGTGGCCTTTGTGACCAATGTGACTTTCAATTTTGATTCGGTGGAGACTCTGATCTTCTACTTATCCATATTCTTAATTTCTTTGGCGTTTCTACAATTGGCCAGGAAATGGCCAGCCATTGCCCAGGAATGGCAGCTTGTGGAGGCCAAGTTACCACCTCTAAAGTCTGGCAAGGATCGCAGATCCCTGTCGCAGCAGATAAAGTGGATTACAATTGTGGCCACCACTTGCTCGCTGGGTTAGTAATCAAGTTCCTATTTTATTATGATTTCATGATCGTTTTCTTTCAGTGGAACACATGATGAGCATGCTGAGCATGAGCTACTATGTCAACTCTTGTCCCAAGATACCGGGACATCCCCTGGACAGTTTTTTGTACTTGACCTTCTCCTCGGTGTTCTACTTTGTGGACTACACCCACTTCCTAGGACTGCTGGGAAAAGTTATCAATATTTTGAGCACTTTTGCATGGAATTTTAATGACATCTTCGTGATGGCCGTCAGTGTGGCTCTGGCTGCACGTTTCCGTCAACTAAATGATTACATGATGCGAGAGGCGAGATTGGTGAGGGTTCTAAATAGATTTTAAAAGCTATGAAGTTATGATCCTATAATTTTGCAGCCCACCACTGTGGACCACTGGATGCAGTGTCGGGTCAATTTCCGCAATCTTTGCAAACTCTGCGAGGTGGTGGACGATTCCATATCTACCATTACCATGCTGTGCTTTACCAATAATTTGTATTTCATTTGCGGAAAAATCTTGAAGAGCATGCAGTGAGTTTTTTTATTTTAATAATTTAATTTAATCATTTATTTAATTTTAATAGTTAATGATGGATTTAATGTAGACTATTTTAATTAAATTTGAAATATATATGCATTTCTTTTAGGACAAAACCTTCGGTTTCACATACCCTGTATTTCTGGTTCTCCCTGGCTTATCTACTCGGTCGCACTCTCATCCTGTCCTTGTATAGCTCCAGCATCAATGATGAGTCCAAGCGACCTCTGCTCATCTTTCGTCTGGTGCCGCGTGAATATTGGTGTGATGAGGTAAGCTAGGATATATTAATAAAATATTTAAAAATGTATATATATAAATATATTTTTTCCAATTAACCAGCTCAAGCGGTTCTCGGAGGAAGTCTACTTGGACAACGTGGCTTTGACTGGCTTGAAATTCTTTCGTCTGACCCGCGGTGTTGTCATTTCGGTTTGTAAAAACAACAATCCAATTATAGAAATATATACATATACTATATCTCTAGGTGGCTGGCACAATTGTGACCTACGAACTGATTTTGCTGCAATTCAACGGCGGGGAAAAGGTGCTCGGCTGCTTTGACGGCTAAACTTTTTCGGGGGAGTGTTGGGACAACAAAGGGTTTAGGGTTAAGCCCGCAAAATATGTGCTTTCATTGTTGTTGCTAGTCCTTAATTATAGATAAGTGCAAAACAACAGGTGTTTTTAATGGTCACTGTCCGGGTTCCTGTTGGCTTTTAGGTTGCCTTTGGTCATTCTTTTGCTGCAGTTGGTCTTTGCTGGTAGAGTCGGTCAGTCGCAGGATGAAGATCCTGCCCAAGTTAGAGCGTAAACTGCGCCGGCTTAGGAAGAAGGTGACCAGGTCGCCGCTGACGCGTAAGCTGGATTTGTTTCACGAGAGGTGGGATAATGGGAATAACTATTTTTCAGAAATTATTATTATCTTTAATCCCAATCCCAATCTATATTTTCTCTTAGTGCCCGCAAGAAAGCCTTCCAGGAGAGTTGTGAAACCTACAAAAGTCAAATAGAAAAGGAGTACGAGGTTCGGAATACTTTGCCCAGTAAATATTTATCAAATTACACTTATAAATCGTTTACTTAATTAAATAAATTCCCAACAGAACTCAACCGTAGCAACAAGGAAGCCTTCCTCAGCGATGGAACCTTCCACCAGGCTGTGGGCCGTGTGCTCTTGGTGGCCGAATTCTTCGCCATGATGCCGGTTAAGGGAGTCACCGCCAAGCATCCCTCAAATCTGAGCTTCTCCTGGCGCAATATTCGCACCTGCTTTAGTGTGCTTTTCATCGCTTCGAGTTTCACAAACTTTGGACTATCCTTGTATAAGGTCTTGAACAATCCAATTAGTTTCAATAGCATTAAACCCATTATATTCCGAGGATCTGTTCTGCTGGTGCTGATAGTGTCTCTCAATCTGGCCCGGCGCTGGCCGCAATTGATGATGTACTGGCACACCGTGGAGCAGGATCTGCCTCAGTATCAGACGCAGATGGGCAGGTGGAAGTTGGGTCACACAATTGCCATGGTTATGCTGGTGGGCATGATGCTATCTGTGGGTAAGTTGTGACTCTTAAAAGGGGATTTATTTTTAATTTATTTATTTAAATTATAGCTGAGCACATCTTGAGCATGATCTCAGCCATAAACTACGCATCATTTTGCAACCGCACCGCTGATCCCATTCAAAACTACTTTCTCCGCACCAATGACGAGATCTTCTTCGTGGCCAGCTACTCGACCCCGTTGGCCATTTGGGGAAAGTTCCAGAATGTCTACTCGACCTTCATATGGAACTATATGGACATGTTTGTGATGATTGTCAGCATTGGACTGGCAGCCAAGTTCCGTCAGCTCAACGATGACCTGCGGAATTTCAAGGGAATGGTAAGGGGAATACCACCAGCTTTTATTATTACCCAAAAATAATGATTACTTGCAGAACATGGCTCCTGCTTACTGGTCGGAACGTCGCATTCAGTATAGAAATATTTGCATTTTATGTGACAAAATGGACGATGCCATTTCCCTAATTACCATGGTGTCCTTTTCGAATAATCTATACTTTATATGCGTCCAGTTGCTGAGGAGTCTTAAGTGAGTATTTAGGGGTACTTTTTGTATAATAAATGTCCCATATCTTAAGAATATTTTGTGAAAGTTTCACATCGATTATAGTAAAATGGTCTAAGTTATGGGTAGTTGAATTGAGGTTCTCCTGAAAAATCGCAAGAACAAGATGCATTTGTCTCTTCCTTTAGCACCATGCCATCGGTTGCCCATGCCGTGTACTTTTACTTCTCCCTCATCTTCCTCATTGGTCGCACCTTGGCGGTTTCCCTGTACTCCGCCAACGTCCATGATGAATCCAGGCTGACGCTGAGACACCTGCGCTGCGTGCCCAAGGAGTCTTGGTGTCCAGAGGTCAAGAGATTTACCGAGGAGGTCATTAGCGATGAGGTGGCCCTGACTGGGATGAAGTTCTTTCACCTCACCAGAAAGCTGGTGCTGAGTGTGAGTCATAATTCAACCCAAAAAAAAAAAAACACTTAAAATTAAGAATCTTTCTCCCCTTCTCAGGTGGCCGGCACCATTGTCACGTATGAGCTGGTGCTCATCCAGTTTCACGAGGACAACGACCTCTGGGACTGCGAACAGAGCTATTACTCGTAGGACATGCCTTGGTACGGCTTTGCATTGCTTTATAATAAATAAAATTCATCTTGCACTTTATTATTATTATTGTTATTGTTTAAAGCGGTAAAAGGAAACCAACAAAATGTCGCTCGTAATATCAATCGGTTACATTCATTGCCTAAATTGTACGTCACATTATCCGCTATAAAGAGATTCTACGTGTGTCCGTGAGAGAATGGTCGCTACTGGTCACTTACAGTCTAAACGGCTAACTCTGATGGTGGATGCGGTGTTTTGTGTGGGTTATGCAGAGATATGGATACGGGTGACACCTACTACTGGCAACTGGCATGGGGTCATCGTTGCAGTATCAGTGTGCGTTTGGAACATACATTGAATGCAAAATTCAGCTAAAGATTTTCAATTACTTATGTTTAAATTCAGTTTAGGTGCTCCAACTTCGTGTAACAGGTTCGGAAGTTTGGTGGTTTCTGGTTGCATATGTATGTCTGTTCCATTACAAAATATATGAATATATATACGTATGTAGATGAAGCGGAAGCTACAAATATGGGTATTGCTCTGTGCCTACTAATACGTTTCTACTACGGCTGCCAATAAAGAACTACAAAAACTTGTTCGATGTCTTGCTGAACCAACTCCACGCCTTCACGCTTCACACACACACACGGAAAAATGCTGAGGGAACTCGACTGAGAAGGCAAACATAAAGTATCACAAAGATTGAGATCTTAAATTAAAGCATAGCGAGAGAGCGCAGGAGGATTACATAGCCTAAGTCCGTAGTCCGTGAAGATGGGGAATGCGTAATGCACAGAGATTCTAGTGTATAGCGAGTGTGTGTGTTATGAATGCGTTTGCGTTTGAGTAAAACAAGTCTGTGGGCTCGGCAGCAACCTCAGTGCCGCTTGGCATCGTACTGCTTAACCTTCTCCGGAATGGCTGCCTTTTCCACGGCCACATGCAGACCCAGCTCCTCCAGGGACTTTACATAGACCAGCTTGCGCCAGAACTTTGTGCTGAAAGTGAAAAGGGAAGATTAGTAAGGGTAATATTTATAAACCCTTCCTCAACTCACCTCACAAAGGGTCTTGCCATCCACACCAGCGACTTGATCCAGAATGTGGGATGCACCAAATACATGTGCTTCAGGCTCTTGCGCAGCCTACGATCTAGCAGCTGATAGCAACTACAAAAGAATGACCAAAACAGGTTTAAAATCAATCCAAAATTAACAATAAATCAAACTCACCGCTTAAGCCAGGGAAAGGGCGGCACATTCCGCCTATTGGAGCCACCGTGCAGATAGATCAGCACATAGTCATCCGTAACCAGCTGCTCTAGGGTCTTGACCACGTACAGAAACAGGTTGTCCATCACATAGCTGTAGTCGGCCCTTGATCTATGCGGCAGATGGCAAGCGCAGAAGATGACTATGGCATTCTGGCCGCCAGATTTGAGATATCCGCCATGGGACAGCACCCGCTTGTAGGGCTCTATGACCCGCATATCAATCTCGCGGGTTCGCCCGTCCGGCAGAGTGATTTTCTGCCAATTCCGTGAGTCGCGTCGCTCCTCGGCAGCCGTATATTGTGGCAGAGTGGAGGCGCCTGGAGCAGCAGCCGTAGCCGCAGCATGTGGCGTTGGTGTGGTTGCCAGACCGAACTCCAGGTCCAATTCCAGGTCATCGTCATGGTCGGGCAATAGCTCAGGGCCCTCGCAGTCGTCGTCGTCATCCTCGCCATCCAGACCATCGATGAGCGAGCTTGAGGGGCTCAGGGAGGCCAGATTATGTTCAATGTCCTCGTCGTCATCGAAGCTGTGATTAGAAATGGAGTCCAAGCTGGAGATGTCCTCGCCGCCAGGGAGAGTGGTTGTCCGCTTGGACTTCTTGCCATTGCCGTTGGGCATCAGGGAGACCGACTGGAAATTGGACTCCACGGCAGCCAAGTACTGGGACACATCCGCATCCGACTCGCTGCTCAGAATGTCCGGACTGTTGGCCCTCAACAGACTGACCTTGGCATCCTGCGGCTTGTTCCGCGACTGGTTTAGCGCGTTCTTCGCCTGCACCGTCTCCGTGGTGGGCACCACGTCCGGAAAGTTGCTCCGCGGCTGCGGCTTCTCCTGCTTCTTCAGCTGGAAGGGCTCGGAGTCGCTGTCCGTGTTTGTGGGCGACATCAAAGGATGGCTGTTCGCCAGCGTGCGCTCGATGGTGTGTCGTTGTGGCGGCATCGTCTCAATGGGCAGCATTTCCGTCCGAAGAATACGGTTGTCCAAGCTAGAAGTCGTGGTCGTGTTCTCTAGATCCTTCGCAGTCTCACTTTCCTTCTCCAGCGCCAGGATGTTCTTGGGCGGAGGAGCGGTCAAAGCATCATCGGCCAGCGGCGAGATTCCCGTGGAGTCCGTGGGCGTCGAGATGTCCATTTTGCTCTCTGACTGCGAAGACTCCGATTCCGCGTAGAGACTGCAAATCGATTAGTCATAATGTTTTGTTTTTGTGCTCGCTCTGGCGAGGGTTTACCTCATATTTCCGGGTGATACTTATGTGGCTGTCGCGAAAACTCGGTTTCCCGCTCATCCAACTCATCTAGATGCGGGCATCGCGCTGATTACTTTTAAACAAATGATTAATTTAAACAAAAGTCCGAGTAAACAAATTTCAGATAGAGATGGTAAAGCTTCGATGATACTATCGATGTTTTAAAAGTGGGACTAAATCGGTATCGATATCGGTACGTAAGCAAAAGTAAGGTAATCGAAAATAACGTAAGAGAAAACACATTAACGTAACCTGTTGTTATCGATATTAGGCAACGGTCACACTGTGTGTAGTGCGTCGCGAAAAAAGTGAATTTATAATAATAAATCCCCGCCAGAGCCATGGAAATTACACGAATCTCGGTTACTGCTGGAAGTGCAGTTCCTGTGACCGCCCCCAGCCCGACCACAGCCCCTTTGGCGCACCAGCCCACCTTACCTACGAGCACACTAATCACAGTAGGCGTGCCGTCGCCAGCAGTACCAACAACAACAACGACAGGCACGGGCACAAGTACAGTGGTGTCCGCAACAACAACAGTAGCGAGTACCGCAGCAGCCGCGACTGTAATTGCTACTCCGTTACTGCGAGCTCCGATACAGAATCTGCCGATTGAGCTGCAAAACGATCAGAAGCGCAGGAGGTGAGAATAACTGGAGTTGACAGATGTCAACGGGACAAAAAGTGCTTGGTAATCATTAATTTTTCGTTTTCCCCCGCCAACAGTTCGTGTCGAACAATCAAAAGGAAGCGTTTCGATGATGAAATAGTCGAGTACAACATCGCAGTACCCACGAATCGCAGCGGAACAGACGCCAATCGCAGCAACAGACCGAGAACCACTTTGCAAAACTTTCCCGCTCTTATTGGGGTGCCGCACACCACGCTAGCGCCTCTGACCATTCCCATTCCCACGCCGGAGCCTCCTTCAGCGCCCGCTTCGGCGGATTCCCTTGTTCCCGGAACCCCCAGCACGGTAGCCTCACTGCCCCTGGCCACGCCCACCACGCCAGCGCCGCCCGTGACTCCGCTGCTGCCTGTTGCGCCCCCCGTTGCTGCTGTAGTGCATCCCAAGCCGCCTGCTATGGAGCGTCCCGCGGCCAGCGAGAAACGCTCGCGTTCCGTGCGCCCAGCCAGCAAGAAGTCGCAGCGCCGAAACGGCAGAACTCTCGGCCAGACAGCCACCAAGGATCTGGGCCGATGGAAGCCCATCGACGATCTGGCCCTGATCATTGGTATCCAGCAGACCAACGACCTGAGGATTATACATCGTGGCGTGAAATTTTCCTGCAAGTTTACTCTGCAGGAGCTTCAGCAGCGCTGGTATGCCCTGCTGTATGAGCCGGCTGTCTCGCGGATTGCCGTATCCGCCATGCGTAACCTGCATCCTGAGCTCGTGGATTCCGTTCAGCGCAAGGCCCTGTACAGCGTCCAGGAGGAGGATCTACTGGGCACCATTAAGAGCGTGAGTGTAAAATTTCAACAGGAAAGAAATGCTAAAGCAGGTTTATAATCTCCTTGCTTCCTTTTGCAGACGGAGCAGCCAAAGCTGGAGCAATTCCAGGAGCTCCTCGAAAAGAACCCCTCGATCTTCTACAGCGCTCGCACCGCCAAGTCCCTGCACAACCACTGGCTGCTGCTCAAGCAGTACAGCCTTCTGCCGGATCAGACGGTGAAGCCGGTCTATGGCGCGGATCAGCAGCCGCTTAGCTTCTCGGATGCCGAGGATCAGATCTTCGAGCACGATCTCAATGAGCCGCGTGACGAGGCCTTGGAGCTGGAGAGAGCCCTGGCCGATCGCCGCAACAAGCGGGATATTCGCCTGCTAGAGAACGAGCTCTCGCGCTGGGGTGTCCTCGTAGACTCGGTTCTGGGACCCACAGCAGCCTCCGAGTTTGATAACCAGACACTGGCTTGTCTGTGCGGCCGGCATGTGCGCTACCTAATGCGCTCCAAGGAGATAACCTTTGGCCGGGATGCCAAGGACTGCGTGGTGGATGTGGATCTATCGCTGGAGGGTCCAGCGGCCAAGATCTCACGTCGCCAGGGAACCATCAAGTTGCGTAGTAACGGTGACTTCTTCATTGCCAACGAGGGCAAGCGGGCCATCTTCATAGACGGCTCTCCCTTGCTGTCGGCGAACAAAACCCGTCTGGCCCACAACTGCACTGTTGAGATCTCCGGACTGCGCTTCACCTTCCTGGTTAACTATGAGCTCATCAATGCCATTCGCCAGGAGAGCGCCAAGACATCGAATCCCCTCAACTAGCTTGGAGCAAGCTGGAGCCGGAGTGTGAACTGTATTTTAGTACTTAGTAAGCGTCAGAAATAGAATTCTGGAATAAACAGCATATGGACAATATGTGGAAACCATAGAAGAATAGTATTACTAATTTAAATTATTTATTGAGAGGTTTCTTTTCAATTTAGGAATTTGCTTTCAGCAAATCTCAAACTTTGCTTTAATTTAAATGGTTTCTACCTAGATTTAGCCTTAATTTAGAATGTAATACTTTATTAATAGACATACAAAAATGGTCTTTATGTTGTAATCCAATTGAGTGCCTTTAAATTTGCATATTTATGCGCTTAATCAAAGTTTTTATATGCCCAGAGGCAGAGAATATAACAAGATCCACCCACTCTTTAAACTCGACAACCGCAACGCCTCCAATCGAACGGAAGCTGTTGGCGACTTTTCTGAAGTGGTAAACTCTTTTTTACAGTTCTCCCGGATGGGGTCAGTTCTGGTTGCCCACCATGAAACCATTTGATACCGTCTCGGATCTGTCTCAAGACGCCTACCACATTTGCGGGCGCTGTGTCATGCGGCTAATTTGCGACTAACTCGTAAGCTGCCATTAATTACAGCTCAGACGCTGGAAAGTGGCTGCTAAGAGACACCAATCGCACACACCAAAGACCATTCCAACCATCCATCTATCTATCCATAACCATTCTGTTGGCATGTCACCGACAACCAAGACGCTTACAAAGGTGAATTAAGCAACAAAGATTCACAGATCTGAGAAGACTCACGCGATTGTATAATTCTACGTTCTTTTCTCCGGAGGCTGCTGGAGTTCCCAACTAACTTAAGGTTCACTTGTCACGGCAATTTAGTTGCTGATCGCTGCGATTGTGTTTTAGGCAAATTTGTTCGACCTTGCGTCTTGGGAGCTTCCAGTTGGTCATTTACAAATTGTAACAGATAGTAGATCTTGGACTCCCCCCTGGGTTCGAGTTATAAATGATGGCAGCTGTTGGGATAATTAATCGAGAGCCACCGACAGCCGGGAACCATGACACCTAATATAGAAATTAGCCGAGGAAAAGAACAGGGAGAAAGTTCGATGACTTTCGGCGGCGGCCTTTCTTCGAGGTCGCGCCATAGGTTCGTCGCGTTCAAAGTTGGATGGAGGGTTTCTTTAATTTGTATTGTTGATACTATAAACTAATAAGCCAAGCTGCGCAGCATATTAAAATATAATTAATTGTTGTCACTGTCTATAAAAAGTCAATTTACCTTGGCTGTATACCAGGAATTTGGCAGTTCTCCCAGCTCCGGACTCTCCAATCTTTCTCCGCTTTGTTCCCGCTGGAATTCCAAATTCTAACGTTGATTTGTGTGCATTTTTTGTTCGTTCTCAACGATGTCCAATCTTCGCCGGCTGCCGCTGATGCCGCCGCTGCTTTCTTCGACGATGATGGTGATGGTGATGGTGATGAGGCCGGGGCTAATGAAGCCCGGCTTTGTCTTATTATATACCAATATTTCGTAGCTTTTGTGCAGTTCAGCGAACTTTTGTTGTTGCCTCTGCGCTGGCCCTCGATATTCCGATACTCTGATATTTTGGCGATGTCGCAACTGCTAAAATTAGTTTATATTTCTTCGGTCCGAACGTTCTTTCCATTTTTCTTTTTTCCCTATTAGCGTAGGTCATGCTGTTCGCCGCCTTCTCTGTCTGGCCAGCAAAGTCTTGGTTGTGCCCGAAGTGGAGCAGTTCCACTCCATTTTATGCTGGCCATTGCGTGGGGGTTCCATCCGAAAGCCAGAACTTTCACAGTTCCACCGCTGAGATCATTTCCTACATATATAATTTATCTAGTGCTAACACCTGAGCCCAGCTTGGCCCCGTTGGGCTGACATAATGATGATTATCTCATTGCATTATATAAGGCAGTGTCACAGCACTTCAAGATTCCGTGACTCTGCAGGAAAATGGCCAAAAACAATTCATGTCGGGGCCATAAAAATAGCCTACTGATCAGTTTGCCGAATCGATATATGCCAAAATCATTGCCCGCCCCCTAAAATGTTTTATTTTACACCTGCCTGCCGTGCGTCTTATGTGTGATTATTCAATTCGAAATAAACAAAACATTTATAGTGTTAGTACAGTGATTGTTGTTGCTGCGCAGCAGTTTGATATTCATTTTGCTAATCGCATTTCAATCAATTTCATTTCAATTGTCAATGAATGTTGATTGTGTTCGATGCACTGGGGGAAAACTAGCGGTGTTTTTCAGGGGTAAACTATTTTCATATTATAAATTTTAATTAAGCTCATGAATGCAGAAAATCTGTGATTATTAATCACGGGAACACAGGAACCATTTCCTAAACATTGTCAGCAGTTATGTGTGTTTAAAGTGCCAAATTCACATTATATTTCGTGACTGGAAGTCCATAAATTATATATATAACCTAAGTACAAAACCAAGACCTTGCCTAATATATATTTAACTTTTTTTTCACTGTGCTTAGCTGGATATAGTGATGGAGGGAGGCGTGGCCTGCTTCTGTTTGGAGCGACATTTCTCGCAGACACGCATGTCAACCGTACGAATGCGTCATGTGAAATATTCAAATTCAAATTCGTCTCTGTGTTTCGCATGTAACGCATAAATAATCCGAAAACCCCCCAAACCAAACTTCGAATACGGTTTTGTTCCGCGTCGCTCATACGCACTGTGGGCCGTCAAAGTCAAAGTCCGCGGGCTGTGCGCTGCATTTGTAATGTGGAATCGCCGTGTAGTTTTGTTTATTGAACTAGCTGGCAAATATACGAGCATCTAGCATTCGGGTCTATGATTATTCATTGGAATGCTAGCTGATTTATCCCTCTCTCTCTCCGATCAGAAAATGATTTCATAGAGTGTCGTGACGTCAGCCGTGCATCGGATATACATATAGCTGAGCCTATGCCTGATCGCTTTATCAAGCGCCAGTCAAGTTTTAAGGCCTTGGTGTACACTGCTCCATTAGACAGGCAGCGGCGGCTCCAAGGCGCCCACGCACTCCAAGCTCACCAGCACAATGGCAGCTGTGGCGCCAAAATAAAGCGAGTTCAATTTGCAACTCCACTTTCGGGTCTTAAGATCTCGAGAGCTGTTATAGTACTCCGAGTGCCAGGCACTTTTTTGTTTTTGTTTTTTTTTGCAGGCGAGACAAATAATTACAACGACTTTGATTTTTTAATTAATTCGAGCCACAAGGCAAGCTCTATGAGAGGGAGATCCAGATACAGATGGCAATAGATACGCCATCAGAAATCATATGTGCCGGACTTTTATTATCCGTGTGGGACGGGTGGACGGTTGTTGTTTTGTTAAGTTGTGTTTCTTTGTATTCAATATTTCTAATGGATTATGAATATATGGATAGTATACCCTAATTGAGAGACTATTTATTAAGGGGAATGGAATGGTTCTGTTTATGAAATACAAATAAAATTTAAAAGAATTTATGGGTTTGGTTATTGGTAACTGCTTATCAAGAAGCGATTTAAGCTTTTAAGCGATTTCTTATACAGAATACAGAGTATATTTTGAATAAAAAATATTTTAAAAATGAAACTATAGCTTTATATATTATTTCTCACTTTAAAAATAGCTTTATCATTGTAATTTAACTTGAAATTAAATAACTTACAGTGAAACCCATTTATTAATCATTTTTTAATGGGTAACCCTCAAAAAATGAATCACTTTTCATTGGAAATATAGTGTCTAGACACCTTTTCCTTACCCCTTCTAATTAGATAATGCCCTTCCCCCCTTTGGCGAAGGGTATCAAAGTCAGACAAAAGCTTTTGCACTTGGCCTTTCTCCCTTAACAATCAAATATTTACCTTTCCAGTTAAAAAAAGCGCTGACTCAAATTGCAAATCGCCTGGAGATCTTTTTTATTTTATATTTTTGGACATGTTTATTTGTCTCGATAAAAAGCGGAGTATTTTAATAATAATTTTTTTTTTAACTGATCGGAAACTGTCGAGAAACCTCAAGTTATCTAACTCCACTTCAATCTGAACCCGCTTCGCACTTCAAGATCCAACATGCCAAGGCCACTAGCGAACAAAAACCCTTTCGAAAAAATGAACTGGAAACCTGAAGTATTTTGAGGCTGAGCCAAGAGATGCACTGTGATCTTTGGACCTGGTTTAGTAATTAGAATCAATTATTTCCAGCGATGTGCAGGGGCCGAGAGCTCAGCTGAGAGCCGGAACAAGTTCGATTTTGGCGCGTGACAATTGCGGGTGGGCCTCTGAGACCGAGAAATCGGCTTACTCGCCCCAAAGTAGATTACTGCTGTGGCCAAAACCAACCGGCGGAATACGAAGCCACTGCCGACGAGGCTTGGCGCTGGCAAGCTCGGTGTCGGTTTCGAATTTGAAGTTTTTAAACCGTCAACTAAGCGCGCTGCGAATTTAGTGGCGAACGAGCCAGCCAGCCGAGCAGACACACGAGAGCGCGAGTCGAAAACCTGGCCCAAACCGAGCAAACCCCCCAAGTAATTCGAATCAACATCGTATTGCAACGAGCGTGGGCCGCAATCGGAAGTGTTCAAAAAAATAAAAAAATAGATAAAAATTAAAAGAGTTATAACAGCCGCCGGTAGCTGGAACTAATTGAAAGCCTTTGGCTAATTGCCGATAATGAAGATTGCCAAAATTGGCAACAGCTGAATCTCTCTCTCTCACATATAATTCGGAAAATCTTGTGCGTGTGAACAGAGCCGTGAAAAGGCAACGGCAAATAAATTGTAAATTAAATCAGAAAATATTTGAAAGCTGCCGAGGATCATTATGAATAATTCGTGGCTGGTAAGTCGAGAGTACTAACACAACATCTTTAATCGAACGATAGGTTTGTGTACAAGAATCGGGGAACAAATCAGCGGTATATCAGCAGTGGTTGACAGACATTCGTTAAATAAAATAAAATATAACTAGAGCAGCACAACAGAAGTGAAAAGTTACGTGTCTGGAGGGTTGACCTCGGCACAGCGGTTCTTATTCTTTAGGAGGTACGTGGCCAGGTAGCTCACCGGATCGCTGGGCCGATCCTGGGCCAGTGCCTGCAGGCCATGGAGCAGGATAGGAGCCACGGTCTGGTCGAGATACTGGCGCACCGACAGCGAATTGGCATCTGGCCGAGGCTTCCGGCAGGCGGCAAACGCAGAGATGTCGCCTTTACCTTCATCCAGGTTGTGACCCGAAAGATCCTTGTCCCTGTTAAGATCATCGCCTCCGGCTCCGGTCATTGAATTAATGCTGCCTCGTTGGAAAGGCATGTCGAAGCTATGGAATATAATAGAAGTTTAGTTTTGTTAAAGGTTCTCATTTTTCATGTTTTTTAAATTTTAGAATTTTATTTACCGTGTGGATTTAGAAAATATAAATTGGTTTTACTTTTTAAAATTTTTGTTTTGTTGAGAGCTGAGATCCGAACGCAGTGAATATTGATATTTGAATGGGAAATTGTAAAGCCTTATTCAAAGTTTAGTAAAATAAAAGTCAAAGCCTGCTTGTTTCATTTTAAAATATTACATTTTTTAAGTATCTTTTAGCAGGCTATAACATTTCTTGCTTGGCTTGTTTTCTTGTATTTATTAACCAACAGTTTTTTGAATACATTACCTAACTAAATGCTTCTATGCATATTTGAATATTTATTTTGCAGTTAATAATTAAAGTCTAGTCACTTTTTAGCATTTCTTGTTAATTTATGTGCGGCTTTTGTATTACTTAGTTTAGTTAAAAACTGTAATTTAAGTAACACACATTCCGGGCTAATTTATACCAGTTTAAATGGCCTTTTCAACGGAGTTCCCCTATTGATAAAGCTCCCAGTGATGTCACCCAAAGTTTTCCCACAAATTTGCCGTGAGTTTCAATCACCCTTAGTTGGATCGTAAATATATCTATAGCTCCATAGATAATAGACTGACCTCGACCGAAATTTATGTGAAGCAGCCAAGATTTAAGAGCGTCGTTTGGTTTGCTTTTACGGTTTACCAGGGAATCGTCCCCAGCAATTAACTACCAAAGTGGCTACCAAGTAACCCCTTAATAATTAAGCACTTAGAGGCAGAGATGGGACCCAGTGCAGCTCATAAATTGCAAAACTTGTCGCTAATTTTTTGCTGATTACAAAATTAAGTCCGTCAGCTGCTTCAACCCTTGATCAACAGTACGGGGGGCCTGCATAATCCATGTAAACGTGTTCTAAAAGTCGTAAAAGCCGTGTAGAATCGCCTGCTAAATTGTTTGCCTATGTTTTGGCAACACTTTTCTTAATTGCCACCTGTAAATCACACACCGGTCTGTTTGCCTCGCACCTCGCGTTTGTGTTTATACGAAATTTATTGAATAATTCATGGGAAGCGATTAACACATATTTCGCTACGAGAAACGAGAAACCTGTAGTATTTGACCCATATTAGAGATGATTTTGCCAGAAATTTGAATACGAATGGAAGCGGGGTCGGGGGGGAAATCCGAGGGTCTGTTCCCTAACTGTTTTCGGAGGCCTCAATCATTCGGTTTCGACAAAAATCGTGCATTACATGGATCTTAATATTTTGGAGGCTTCCCCCAGATATCGATCAGCTTGGAGAAGTGAGAAAAATGAAGAGAGCCAGCCGCCAAAGGTCACTGGCATCTTAGACTGACTGATGATGATGATGACTCGGATGATTATGTGGTATTCAGATACTCCAACTCACTCGTAGTTTGTTGCTATCTTTGTATCTTTAAGTGGGCAGCAGCACGTGGGCCTCGTCTTTTCTGGGCTTTGAAGGGAACCAACTGTTGAAAGGGCCAACAAATCAAAACAAAACAAAACGAGGGAAAAAACCCAACTGCAGTTCACAATTGCGCAAATCTCTAGAGAAGAAGCGGAGTCTGTGCAGGGAGGTTATGGCTTATAGAAAAAGCGAGCTCAGTAGTTTATGCAAATTAGTTTGTATCAAAAATTTGAACACAAAAAAAAAAAAATTGTAAACAATGAACCAAAAACAAGAGCTTATTAAAAAGAGAATTTGGGAATAGAAGCGAGGGATACCCTGTAAAAAGAGAGGTGATTATTTTTGGTATTTGCATCTTTAATTTTCTATTTTAATCTACGTGTTTAGGTTTGTTAAACTAATAAAAATTAATGCATTTTTAGCTTATTTATTATAGATTTATATAATCCAAATGCAAAGAAATTCGACTTCCCCAAGTTTTCTTTTCTTCTTGTTTTAGTTAAAGTAAAAAACTCTTCACCCAAAAATCCCTTTGAAAAGGCAAACTTAAAGAAGAATAAAAAGGGAAACTAAAAAAATATAACCAAAAAAAGACAAAACACAATGGAATAATAAAATAATAAATATGCCCTTTTTATGGGTCGCTGTTTCTTTAATTTAAATATATCATACACCATTCTGGGGCACTCAGAGAAACCAAAAACAGAGCAGGGCAAAATTAGCGCATCTGAATTAATTAGCGCAGTGGAATCACTTGCCACATTTTACTTTTATTACCTATGCGACCTTGAGGGAGATAGCCGAGAGCTGGAGACAGACGGAGCCGGGCCGGTAATGAATTCAAATTGTCTTTGCCATTTTGCCTCGCACTTTTCCTTGGCTTCGCTTTTCGGGTTTTGGTTTTTTGGTTTTGGTTTTTGGCTTTTTCGGGCGAAAGAGCCCAGACTCCAAAACAGATTAGTTGCTCTGCGATAATTATGCAAGTCCGCGACGAACTCTCCCAGATGGATTGATATATGGGCGGGCGGCGGTGGTGGCTGTTTTCTGATTTCTGTTTCTCATGTTTTTCATTTCACAATTACCTATTATTAAATATCATTTCAAATGGTGCCCGCCCCTGCCAGCGGCTAATTCGCATTTTGTTTTCTGCATTTCACGCATAAATTATTTGGCCATAAACTGTTTGTGGCCCGAAATGACCACCGCCATCAATGATGCTGCAACTTTTCGGCCACATTCCGCAGACACATCGAGATCTATCCCACAGGCTGACCCAATTCCTATCCATTCCAAGGAAGGTGGCTAATTTTAACCCATTCCATTCGCAGTTCACACGCGAAAATTGAGAATTTTGCACTTTTTTAATGGCCTTCTTAACAAATTAGACACAGCTGCTGTTTTGCAGCCGAATGGGAAGCAGATCCGAATGCGGTCACAGCCATAAGTGGCGGGTCACTCTGCGACGGTGAGTGATGTGGGAAGATGTTCTGGGTGAGACTCCACCGCAAATAATGCATTAGGTCACTCCACAAGGGTACTGTGAATATAACTATGGAATTTTAGTAGTATTCTTTTGTGAATTAAAGGGTAATTAATACGTGGAATAATTTATTTAAATTTAATAAATTTAATAATAAATTCCCACTTCTGGTAATATCAGCTTTGTTTATGCCATATAATAATTACCCTCCCCTTAACTTGCAATTCACCCAAATCCTTCGCCCTAAAAATACCTTTTCCCTGCCACACTTCTGTCTGTCACGCCCAGAATATATTTTTGATTACTTTTACACAATAAAACAAATAATAAAACCTAGCTTGCTAAGCTGCTGACTGACAGTTTCCAGTTGTTAAGCGTGCAAACGAGGCAAGCCAACGCTTGCCACCACAGACAATCAGCGAGGCTTTGCCCACACAAGAACTGACAGCGAGCGCGGAACAATGTCGCCAGTTTATCGGGGAGAATAAGAAATATATGCCCAGATACGAGTCCCACGCATGGGACACAAGCTGAATGCCAGATGAGGGTGCTGCAGCGAGGGGCACAGATGCTAATCAATCCGCTTGGCATCGAAAGTATGCCAAAGTCAGCCGGCTGGCCTGGCCCTTTTTTCACAAATTTTCCCAACCCAGTGGCAATGGAAATTTTCAGGCAGTCAAAGAAATTAAGATATTTAAATATACTGCGGAAAATAAAACGATAGTAAATATATAAACTTATGAAAAATGAACTTTAAAAAAGGAACAACAAGGATTTTAGCCTTGGAGACATTTGGCGCCCGAGTAGGGACACATCCTAGACTTATCTTAATGTTAAATGAATTTTATTACAGAGTCCGTTAATTTATATTTAATTAGATTTTTATTTAATATATATTTCGTAAACAATACAATCTATGTAGGTAATAAGCCAACGACTTCTAACTGTCTTACAAATTCTACCTAAAAATTATTAAGAAGAGATTTTCTTTTAATTTAGGAACCTAAAATTAACCAAAGTCCCTTTAACACACATTTCTCCGAGTGCATCAGTTCGAAAGTAAAACCCAATTATCACACATAGCTCGCATTTTTGCATTTAACGCTGACACAGATGGCGCCCCGGCATGGGACCATGCCCCAGCGGTAGCTAAACGCTGCCAAAAATGCGGCTTTTCCCACAGCGCTTAGCCTCAGTCGCCGAGTTCATTTACACGCAGAGCGCAGACCGAGTTAAGCCCAACGCCGGCAATTACTATGATTAATTTCGCTTGATATGTGCATCGCAGGCACAATTATGAAATACGCTTTAGCATTTGAGGAGGAGCTGTGGCTTCTTCAGTGCTAGGCCGTTGCATGCCCGCACGCTGACAATGAAAATGAACGGAGGGGTTAGTTGGGAGCCGTAGGTGTGCGGCGGGAAAACAACACTTTATACAACACGAAATTAAAACACGAGCGAGCAATGAACAACAACTGCCTACCTGCCTGCATTGGCCCATGTCGAAGTCGAAGTTGGATCGAAGTCGCAGCTGAGCTGAAATTTAATAAGATTCCGATTCCGATTCGTTTGCTTGCTGCTCGTGCAGCTTTCACTCTCTTTTGGGGCCGAATGTCAGCCGGGTATCGTCAGTGTCCCCTTTGGTTTCGTTTGCTGTCCGCCGTTTCTGGGGCGGAGATTCGGCTAAGGCGCCCAGCTTTGACAAATTGGAGCAGCCAAAGAGCAGTTGCTGGAGCTCCCAAAGAGCTGCCAAGTGCCAAGTGCAGTGCCAAATTGCGGAAACATTTTTGGCGACGAAGCGCGAAGCAGCACAACAACAAAAAAAATCAACTTGAAAAACAAAAGACTCAAGACACGAACTTGCCAAACTGAGGAGCGGATGGTTGGATGAATCACAGTTGGCAACACAGCAGCACAAACACAGCACAGTTTGGTGCCACTTCAGGTGGATTTTCCACTTGGTTAGCAGGCGAACTCTCCTCATGCCCCCACCAGCAGCAGCTGCCGGCGACCTTCATCATGGCGCATTACCCAACGGCGCGCCGCCGATCAACTCAAAGAAAACACCGCCTGGTTCCACTCTTTCACGCCTCGACAAATTGGGCGCAGCTAAAATATAACCCAGAACAGACCATGTCTAGCCTAGGGTTCTTCATGTGCAACTTGATTATTGGGAAATATTATTGGAAAATGTACAGAACAGTAATTTAGAAGCGGAGTTTATTAATAAATCTTAGATATAATTATTAGAATTATAACGATAATTACAAGGATGTTAGTAA